AAAAAAAAAATATGCTTATATTATTGTTATACTAGTAGCTACTATAGTTGTTATTATAAGTTATTCTTATCAGATGCGATAGAGGAATGTAAAGCAGAATCTATGCTCTACTGTAAGATTATACTCGAGTTATTATAATGATTATTTCATCAAACACGTCAATTACCACTACTACTACATATAAAATCGGTCTTGCTTTCAAACTCTATATTACATAAACTCCATAATTTCTTATACCAACTACTGTCAATACCATACATTTTGTTTAAGGAAAAGAAAAGAAAAAGATTCATTAGTCACTTATATTTACTTTCTATTGTTGTTCACTTTATTAAATTAGTTAGTAAAGAACTTTAGAGAGAGGGGTAAAATTAACAATTTACGTCTTGACCACTCTTTCCAGCTGATATACAATTTGATATCCTTCGTTCTCTGGGTCATTCATTGCGCATTGGATGATAGAATTATGAGTATTACTACTTGTACATCGAATATTCTTGCCCCTTATAATTTGCTCTAAATGTCCCTAAACGTGGTGTTACTCTTTTAAGCATATTCTTAGTAGCTGTTACTTACTGTATGAACATGTCGAACTTCAATAAATTCTGGTTCAAACGCTAGCACATAGGGGTAAGACAAGGCAAACGAATCAGGGGAGCCTTCCCAATCGATACGCGCACTTGACGGAATAAAGCGTCCTCTTTGATCTACAAAGAAGGCAAATTCTAATGTGTATGAATGTTAGTCATCTTCAAGCTATTCTTTTTCTTTCTTGCTTTACCATTATAACAGACCAAGTATTCAGCAAACTTAATTCTATACACCGTGATTGGCTTAATATCAGCTCGTGAAAATACAAAAGAAAGATTTTCATCTTCTGGATCAAGTAAAGCTAAAGAGAAAGGATGAGACGTGCGAATAAACAAATGGTCCTGTGCATATACCTTGTACACCAAAGTTCTTCATGTCCACGACTCCTATTTCCTTTGGCGACGCTATGCACATTTTCGACTTGAGTAAATTGATGGAAGAGGCTTCACTTGGTAGATACAGATCCTTGTAAGGCTTCAAGCCAACAGGATTACCTCTGACAAGTCTTCTAATACTAAACCCAGACTTTATCTTTTTACCTTCATCTACTACAACCGGTTCCAGTACGCGAATCGTAGTAGCCGAAAGTGTATTTGACTTGACCACACAGACTAGAGTTTTTGATAAACACTCTCCGACATGGAAAAAGGCAGTGTTTTGACTGACGGACCTGCCGCGCTTCATCTGGGACGCCGCGTTGGGTGATAGAATGTCCAAAGGAAATGACCATAGGGTTTTATCAGCAAGGACTAACAGTTGAGAATTGGGCATCACTTCAATCTGTGATACCTTTTCGAGATGAACGATGCGGGAAATGGTAAGCTTTTTTGTTTCTGAATCCTTATTGGTGATATAGACACCTTGATCAGTACCGATCAAGAGTTTCTTGTTACTTGAATCTAATGTTACTGTGTTATTTACACGATTGGCTGTTGTGAAGTGATTTTTAATCATCGGTAGTATGGAAAAAACGCATCTTTTCTTTTCTAGCTTCTCTTGCTGTTCGGCTATTGCTTTTATCCACAGCTGTTGGTTAGAGGCAGAGGTAGCGTAAAGTGTCAGAGGAGGAGCTCCTCTGCGACCGTGATGGGTAAAGGTAATTGACAAATTATTTGATTTTGTTGCTTGACCGTTCTCTGATGTCGAAGGCTTAGGTATGGTATTATTAGATGTGTTTGGGGATTTGCTGTAAGGTAATATTGAGCTAGCACGCTTTTGTCGGTTATTATTTGGTGTGATATGTACAGATAGCAATTCAAGTGGTATAGGCTAATAATCTGTTATACAACCAAGATATTACACTATTCAAGTTTAATGCTACCTTTCTAAAGGCTCGGTACACTTCCAGGTGATCTATATGCTTGATTTTTGCAATGACAAGATAATTGTCAAACAGAAATACTTGAAGGTCGGCTGATTCTGATGATGTATTTCCTTTTCTTTTCATTCGTCCCTTTAATAAAAGCTGTCTTTCAGGGTCTTGTAATTGTAGATCCTATATATAGTCGCATATGAGTATACAGCCATGGTCAAATTATAACACTTACAGCATACTCTGCAGGTGATTTAAACGATAATCTCTCTTGAATTTGTTCGAGATTAAACAAGTTCTCCCTCCTTCCTGTCTCTGCATTTACTTGCACTAAATACTGAGTGATGATGCCCATGACTTGTGGTATTGCTTCTTTATCTGGATGATCATCTGGGGTTCTTTTGAAAATTTCTCGTAGTAAAAGGTTATATCTTCCCAGTCGAGTTGTTGGCTTTGTAAGATATCCATTCAATTCCAGTCTACGTGATTGAGGCTTTCGTTCAGTTTCCTATATGGAGCATGCCATTATTTCTCCATCTCTGATTTACATATCCCAATCATTACCTCTACGAATTGGGCGAATTGTGGGTTTCTCTTTTTTTCGAGCTCAAAATAGAACTTGCCAATGACTTGGTGTGCTCCGTAGCTCACAAATGGCATAAAATGACAAATATGTCGTAACATGACATCTCCAATGCTTGATACAAGATATGACTCTGCTTGTCTTTGATCTAATGCTTTTGAAAGTTTTGAATTGACAGACTCAATCTCTGCTATATTCCAAAACACTTGCTCGACAAAGGCTTCTCGCCGATCTTCTGCAATAATATCATTTGTTAACAGTGGCTTTATCCAAAACTAAAAGAAGAACATATAAGCGCATGTCTAATGGTATATATATATATATATATACTTGCATTATCAATGTACTGAAGATCTCTAACAAAATTTCTTTCTGTATAAATCAATTCATAAATACTCTCTTGACGCTTAATCTCTTGTGATGAAGTTGCTTCAACAATGCTTCCAGGTACCGAGTGTATCCATAAACTGTTTGTCTCTTCCTCCTGTATATGAAGTGTGAGCAAAGGTTGATGTATATATATAAAGAATATACCTTTTCATGAGCGGATGACTGACTCATACTTCGCTTTAGACCCTTTCCCCAAATAAAAAAAAAGTTAAAATTTGCAATAAAGATATATTTTTAAATCATTTGTAGGGTACCTTTCTTTTTGGACAGCTGAAACTGTAACAAGGATGTTGTGTTGTACAGGTAATAGAATAGCAGTTGGTGAAGGGTGTATATACTCCTTGAGGAAGATCAATTATCTGTGATTCTAAAGGGACAAGGTTGTTAGGATATATATAAATGAATCGATGGTTCATGCTTTACCATCCTTTGTGGATATATCATCTTTTTTATGGCGAAACACATACAATTCACGTTCACAATCTAGCAACTGATGTTCATAATTAACATCATGAAAGAACTGTTGACTTCCTAATGCGCGTCCAATAGATAAAGCTTGTTTACGATCTTGTATACAAAGCACAGACAATAAACAGTTCTAACACAGACAAGGTATCAGTAAGATACACACAGATTTCCTTTTATATGGTCTTACGATCGCCTCCTTGCCACTGAATGCATCTCGGTATTCGATATTGTCTCTTGTTAGAGTGGCGAGCGATATTCTTCTGTAAAATTCACTTGCGACTTGTGATAATAAAGCATTATGTATTGATTTGTTGTAATATGCATCAATTGACTTTTGCTGTTCCTGCTTTTTCTGTTGCATTTTTAGTAAAAAGGAAGAGGTTTGGATGTCATTCAACTGAAATATGGTCACTGTATCACTTGATAAACTCGCTTTTTTTTTTGGTTAAAAAAAAGAAAGAGCTGTTATTATGCAATATCTGATGATAGCAGTTTTGAATCTCCTTATTTACCCTTACGCCATTCTCGCTGTTGATCGTCCATATCGACGTCATCTATAAGCATTTCTTCGCTGTAATTAGTAGATAGATAGGTTGTGCTATCTTCTTCATCTAGAATCTGTGAAGGATCGACTGGTTCAGTACAAACTACGGTAGAAGGTGGTCTGTCTTTAAAATCAAATTCATCCTCTTCTTGTATCCAGTTCCCAGGAGGATGAAGGGGCATTTTAGTTATACTTGAAGGTCGAAAATTTCTTTTTCTGATAGAATAAGCAGCCAAACTCTGCTTTCGAACGGGTAATTGTTGCTGTACATAACACTTTTTGACTATATCCGGTATGGGTCCACCAGTGTAGTTGATAGTAGTAGTAGGTGATCTTTTTATAGTGTTTTCCATAAGAATAGAGAGTATATATATAGATATAAAAGAAAAGAAGAAGAAAAGATATCGAAAATAGACTAAAAAATAAGACTAGATTAAATTCATTCTCTGTTAAAATAAGGAAAGGGAAAGCGAGAACCAAGTTACAAAAAATTGATAGTGGAACAAAAATAATGAATGAAAATAAACTGACTTTAAACTAAATGATACCAGCCACTTTTAAACCTTAAATCTGTACCTGAAATTATGTACAACATGTCTTTTCTTTGGGTCAGAGTGGCACGCTTTACTTATTAAAGTCGTATTCTGTTCCGTTGCAAATTAGTAAAGAAAGTGTGGAATGCATTAAAAGTGGCATTCATCATAATTATACAGTTTATATTATTTTCCTTTCAGTCGCATTTTTATGAATCTATATGCTTATTCCATACAACGGGTGAAAAAGAGAGAAATATAGGGCATCCCTATATCCTTAAAAAAATAGTACAAGAAATATATACATAAATGACAAGTTATTCAATAGGATGTTAAATATCCATCCTTGTGAGAAAAAAGACAAACTATTCAAACACACGATTACTTTGAGATGTAAAAAGACTTGGTTAAGCTGTCCATGCTCTTTATGATAAATTCCACATCAAGCACCATCCTTTCTTCATGCATGTAACTATGAAAAAGAAAAAAAAAAGACTTTACAATTGATTATATTATCAACATTGGCTCAAAATAAAAAGAATCTTTTCTGTTACAAGTTTTTTTCTACCAAAAGAAAAAGAGGAGGGAATACGGTAAAATTTTAGGTTTTTTCTACTTATTTTAAATTCAGTTCAGTACCTTTTTGAGTGACAAACACAAGAAAAAAGTTTTTCTCTCTTTCTCTCTCTCTTTCGTTAAAATGGTTCACTGTTGTAAACAGTCTTATACCGAATATCTTCAGGATTCCCAGATAAAAAACCTAAGATTATACAAGTATGCAGCTGTAGATAAATCACCCATCACCAAATACATATTACGACCTTATTGGGACTTTGCTATTACTTTATTTCCTCGTTGGATAGCGTAAGTCTATCTTTTGTCCCTCCTTGAATGACATTTAACATTTTTACAACAGACCTAATCTGATCACACTTATTGGATTGTTTTTCATGGTCTTTAATGTCATCCTTGCTTATATCTTTGTACCTGACCTTGGCACAGAAGGTCCTAGTTGGGTATATTTCAGTTTTGCTTTAGGACTTTGGCTTTATTCCACCTTTGATAATGTCGATGGTCGTCAAGCTCGTCGTACCAACACATCTTCGCCCTTGGGAGAATTGTTTGATCATGGATGTGATGCCATCAACTGCACCTACGTTTCTCTTTTACAATCTGCCGCGCTTGGCTTGGGTCATTCTGTACCAGCAGCTCTACTGTTGTACTTTACTATTGCTGGATTTTATTTATCAACTGCGGAGGAATACTATACGGGCGTGTTATATTTGGGTTATGTGAATGGACCAACGGAAGGGATTATTGTTTCTTGCCTTGCCTTCATCTGGTCTGGATTATATGGTATATAGTGATTTTAGTATACACAGAAAGAAAGAATTTACATGTCTTTACCTGTATATAGGTCCAGCCTCATGGCATACACCAGTATCCGAAATTTCATGTCTTTCGTGGACCAGTGCTTTCTTAGCCTCTGAAACAAGCTTTGCAGATGTGTTTGTGTATGGCTTGATATTCTTCTTTGTTATAACACAATTACCGGTTAGGTAACGTAGTACAGGTTTTATGAACAAGAAAAGCGATTGACTGTTTTATAGTGTGATTGCTATTATCAGAGCCAGTCGTAAGAAAGGAATGAACCCCGGCCGAGAATTGATTCGAGTGTTTGGACCCTTCATTTTATGCACAGGCATTGTCTATCTATGGTTGACATCACAAGGCACAAGGATCTTTGCCGATCAACATTTTATCTTGTTTAGTATATTTGTAGGATTCCTATTTGGAGAGATGGCATCTGATATCATCCTTGCTCATTTGACGAAATCAGCTTTTCCCAAGTTTAAAAGCATATTTTATAGTCTGAGCATAGGATTGGTATTTAGTTTTCTTGGTTACCTCAACATGTAAGCCATATATTATTTATAGGGAAATAAGCATCCAACATCATTTACTTAGTGACTATCCTGAATATCAACTACTTGTTGTTCTCTCCATCTTTACTATCCTGAGATATCTGATAAGAGCTAAAGCAGTGATAGATGCCTTTTGTGACTTTTTGGGTATTCAATGCTTTACCATTCCACCATCCAAATATGTAGAAAATATATTACCAACCCATGTAGGTTCAGATGATGAACAAGAAGTAGAGGCTTTATTAGTCAATGAACAATCGATACCACAAGAACAAGAATATCGTACTTTTTAGACAACAACTTTTTATTAATACCATTACTATTTCCTCTTTACAAAGAGTGAGTTCATATTATGTGTTGTTTTAACATAAAGAAATGCAAAATAGAGATTAATATGCAAAGAGTAGTAAAATGCAAACTGAATTATGTTTTTTTTTGGTGTTTTTTTTTTGTAACATTGAGGAGGAGGGGAAGAGAGGAGGATGCTTCATAAAAAAAGGGAGAAAAAAAATGGGGAGAGGATATAAAAAAAGCATAAAGTGAGAAATCTATACATCAAAAAATAATAAAAAAAAGGGGGGGATAATACCAAAGAAAAAAAAATAAAAGGGGGAAGAAGAAAAAAAAAATATAGAGTCATATATGAAATATGGTTTAAACATAACAAGAAAGAGGCCTTCAGGTTTTTTTTTTAATCCTACCCCCAAGTATTCTTTTCTTCTTTGGATCTTGACATATATATATTTTAGCAGCCAACAGTACCGGTGTTTGCAGAGTGCCAAGAAATGCCAACCATATTATTTAACATAGTGCTATCATTTGTAGATTGGGTATTGCTTTGTTGTTGTTGTTTGTTCATAAAGTCGTGTGATGGTTGCTGTCGTCGACGACGATCTTCAGTCTTTTGATGAGTTTTCGTATGTTGTGATAAATTGTCCGATCGAGAAAATGTTTTATGACAGTTGGGAAATGTACATGCAAATGGTCTTTCGAGGGTATGAATGCGCATATGACGTTTAAGATGTTCTAATCGCTTGAAACTGCGTTGACATTGGTTGACGGGACAAATATGAGTCTTTTGTTGGTTGCTAGAAGAGGATGCACGTCGACTGGTTGAAGCGCCTGTAGTGCGCATGTTGGATGCTACGGGAGAAGAAGACATTGTCGTGGCAGGCACAGTATTGGTCACAGGGCCAACAGAGTAACTAGGGTAACCATAGGGATCTCGGTAGCCATTACCATTGTTAGCAGTAGAAGCATTAGGTGAGGTTACCATGGAGCCCATGTGATAACCAAATTGATTGTTTCGATCATGCTCATCAGAAGCAAAGAAGGGTTGGTTATGAACCTCATGGTTGAGCAAGGAGGGGACATGAGATGAGTGTAAACCAAAAGCAGGCTGATTAAAATTGCGTAATGTTTGACTATAAGTAGCATTATCCTGTGGCATGTGAGAACGAGAAAGAAAAGTATAGGTATGTAAGGAACTCACCTCAGCAGAGTAGCTTGGACGATGATGATGGTGATGATGATGGTGGTGACCATAAATGTCAGGGTATCCCATATCAAATGGTTGCTTTGCAAAATAATTGGCTTGAGTACGGTCATCAAATACTTGAGGAGCGCTTGTGATGCTCGGATTAGGTGTACCGACAGAGGCAACAACAGCTGCAGCTGTGGCAGCGACGGCAGCAGCTGCTGCAGTGGAAGCATCAGAAGAGACAGAAGACTTTTTTACAGAGTTCTTTTGTTGATGGTGTTGTTGCTGTTGCTGTAATTTCTTGGTGTGAGTACGGTAGTGAGCATGAAAGTTATCAGATCGACTGAAACTTTTACCACATCCAGGGAAATGGCATACATGAGGTCGCTTTCCAGTGTGAATGAGCATATGACGCTTAAGGTGTTCGTATCGCTTGAAACTCCAGGTACAGAAAGGATATTTGCATCCGTGCTTGTGCTGAGTGGTAGGGCCATTCAAGTGAGCACGGGAGCCTCGACGCTTGGCTGGAGTGGTATTGTTCGCTGTAGTGGACTGCATCGTATCGGCAGATCGATCGTCAAAAGCGGATTGTTGAACTGCGTTGCTGTTGCTATTCATCAAAAAGTCATTGGGAGGACAGCGCGAGTTGACAACGACAGCAGCGGCGACAGCAGCAGAGTATCCATTGGAATCGTCCATGGACATGGCTGAACAAGAACTTCTGCGGAATGCGTCTTGATCATGCATTGAGGATGGGTGTGAAATGTTTGTGCCGAATCCAAAAGGGCCTACATCAACAGAAAATTTACGCTTAAACTGCATTGAGTCTAGCAAGACAGATGAAGGAGAGACAGCTGGGGTGAGAGGAGGTGACATGTTTTGATGGTAAAGTGGATGACTGTTCTGCATACTGTTGAAGGTGTAACCAGCATTAGAAGGAGGAGGTAAAAAATTGTTTGAATAAGGCGAGATATTTTGTTCTTTAGTATCAGTATTAGTGTCAATAAAAGATGAAGTTGAAGGTGGAGAAGGTGTTGCGGCTTCGTCTAATTTTGGAAGCTTGTCAATTCCAGGTAACTTTTCAGACATTAATGAGGTGCTGTGTTGGTCGTAGTTGGTTAGTAATTGATTATTCATAATGAATAAAGTAATTTTTTTGGTTTAAGGAAAGAAAGAAGAAAGAAGAAGATATAATGATAAAAAAGAGAGCCTATTTATATTAGAAGCAAGTTAATAAGTAAAAAAGGCAATAGATTGATCGACTATATAAAAAATCAAGGGGAAGGGGAGGGAGAGAATAAAAGTTTAGGCTTTTTTTTTCTACAGCAAATCCTTCTCGCTCTTGTTTTGTATATTTGCAAAAAATATGGTAGCAGTAGAGGTTGGTAATAAATAAAGCTTGCTAATTTAAGAATTAGGGGTAGTATTCTAATAAAAAGGGGGTGACTAAAGACATATATATACTCCTATATTCATGCATTAAGTATGAAAATAGAGCAGTAATCATGATTTATTTTAATTGTTAAACTAGAATAGATATAAAATACTTTAATATCTAGAGTGATAAAAAAGTGCCTTTTTGTTATGCAACAAAATAACATTTATTGGTAGAAAACTGCATTCCCCTAAAAGAATGTTTAGGCTAATATATACACGTTCTGATTGCTTTAGCAAATGTCTTTTCTCTCTCTCTTTTTTAGGAGAGAGCAGGAAAAAATCAAAGGAGATTCCGATAAAATAGGACGCATGACCTCGTGTAGGAATAGAGATAGAGAAAAATAGAGGCAGAGAGAGAGAGAGAGAGAGAGAGAGAAAGGCTCGCTTTGGCTTCTTCTTTTTTTATCTTCTCCTGTTCAAATTAGGTTTTATTATTTTCCTCCCTTAAATTTGGTATTTTCCAAAAAAAGATGTACACATTAAGCATAGATGTCGTTTACTTTGCCCTTCTCCCAAAATACGTTCTCTAGCCTCCCTGTTTTTTTATACTCTCCCTCTTGTATACATATACACATTGATCTTTTGAAAAAAAGACTCCAAAGGAAAAAAAAAAAAGAGAGATAAATTAGCTATCTGACAGCTAAATATAGAGAAAGAAAAAGAGGAATTTTATGCAGATAAACAATAATGAAATGTAATGAATTTCATTATTATCAATAAAGCTGATATTTTGTCTGTAGCTTAGATAAAATGCTTTATAAATATTGTTCTAAAGAATGTACTCTCTTGTATGAATTGCCCAATTTAGAGAGGGAATAAAAACGTGTTAAGCTTTCTTCTATTTGACATACAATCCATTCTCACTAATTGCTACTGGAGAAGATAAAGGCTTGGTTAGATGCATAGTTGGCATTAAAGAATGCTCACAGTTACAAATAAGCATATATTTTATTCTATGGGAGCATTCCTGGTTTTATAGATTACAGAGTCTATTTTTACATGTGCATTTTCACTTTTTAATCTTGTATGGCTATTGCTGTCAACTTTCTCCCCCCCCCTTTTTTTTTTCTGTCTTTCTTACCATTTTATCTAAAGGGAGCCGTGATATGATATATATGCTTCAACCAGGTCGTTTGTCATACCCATCATGGTTGTCATCCAATTTATCCACATTAATTTCCGGACCGGGAGGTGGTTATTTCAACCACCGCTCCGAGCATTGTTTATTTCAGTATGAGTTTTTACTATAGAAAAGGCAACATGGCAGGAATCCTATTAATCCTTCCTTTTTGTTAATCCATTCGTTACAGTAAGTCAACTCTATCCCATCCATCCTTCATTTATTCATTACGTGATTTAACAGATGGCCAAGGATCAAAAGACCCCCAAGCGTTCTACCCTCGCTGATGTTGTTACTCGTGAATACACCATCCACTTGCACAAGCACGTCTTTGGCAGGTAGAGCACCTCATTAAACTTTTTATACGAATTGTCCCCATTAACAACATTTATAGATCTTTGAGAAAGCGTACTCCTGCTGCCGTCAAGGCTGTCAAGGCTTTCGCTCAAAAGGCCATGGGTACCAAGGATGTCCGTCTTGATCCCGCCTTAAACAAGGCTCTCTGGTCTCGTGGTGTCAAGCACATCAACCACCGTATTCGTGTCCGTATCGCTCGTAAGCGTAACGATGACGAAAACGCTAAGGAAAAGCTCTTCTCCTATGTTAGCTACGTTCCCGTCAGCACCTTCAAGGGTAAGTTTTGCTGAAATATCTTTAGAATAGTAATGATTAACGTTTATATGTTATAGGTCTTGAAACTCAAGTTGTTGATGATGAAGCTTAAATGATTAAGTATAATAAATGATACTTTTCAGCATCTTTACACCTGTCTACCTTTATATGGCTGGGTTAAAAGAGGGGGGATCGGTCAATATGGAATATATGTATATACGAGTTTTCTAAGGAAATTGTCCAGTCATTCTAAGATGAAACTCGGTTTACTCTAGACAATGAATTCAGTGGATAACAATGATGAGAAAGTTTACATGATCCACGTTTTTAGCTGTCATTCTGTCTTTTATTGATGTGCCAATGAAGGATAAAAATAGGATTATTAAATGAAGATCTACCGTGACTATTTTGGTAACGATGTAAATGAGAGAAGGAGGGGGATGGTGAAGGGATGATATAGTATTTCATTGTAGGACTGCCAACTACTAATTTCATTATATCCAGATTCTATGTATAAAAGCCCTCTGTTTCCCCCCCCCCCTTTTTTTTTTTATAAAAATAAAATAAAAAATAGACAGTGCTTATGCAGGCCAAATCAACATCACAAGACTGTCCTATTGCTGTTCCTGAGAGTAAACCAACAGCTGTCGTTCCGGGTAAAGTGTCCCTTTTTGACATACTATTTACGGAAACATACAACAAGACACCACCTGGTCAAGTCATTTATGCAGAAGCAAGTAATCCAGAAATTAATTTAACCTTTGAACAATTGAAACATCGCGTGCTTGTATGTGCAGCTGCCCTAAAGAATAGATTTGACTTACAGCATGGTGATGTTGTTGGTATATGTTCTCAGAATAATACTATATATCCCATCTTGTTTTTTGGATCCATTGCAGCAGGTAAAGATCGGCACAAATTATCATATCAAGATTATTCATTTGGGGGCGCATTTAGGTTGTGTTGTTGCTCCATTACGTCCTTCAGGCATGCTATCATCCGAAGAACTTGCTAATGATATTGCTACTGTTGTTCCTAAACTACTTTTTATTCATCAGTGGGAGATGCAACATACACTCACTGCTCTAGGGCGATCTGGCATTCCTAAACCCCCTATTTTGTTGCTGAATGAACCTAACGAAAAAATAGATGAAGCCCATGCAAATATGCCAACGGTAGATGCGCTTTTTTTCTCAGATCAACCAGCACAACCTTATCAATATACAAATGAGGAGCTTGCAAGCATCCCTTGCTGTCTTTACTTTACTTCAGGATCTACCGGCAGATCCAAAGCTGTCATGGTCAGTCAAAATGCTGTTGTCAGCCAGTTACTTTATATTGCGGGAGCTGTGCGACGTCAATGCAACAATTTGGTATTTACAAACTTCTCGTTTGCGAGCTCCTTTGGCCTGTACCTGATTTTTGGTATCTGCAGTGGAATGACATCTTATATTCTTGGCAAGAATGAATCGACACTTGAAGGTCTTTGTGCCGCTGTTGAGAGGTTAAAGATCAAAGCAGTTGCTATTCCCCCAGGTATAGTTAATCTTTTGGTCAAGAGTAAACAAGTAACAAGCCGATATAATCTGTCTTCTCTTCAAAAGATATATTTCACTGGTGGTTTTGTGGATATATCTATCGTAATGCTTGTGAGGCGGACGTTGAACGTACATTGTATCAACTTGTTTGGAATGACTGAATCGTTGGGTATCTTTGTAAACAATGAATGTTACACACTTGCTGGCTCTGTTGGTCGTTTATCTAGGATTGCGTCTGCACGTATTGTTAATGAGAAAGGAAAAGATGTGCCTGTTGGAGACATTGGTGAATTACGTATAAAGAGTCCCTCTATGACCATTGGATACTACAAGGATGCCCAGGCTACAGCTGAACTCTTTGATGAACAAGGATATATGATAACTGGTGATATTTTTAGAATGGACGATCATGGTCTATTTTACTATATCTCACGCTTCAAAGATTTGATAAGGCAACCCTATATTAATATCCATGCAACAGAAATCGAATCGGTGATCAACAGACATCCAAACGTTGAAGATTGTGCTGTTGTGGGTGTCTATTCTGAAGAACATGCATTTGAATTACCGCGGGCCTATGTGTCTCTGATCGACAAAGGCAATACGAACAAGACAGTTGAAGAAATACATGAATATGTAAACTCACAGCTTCCTTCATATAAACAGCTTTCTGGTGGAATATTTATTATAGATTCTTTTCCAAGAACTGGTTCTGGAAAGATTAAACGCTTTGAACTTACATAAAAATAATGCAGTAAAGTCCCATGAAAAAGTCCGACATTTACATCTTTTACTTTCTCCACCCTGGTCTTTTTATTTATATTTTCGGGGAAACGGTTTTAAGTCCTATTTTTTTTCTTTTTTGTATTCTTCGAAATGTTGCGTTCCTCTGTCTTCCGCATGATGAGCCAAACTACCAACTTGAACCACTCTACTCGTCTCTTCAGCAGTGCTTCTGCTGTCTTGGTAATTGTTTTGTATTTCTTTATCTGATAAGAATTTGTGTTCCTGACTTTTTTTTTATGGTAAATAGCAAAAGTTCCGTACTGAACGCGATACTTTTGGTGACCTTCAAGTTCCTGCTGACAGATATTGGGGCGCTCAAACTCAAAGGTAAAACAAGTTGCTCTAACATAAAAGCAGAAATGTAACTTTAAAAAGATCTCTTCAAAACTTTGATATCGGTGGTCCTGGTGAACGTATGCCCGAACCCTTGATCCGTGCTTTCGGTGTTCTCAAGAAGGCCGCTGCCACTGTTAACATGACCTATGGCTTGGATCCCAAGATTGGTGAAGCTATTCAAAAGGCTGCTGATGAGGTGTGTGTGGATATGGAATTACAAACAATATGAATATTATTAACACCATGTGCATAAAAACAGGTCATTGATGGATCTTTGATCGACCACTTCCCTCTTGTTGTTTGGCAAACCGGTTCCGGCACTCAAACCAAGTAAGTTTCGTTGTTTGTGAGATATTAATGATGACTAACCTTTCTAACATAGCATGAACGTCAACGAGGTATAAATAGATGAATAGAAAGTGGAATGTGTGATACTTACTTTTGTACACCAACTTGTCAGGTTATTTCCAACCGTGCTATCGAACTTCTCGGTGGTGAGCTTGGTACCAAGACTCCAGTTCACCCTAACGATCACGTCAACATGAGTCAATCATCTAACGATACGTAAGCGAGACAAGTCGACATATGGAACTCTATTTAACCTTAGTTATAGTTTCCCTACCGCCATGCACGTTGCTGCTGTTGTCGAAATCCATCATCGCCTCATCCCTGCCTTGACCACCTTACGTGACGCTCTTCAAGCCAAGTCTGATGAATTCAAGGATATCATTAAGATCGGTCGTACTCACTTGCAAGATGCTACACCTTTGACCCTCGGCCAAGAATTCTCTGGTTACACCCAACAATTGACCTATGGTATTGCTCGTGTTGAAAGCACCTTGGAACGTCTCTACAACCTTGCTCAAGGTGGTACTGCTGTTGGTACCGGTCTTAACACCAAGAAGGGTTTTGACGTCAAGGTTGCCGACACCATTGCCAAGATCACTGGTCTTCCTTTCAAAACCGCCCCCAACAAGGTAAAACTATTGTAGAATATAAAAGAGAGAGAGTATTGATCCTAATGCTTTATATATAGTTTGAGGCTCTTGCTGCCCATGATGCTATTGTCGAAGCCCATGGTGCTCTCAACACCGTTGCTTGTTCTCTTATGAAGATTGCCAACGATATTCGTTATCTTGGTTCCGGACCTCGTTGCGGTCTTGGTGAACTCTCCTTACCCGAAAACGAACCTGGATCCTCCATTATGCCTGGTAAGGTCAACCCTACTCAATGTGAAGCTATGACCATGGTCTGTTCTCAAGTCATGGGTAACAACACTGCCGTCTCTGTTGCTGGCTCTAATGGTCAATTCGAGGTATGGTATCTCTATTGGACTATGGAGAGTATGTTGCTAACTTTTTTTTTTAATAGCTCAATGTCTTTAAGCCTGTCATGATCAAGAACTTGCTTCAATCTGTTCGTCTTCTTTCTGACGCTTCCGTCTCATTCACCAAGAACTGTGTTGTTGGTATCAAGGCTAATGAAAAGAGAATTGAAAGCATCATGAACGAGGTAAATTTGAGTTTTTAAAGTAAACAAAAAGAGAAATATATTAATTTGCTAAATATGCACAGTCCTTGATGTTGGTCACTGCTCTTAACCCTCACATTGGTTACGATAAGGCTGCTCAATGTGCCAAGAAGGCTCACAAGGAAGGTACTACCTTGAAGGAAGCTGCTCTCTCTCTTGGTTACTTGACTTCTGAACAATTTGATCAGTGGGTCAGACCTGAAAACATGATCTCTGCCAAGGATTAAGTATTAGACTCTTTTGTAATTATATTAAATAAATGGAGAGGTACTCTGGAATAAGTTACCGTCATCAATAAGCCTTAATTTATCTGTAGAGCGTCAAATTTCTTTGAATGGTTTTATTACTGATTTTCCTTATTATTGCAACTCAATAGTTTAAAAATAATTTTACTTTTTAGAGAGGTGTTCTTTGAGGACAGCAGCAGCTTCTTGTACTTTGCCAAGCAATTCGTCCTTGTCTTCAAGCATATGCAACAGTTCATTATTATCCATTTCTAACAACATGCCAGTGATCTTGCCAGAGTACTCGGGTTCATATGTGTTGCTACAAATAAAGTCAGTGGGTTGGGTTTGGTTGTTTGTTTAATACTTACATAATAGGATACAATCTCTCACCAAGCATCTGCTTTTGTACTTCAGCTGGAAAAGACGCTAAATCCTTTGCATTTAATGGATGAAGAGCAGGTTCAGCGACTGGCATAGGAGGTGCAGGCCTTGCTTGAGCAGGCATAGGAGGTGCAGGACGTGGCATGACTGGGTAAGCTTGGCCAGGGAAAGGTACAGCTGAATAAACAGGACGAGCAGCAACCATGCCAGGAGGACCGTACATGTTGGGAGCGTACACGGGAATGGGGTTAGGGTTCATTCTTTGCTTTAGTTGAAAGAGCTGAGCCATCTGAGAGCGACGGTCTTCTTTACGTTGAGCGATTGCTACATAAATTGGCTTTGTGCCTATGATACGACCATTTATCTCTGTTACAGCGCGAGTAGCTTCTTCAGGAGAAGTAAAACAGACAAAGCCAAATCCACGGCTCTCGTTTGTCTCAGAACGCATAATCTTGGCAGAGGTGATCACGCCATATACGGAAAATATTTCACGAAGTTGGTCATCGTCAACATCATCATCCAAATTCTTTACATAAAGGTTGACTCCTTGATATTTATTCAACTTTTCCATCTTGGCATCTTCATATTGACGTCTCAATTCTTCTTCACGTTCACTCTTCTTTTGTGCTCTAGAAACGTACAAATTTTGCCCATGGAAGTCGGTTCCATGGAGCTCGTCTACAGCTCTTTGAGCATCTTCATGCTTTTCAAAATTTACAAACCCAAATCCTCTTGATACGCCCGCATTATCCTTGGTGATCAAGCAAGATGTAATGGCCCCATATTTGCCAAATAGCTCTCGTAATTCTTCATCGCTAACATCCAATGGTATATTCTTGACATAAACATTGGTAAACTGAGCACGGAATCCTTCAACTTTTGATTGGCGTTCCTTTTTGGGTATATAAAAACCGACATAACTACAAACAAGGTTAGCTTATAATACTATTTACTTGAGACTCATTTACACTTTTCTGTCATTCAAAAGCATTCCATTCACATTAGCAATTGCCTTTTCAGCAAATTCTTGACTTTCATAGTGAACAAAGCCATATCCCTTTGACCTTCCCTCTTCATCCAGTGCAATCTTGCAAGACAAGATGTTCCCAAAAGCAGAGAATGTGTCATGAAGCGCCTTGTGATCAATGGTTGGATCCAAATTCTTTATAAAGATATTACCAGCATTGGTCTTGCGTAAGGCAGGATCACGCTGTGACCACATGATACGGCAAGAACGTCCTTTGATCGAAGAGTAATTAAGAGCTTCAATTGCCTTTTCAGCTATAAAACCATAATTTAAACGGGACCCCCTTTCAGTACAGCCTGTTATTTTTTACCGTCGGATATTCTGTGATAATTGACATAAGCATAACCTAAGCTTCTTCTCGTGACAGCATCTCTACAGACACGAATGCTAGAGACAGGTCCAATCATGTTGAACATTTCAAATAGCATAGCTTCCGTTACAGAAGGATCAAGATCACCCACATATAATGAGCCTGAAGTAAAGGATGCCGCAGAAGAATGCTCGGGAGGTGAAGACAGATGGGAGGAACTTTCTGTGAGAGAAGTATCAGCTGGAGAATTGCTAGTAGCCATAAACATTTTTTTTTTCTTTTAAAAGAAAAAGTCAAGGAAAGAAAGAAAGAAAGAAAGAAAAAAATTAACGGTAAAAAGAATGCGTTTATTTGATTTTCCTCACTTATAATAACAAAGTATGCATAAACATAAAGTCGAGACAATGATAACAGAGCCCCTTTTTCTAAACTGACAGCAGCTTATTCTTTATAAATTTGATTTTTGCTGTTCAAGATATGACTGATATTGTTCCCTCCATATTTTGCCAATTACATAGAAAGAAAAAGAGAGAAAGAGAGAAAGCAAGACATTAACATTTTTTACCCCTCTCTTTTTCAAGATGCCTAAGCTTACTCTTTGTACAAAAGGTGAATGTGTATGTTTTGATATCATGCCCTATTCTATTCTATTCGGTCATCATTGCACATACTTTGCATTAAGGGTTTTGTTTAAGAGATAACACATGATAGGACTTTGATTTATGATCAATGAGAAAGTATGATAGGAAATATAAATAGTGTCAATATATAACTATTAAACCTGCTCTAAAAGCAAAGAAATAACTTAGTCTGGCAACATTACTCAATTCTGATAATATTGATAATTTAGATATGAACAAGAAAGGACCGCCCAACACTGATAAAATATCTTTACGCATTACATTCTCTAATGCACTGATAGCCACAAAGGAGCAGTAATGATGCCGTATAGAGAGACTTTCTAGAAGATCTCTCCAAGGGTTTAAAATACAGTAATAGCAGCGATTGATAGATGGCTGTAGTTGGTTGAAAGACGTACAATATCCTTTTTTTTCTTGTGTAGTTGAGAATTAAACCATCACAACTTTCTGGTCTACAGCTATTTAGTTTTAATGTGATAATTTATAGCTCTTGCTCATTTCATGGAGGTATCTGTAATTTCTCTATATAAAAACGTTTCTCATCTTTGTTTTTCATGGGCTACCATCGCACTCGAGTAAAGAATACAAAGCCATTAAAAGGTACCAAGATCTTTTTGCATTTTATTAAATGAGTATTTCTTATGAGCATAGTTCTCTTCCTTTGAGAGTAAAAGTAACTGAAAGAAACAGCTGATGAACAATAAATCTGAATTTAAAGCCATTGACTGCTATTTAAATCGTGTTTTAAATTTAGTCTGTTTTCTTTCTTCTTTTTATAAACAAAACAAAATGGGTGAAGAATCGAATATACAGGCTGCAAACTATATATTGGAGTCAATCATTAGAGATTTAGGATTCTTAAAAGATAACAACTTTTTACCACATCAAACATATCAGGAAGTCGTTGCTTTACTACCCAATCATATATCTGCTGTGGATGATACCGTTCCTAGACCTCCTTTACCTTTACGTAAATCAAATTCAAACACTACTACACATCAATTGACTCCTCCACAACCAAGAGAAGTGAGCAATGGTCCCAAGTTGCCTGTCAGACGTACAAATGATTGGTCACCTCAGCCTATAGCCATGCCTTTACCTGTTGTTAATGCTAGACAGCTTGAACCTGAAAAGGTTCATACAACTCCTCCTCCTCCTGCCTATGCGGAACAGAACAATAGCAATGTGATTGCTACTGCTGAAGCATTATATGATTACCATGGGGATGACCCTACTACTGACTTATCATTTAAACAAGGAGACATTATTGAAGTCATCGAATATGGTAAGATGATGCTGAATACATATAACAACGTGTATAGATTTTACAATGATTTATATTAGTGAACGATGACTGGTGGAAAGGAACAACTCATGGCAAGACCGGTATATTCCCTCAAAACCATGTCAAGAAATTACCGTAAGTGCTTTATTTATTTATTTTTTAAAGAGAGCAGCTGGCTCATGCTTTGTAAATAGACCTCCTGTTAAAGCAAAACGTCCTTGGACACCCCAGCCTCCTGCTAAACCTTCAAATGATCATCTCTATAACAATAATGCACTTGCCAATAATAATTATAATAATAACGTCCCCTCATATCCTGCCACCTCAGGTGCACCCTATGCCTATCCACCACCTCCTACCACTATATACCAACCACCTCCACCAGCACAATCTTATGGTCCACCGATTGTTGCAGTCGCACATGAAGGATAGAAAGAAAACAAGGTTTCCAATTTGACAAAGAAATTTGGTGGACAAGTCGCAAATGCTGCCACCTGGGGTTTTGGTGCCACACGTATGTCCTTTTGCCATTTTTATATAAATTGTACAGCTAATATTTCTATTTTTAGTTGGCAGCAAGGCCGCAGATGCAATCTTTTAATGGTCTTTTTGAAATAAAAATAATTTACTCGACAAACCAATTTGATCTGTGCGATTGAGTACGTCTACAAGACGAGCTACTCTCCTCTTGTTTAAGCAGAATTTTTATTTTCTATTTGTGTGTGTAAAAAGGTTTTCATTTTTTTCCCTCCTGTTCTCGGACATCTGGTGTCTGAGATATATCCTCCTTTCGTTGGACAGTGTACGTACTACCGAGGGCAGCATCTGGTGTCGCTCGGACTTGATTTCCGACTGACTCTGGTGCGAAATGCTTAAGCATTGGTGGTGTTTTTAATTCGAAATACTGATTTTCAATCTTTTCCCAATCCACATTGTCGCCTTCTTTCAATACCGTGTCTTCACCATCTACCAGCTTCGAACTTTGAGCCCTTTTTCGATAGATTATAAAGATAGTAGCACCTATCGCAATGGCCAATAGATTTTTTTTTTGGATAATGACATTTACTTACGCCAATGATGACACCAATCGCAATACCAGCTTTTGCCCCAGGAGACAGAGAGGGAGATGGTGGAGGAGTTGTACCATTCGTAGTACCAGTACTATTTGTCGTGCCTGTGGTATTTGATGCACTAGTAGGGTTTGTCGTCGCAAGAGTATAAGGATAACTTGATGCTAGTTGCATATTTGATACATCGGTAACGTCTATTGCAAGAATGCTTGTTGCTAGGCCCTCAGTAATCTCACCAGATAATATAAAGAGGGTGTTATTTACAAGTACAGCTATAGTAAAACAAAGTTTATCAACAGGGACCATACATAACAAAACGTACCTGAATGTCCAAATCGCGGTAAAGATAAAGCACTACTCAATGTAACTTGATTCCATGTATTTGTTTCAATGTTGAGTGTAAAAAGGTAGTCAGAAACAGCTGATTTGAAGCAGAAGACGTCAATAACTTTATCAAGGATGGACAATTATATACCTCTATTTGCAGAATTTGCCCCGCCAAATAAGATAATATGCTGAGAGTTAGGAGCTGAATACTTGTTAAATCAGAGCATATCAAATAAAGAAGGAATACTAACCCATTGTGCTAGTATGATACACTCTGCCTGAAGGGAATTTGTCTTCTGGCGCAGTGTAGTTGCGAATATTCCAATTTCCATTTGCTGTATTAAATGTGTATCCCCATGATAATTGGGAAATAGACGGTTGTATAGCACCAATTATTTCACCACCAAGATAATATATAATGCCTGACTTGGGATCAAGGGCTGCTGTATGAAAGATTGGAAGTGCACTAGGCACATTGTTTTGAGGACTAAAGTAACTCCAAGTCTAATTTAATGCTGATAAGCATCCTTTTTACAAAATGTATCCAACATTACCTTGGATGTCGTATTGAAAACGGTTAGATTTGTAAATCCTGGAGATCCTGTGACCTTAGGTGCTGAAGCTGCATCAGCTAAGAAAACGCTAAGCATAATCTTGAGTTAGGAATACTGATATAAAATCAATATAGTTTCGTACCCTGTTGTGCCTCCAAAGAAACCAATAGTATCCATAGTAGCTGAAGGTAGATTTGTAGCAGTTCCTCCCCAGCTGTAACTTGATTAATAAAACAATCTCATCTCGATACCTTATGCCTACATTTTTGTACCGTTCGACGGAATATAAGGTGTCAGTCCTTGCCAGGTTTTTTGAGATACATCAAATAGAATCGTGTCATTCATCATATTTAAACCATTGCCGCCTTGAAGAATAATTTGATAGCCGTTTGGTAATGTTGCGATTTGACAGAACCCTCTTAGCTCAGGGTCAAAAGCATTGCTAGAACGTGCATCCTGCCAACTGTTTGATATGGTATCGATAGATGTAGGAGTCGTGAATTCTAAGTTTAGTGTGTATATAGTTGGATCACCACCCCAAATGTTTGGTTCCATTGTCCCAGTGCCTCCAAAACAACGTATACTTTTATCATTTCCATAATGGACGTATCCACAGCCTGAAGTATAAAAGATTTATTATGCAGTTGGCATTCATTTTGCATCACTTACGAGGATATAAGCGATCAAAATAATACGCTGTGGTCAAGTGTATAAAAAAATCAAATATTGTACAAGTGATTAATAATATCCCAGATATTCGCATTTTTACAGGAAAAAAAAGCTGATTTATCACCACTTTATACTTTCTAACAACTAAAGTGTGACAAAGGCTGTGCCAGATTGCTTATAAATTTTAAATAGTTAGAAATTGAGGCTTTTGTATGCTTTTTATAGGCAGTTAAATATTGATAATTAATAAATATGGCTTTTTTGTCAGTTAACAGTAGTGAAAGCTGATGGAGAGAAAAAGAAGGAAAAAGCTTATATTCTTTTTAAGTAGTCTTTTGCTACCGTCATTTGGAAGCACCAAAATTTATTCGTACTACGTTTTTGTGGCTTTTTTGCATTTTCAGGCCACTTATTTTAGAGCGGATCAGATACCACTGCCAAAGAGGCAAGACCTAAGTACCATAATTCAATCACAAACCTTTGGTTCATAGTCTATTCCTCCTGATCGCATTGGTATTATAGCCATACTATACATCAATAAAAGAGAAAAAGAAAAGTTGGGTATATCATAATGTGCATGTGGCCTACTAGTATAAGGGATAATAAAAGGGTGTCTGTTCTAGAGCTGATTCGATATCGTTTCCTCAGTCAGCATCGGTCTGTTTCTACGAGATAGATAACGCTTTTACAAGATGAATGACATAAAAAAGAAAGAATTAAGTAAATGATACAGTTTTCCCGTTTTTAAATGTTGTTTATTCAGTACATACAGGGAAGGTATGTAACGTCGATAGCTGTACCCATCTTTCTTTATATCTCTTCTACAACTGGATGGGATGCATATCTCTAATCTTTCAAATGATATATTGATAATTGTCACCAAAATATACACACCAAAAAACAAATTCTTGTAAAACTATGCTTTGCTATGACAATTAACAAGTTCCAAGAACAATTATTAAAACATGTAGGCGTTGACCTAAGATGATCACCATTTACGCATGGTCAGCTAAATGTCACTTTTTCAAGAGTCAATTCTCTTTCTGGCATCTCAGTCCTCCTGCCAGAAAGCTCTAATACAACCAACACTGTTGTTTACCCAGAATGGCTTATTAATTATATAGACATACCCATTTTCTTTGGAAAAAGGAGCTACGATATAGTCCCATTGTGTCATCGGTTATGAACATTCCAAAAACAAAGAACTCTCTCTCCGATTTTGCTTGTTTGATTCGATAATGAAGCTGCTTTCTCAATCTCTCCTCCAAGCGGGCTCTGTCCTTTTCTTGCAGTCGCACGTCGGTTCCACTCGCTTTAATTTCTTTACTGCCTAACTCTTGATTATTGCTATATATCAAAAGGTCATCCGTTGACAATTTTCCACTTGTGTTTTTGCTAGCTACAGGGGGCTTCTCCTTATGAAAAAGATGAGAATTGAACGATTTTAAAATAAAGGAAGACATACTAAGCGATATTGACTTTTGATTTAGAATTGAAAACAAATGTTAGAAGAATTGATATATTTTGTACCAAATGATCAATTTCAGATTGCTTGTTATTGTTGTTTAGAGGTACTCTGTCCAAAGTTTCAGTTAAATTAATTAAAGAGGAGCCCAGATTGCGCTGAAAAGGTCTTCTTCCATTGGAGAATCATTTGGTTCAAATGAAGATGGAAAGTATTCCTTTATTACTATTCTGGACTAAAAGAAATTGTAAATTTCTATAAATTATATACACGTATTTATGAACTTACTCTTCTCCATTTTCGTATTTCATTGTACGTTTGGTCAGAAAAAGTATAGGGCTGAAGTAAAAGTTCTTCAGGGCAATTATCGTAATACTTGAAAAGTACACAAACCACGATAGTGAAAAGCTTTGTTGGGCAACATCATAGGTAGTATCTGGAGGCAGCGCCGGTTGATCTTACGGTAATACCATTCAATAAAATATGACTAATAAGTGCAAACGCTTACTAAAATAAATTTTAAATAGACGCAATAAGCAGATCAACAGACTACAATGACTTATACGGATTCTTGATACAAGCAGATGGTTTGAAACTTTATGAAAAGAAAGAGTTCTTTAACGATTATCTTAATAGACATCATCCAAACCTTAAAAAAATCATTATCGACAACATATCATCCAGTAGTGTCATTCATGTCTATGACCATAATGAATTATTGAATGAACCAGAAACGTTGAAAGAATTCGACTACAGGAAGAAACCATGCCAACGACCAAAGTAGAAATATTGAAACAGCACAAAGTTCTTTATTTGACCATGTCTAATACTAATCTTTACGTATGAGATTATACTTGACTTGATTACGTGTACCTTAATGAGTACTCTAACATCCTTTAAAACAATCTAGTTTCTTTTTGCTATGAGCTCTTCCTCCCTCACTTGAATAAAAGGATAAAATGGAGACTCATCACGTATTTGCTTTTATTCTACACATCACTCAAGTACTAACAACAACAACCAATCCCTCAGTTCTTGTAATCAAAAGTTTCATTATGTCCAAAATCCATGAGTTGTGAATAAAATTATGACAAAAGGCTTCTCTAGTGTATCCTTCTTTCATCTATTGGCTTGAATATTGTTATCTTCATTCCTTTCAAAATCTTTCACAAAAGCAGGATATTGATGGCACTTGAAGGGATTAATGTAGAGTGATTTGAGAGACTAGCATTGGCTCTGTCGGAGCGACTGAATAACAGATTTAGATACTGTTCATATCGTCAATCAACTTTAAAAACTTAATGACGTTCGATTCATTGTATGGTTCGCAGTAGAACATGCATATTGCTTATTCCCTGAAGATGATTACCATAGTCACAAAATGACGGCTTGAGAAAAGACAATAAAAAAAAAGATCATCATAGTTTTTCTTTGTTTAAACATTTATCAAAACATTTGACAGAATGGTAAACAAAGCCTTTGAAATCACTTAAGTATAAACTATCACAGGCTTCGCTAATTCTAGTCATTAGTGATTCATTTTTCAGAAATTTATTTCGCTTAACTTTACTTTTGACAACGGACTAGAACTGCTCAATCGGATTTAGTTCAGGAAAGCACTAGGGAATATATGCGTATCGATATCCTAGGGAGCGAATATACCTTCCTATATCAGTTGGACTATGAATAGAAGTATTATCCATGATGAGGTAATATCACTTCATTTCTGGATACTTGTCCATTTCATCAAGAATAGGCCTTCACACCATGGCTGATACGGTTGCTTTTACTTTGAAACGCTTTAAATTTCACTTAGAACTTTACAACCGATACCAGGTTCTTGGAGATATACAAAATGATGATCCTCATCTTGCTGATATTCTTGAAAGATAACATAGCGATGCTATTGATTCCGAATGTATGGACGAAAACGTATCTTACCTTGATTTGCCCAACTCTTTTAAAGTGAAATCAGAAGACGTCGACTTTGGATGCGGGAACTGGAGAAGAAGAAAAAAGCTGGAAAGAGATAAAAAGAAAACCGCTGAGGGCCAAACTGTACAGAGCATCGAAAATAACTTATCAAAATTCAGTATACATCACGCTGTTAGTATTGAAGAAATACAAGAAGTCCTTTCACAGCAGTACGCGGCTTATGACATTCTTAGAACATTTTATTACTCCAGCAAAAGAATTAAAGAAGAAAGGACGAAGCAGATTCAACAAAAAAGGTTTAAATTAAGGCTCTGTACTTCAGAACGACAATTCATAGTTGATCAAAATGGTAATAATGCAATATTAAAATCTACAAGAATCTAATCAAAATTTTAGATCAACAATCGAAAACAAAGCCAGTAATGCTCATAGGTGATAAAGGGACAGGCGTTGGTTCAAGAATAAAGGGCTTTCTTAGATATGGTGGAAAAGGAAAGTAAAGGATTCGGGAAAAGTACGCAAACGTGTGCATAATTGATGAACACATGACCTCACAAACCTGCCTGTATTGCTTTTCAAAGCTCGACCATCCTATACAAAGAAAATGGAAAAAGGAAGACAAATCAGTTTGAAGAGCAAAGGCTCTCTTTTATGTAGAAATCCAAAATGCGTCATAGTCAAGAACAACAAAGCATCCAAATCAAGAGATTCTCTTTCTGCTTTAGCAATTGGCATTTCTGGACTGTGCAAACTCTTGTTTAGGCAAACTCTTCCTGTATTCTCACCTAGCATCAGTCATTCCAATACTGATTTTATTTCTATTACCCCTTCCTTGCTTAACACAAGAGAATGACAGGGCCATTGCGATGCAAATATTGGGTAAGGATTAAACCTTGAACTCATGACTGTTTTTTTGGTTGGGTTTTTAGAATTTTCGTAAACTTCAATTTTTCCCTCTTTCTCTTATAGATCTTGATCATGTCTGTTCAACAAGGTAAATGACCTATTGACGCATTTAGATGAAATCAGAAAGAAAGAGGAATTATTTTGAAAAGATGAGCCAAGTCATTATTTGCATTGAATTATGCAGTACGATGAATAACAAAACAGCTTTTTATAATAGAACCCTCTTTTTCACCGATTTCATCAAAGAGGGATTATGGCAACTAAATCAGTAACCAACCTACAATTTTGAATAGGAACTCGTGTCACTTATGACCGTTCTACTCTTTTGGCCTTAGCTGGTAGTCCTTTCGCTAAGCTTCCTCCTGTCAAAATGGCTTTCATTCCTGGTGTGACTAGAACTCCTAATCAAAGTGACGTTGTGACCTCTTTCAGAAAGGAAAAGGACAGAAAGAAAGAAAAGGAGAAGGAAAAGAAGAGATGTAAGTTGCTCTATATCATGCTGCATTCACTTTATTGACCATTTTGTATACAGTCAACCCTTTTGCCCTTCTCGGAGAAGACGAATAAGTACTACTATCTTTATCTTTGAATGATTGTAGATAAGCATGCTTAAAAATAAAGGGGCAATTTTGTGTTTAGGCTTATTTGTAGACGAGAGAGGGGTATTTGTAGGTCAATCATAGAATATTTAGGTCGAGAATTGTTTGATTTGAAAAAAAGAAAGTGGAAGTAATACCTCTTTGAAAGCAATACATCAGGGCTTATGAGAGCTAAAGCAAGTTTAATAATTACTACATAGGTGAAGAATGATGCAGAAATAAGTATAGATTTCGTGCAAATAATAAAAGGGAATCATAGATTGTGTGTTAGATAGCGGTTTTTGTGAAGAAAAAATAATACTCCTAAAATACAGTTTGCAGCATCTATATCTATATTTATTCTTCATCATCTGGTGGATATCCATCATCAACTATATTATGCAAACATTAGAAGAAAGAATAGCCTTGTAACATGACTTTCATACCTTTGCGTCTGAACAATGTAATTTCTTGTTGTTTGAAATAACGACGATTTTCTTCATCAATCAATACTAAATTCAAGTAATATCTAGTCGAGAACTTCTTGTTGACATCTAAAAGCAAAGAGTTTATATAAGCCAATATTCTAAAAATTGCAATTTACCTCTGAATGTAGGTGTTAACTCAAATCCACCAAGGAATAAACGAATAGGAATTGTCTCGCCTAAAGTAAATAAATCAGTAACCACAAGTAACAGCCAAGAATCTGTCTTACCTCTCACAGGTGCACCATCCATTATTTCAAATTTGGTGATAGTCTCGCTTTCGTTATACACATTAGGCACTATATAGCATAAACATGAGTTAAAGAGTAAAGAATAAAAGACCAACACTTTACTTGCACCAGTTGTTTCACGTCTAATGATCGAAAGCTCCATCGTTTTGATCTTGATACGAACTAATAAAAAGTAAATCTTTCCAACAATGACATCCTTCAAATGGTATCTAGGGATATGTTGAGCGTCTTGTATATCAATCAAACAGCCACTTACTTGGACTTGTTATATTCAAATTCGATATGAAGACAGTCTTCAATACCAACTTCCATTTTAATGGAATTATTAACTTCAGTAGGCATTCTGTAAGAGTTCACCCAAATGTCCCTTTCACGAACAATATCAGCCAAGCGACGAGATACTGTGACTCGAACAAAATATCTATTCACATTTAATCTCTTCTAGCACTCTATTCACTCATCTTTTCATACCTTAATTTTACATTGATACCATTATAGCATTCATATTGCTTTTCAACGTTTTTGAATTCAAAGTCAAACGCGGCATTTTGACGCAGCTCTCCAGGAGCTGCAAGCTCTTGAGAGAGAGTCAAAAATTCGTGCGATTTTCCCTTATCATAATAGAGCTCTAATATACATATATATATATGCACCTGTGAGGGCATATAATCAATTCTTATAGTTGTTTTACTTACCTATGCAGCCAACAAATTCCACTTTTATTCCATTATGCTCAATCTTTTTGCCATCTCTCAAGTTTATATTAATCTATATTGAATGTAAGCTGATATTGATAGTTGTCTTTATATTTATCTTGCCTTTCCAGATACAGTTTCACCGTCGAGATATAGAGGATAGCTCTCCTTTCTGTCTTTCTCTACCTTAACTTCCAAATGCTTTCTCTCCTCTTCATTATTAAACTTGACTTCAATGTCCAAAGAGGGAGATAATCCAAAAAGACTCTATATAGTTCATGGTGAGTAATACATTGCTCATATTTGTATGTTACTTATTAAACTAACTAACAGCCATTGACATGTATGCGTGAGTGTGTTTTGTGTTTGTATAAAAATAGAACAGCTGAAAAGAAACTCTTAATTTGTACAGCAGTGAGTTTGGCTGATTCAATCTCCGTTTTTACGTCACGAAATTTCGCCAAAGCCTATATACTTCGCCTATATCTTCAGCTTCCCCTCTTTTAGTTTGCGTACTTCCTATAAATCACAAGTAATGTGTGACCTATCTTCTTCTTGAACTTCTATCGCTAGATTATAAAAGAGAAAGAAGCTGAAGGAAGAGAATTTAAAAGAAAAGAGCACCATTTGTCGCTTTCACAGTTTGGTTATGCCAACTGTAGAAAGGGAGACTTGACTTTAATGACAACGAATTCCTATCAATTGGAGTTTTACCTTGAAACTGTGGTTACAAAAAGTTGCAGATCTTTTAATAAATTAAGGAACCGCACAACTTTTTTTTTTTTTTTCCTTTTTTTGTTGCTTATCTCGGCTGAATGTTTACTGTTGAAGAAGAAGAGGAGAAAAGCATCTTTACTGGTTTAGAGCTGATAGAAGATCGCGGGAAGCAAGTGGAAGCACATGTTGACACTTTGACCTATGAAGGTTTAGAATCACCCATTCTGTTAGCTCAAGACTCGGCTGGGGGATGTGGTGGAATGAAATGGGAAGCAGCTGATGTCCTGATTGATTATTTCATATGGAAACATAAGGAAACATCCGAGTTCTTGGATAACAAAACTATAGTTGAGCTCGGTGCTGGTACAGGACTAGTTGGATTGGCAGTGGCAAAACTATATAGAGCAAAAAAAGTTATTTTGACAGACCAGATGTAAGATATTGACATAGTTTTTCTTCTTCTTTGCCAACACAACATTATAATAGGCCAATGATGAACTTGATGCAGGAAAATATCAAGTTGAACAAATTGGAAGAGAAGATGAAGGCAGAAATACTTAATTGGTATATTATATTGTCAGTCGAATACATCCTATTGACCTATTGACATGATAGGGGCGAAGAGATACCGGAGGGATCCGAACTGCTGGATGTAGATATCGTTTTAGCTTCAGATTGCGTCTATCTTGAAGTTGCATTTATACCCTTACTTGAGACACTATTAGCATTAGCAAAAAAGGATACTGTCATTTATTTAGCTTATAAAAAGAGAAGAAAGGCAGATAAGAGATTCTTTCAATTGGCAAGAAAGAAGTTTGAGTTAATTGAGGTATTATTGTCTTCTTTGTTCTCGAATTTTCCACTCACTTTAAAAATAGGTCCAGGATGATCCAAAGAGAGAAGAATACAATAAACGGGGTTTGCGATTTTACATATTTAAACGAAAATAAACACGACTTGTAGTATTGTAACATTATAAGAAGCTAACCACACTTGTCAAAATCAACTCGACTCTCCCTACTTTAGCATACAAAAGAGCTGAGTTACTGGAAGACGCCATTGAAACAGAGCTCGTTGAATCATGTCTTAAATTAGACCTTTTATTTTTATTTTTTATTGAGCCAAGAATATTATTTTACAAGGATATAAACACAAATATATATAATATACGTTTCTATTGTGTTGCTTTTAACAATTGCACCAAATGCTTACAAATTTCATCACCCATTTCGACAGTGGACTTGTCACCCTTAAGATCGCGTGTATAGAAGCCAGCATCCAAGACCTTACGTACAGCGTCTTCTACAGCAACAGCTTCAGACTCGAAGCCGAGGGAATATCTAAGCAACATAGCAGCACTAAGGATAGTGGCAATTGGGTTAGCAATGCCCTGACCAGCAATATCAGGAGCAGAACCGTGAATAGGTTCATAAACGCCGAGGCATTTGCCTTTGCCATCAGGAAGTCCACTGAGAGAAGCAGAGGGTAACAAGCCAAGAGAGCCCACGATCACAGAGGCTTCATCAGAAAGAATATCACCAAACATGTTTTCTGTTAGAACAACACCGTTAAGACTTGAAGGACGCTGGACCATGGCCATAGCGCAAGAATCAACAAGTTGATGGTCAAATTCTAAGTCAGGAAACTCCTTTTCTAATGTCTCTGTTACCGTCTTACGCCAGAGTCTGGATGTAGCCAAAACGTTGGCTTTATCAACGGAATGGATTTTGCCTGCAGGTGATTGTTTCTTTGCCAAGTGAGCAGCTAATCTTGTGACGCGTTCAACTTCTTCTTTGGAATAAGGAAGTGTATCATAAGCTAAATTGTTATTTTAATGGTGAGCACCAGCAAAATAACTACGCTTTACATTTATACCTTTGCCATCTTCACCAGCTTCCTTTCGGTCACCAAAATAGATACCTCCGACCAATTCGCGAACAAACACAAAGTTAGTGCCTTGGACAACATGATCCTTCAATGGAGAGAGACCGAGAAGGCTGTCAGCAGCAAAAGACACGGGTCTTAAGTTGGCATACAAGTCAAGCTCCTTTCTAAGTTTCAGTAAGCCTTGTTCAGGGCGAGGACCACTTCCGATTTTCGCGCCTGGAAGACCACCAACGGCTCCCAAAAGAATGGCGTCGGCTTGTTTACATGCCTCCAATGCAGAGTCTGGGAGAGGCTCACCTGTTTTCTCCATAGCGGCAAGACCAATGAGCTCATTCTTGAATTCGAACTCGACACCAAGAGCGCTTCCTCTATGTTCTGCCACGACTTTTAAAACCTTGACTGCTTCAGCTACGATTTCAGGCCCAACACCATCACCTGGTAGACATACAATAGAAACTTTTCTAGGAGACATGGATAAAATATTACAGATTGGGAAAAAAGAAAAATAAACTGTAAAGCAAATAGCTCTTATAAAGATGATTCATGTCAACAACAGCCAATCATCTTGCTCTTATATGTATACAAAAGATTCATCTCAAGTCCGACAATCAACGGCCACTTCTTTACACTTTTTGATAATCATTGTTGTAAATTTTGAAGTCCAGCGTGTTCTTTATTGCTACTCTTCATATAAATTGATATTGAAGTAAAGCATTAAATATACTTTGTATATTGTACGTTTTGATCTATGTCATTCTTCCACTTGACACTTTATAAAAAGAAAATATCATGCAAGTGTGTATGGCAATGAGACAAATAGGGTCATTTATTTAGCATACATAAATCACAGAAATAGAGTAAACAATAAATATATCATGACATGGCTTCAAAGACTTAAGCTTGTACTACTCACCATCTATACTTTGCTTCGTAACAATTGCATAGAAATAAAGTACCTGACAGCCTGGCTGGTAGGTTACTCAAATGATGCTAAAAGGCGACATGCATTGATTGGACAAAGTAATGAGCAAATGACAATCATAATTGTTGTCGGCCAATCAAATACCGTTGTTAATTTCTTATCATTGCATTAAACTAAATTTGATTGGATTGACTCACATTGAATCTCAATAAAGGAATAACAAAAGCAAAGGGGCAAAACATATGCTTATGACCACTTTACTTACAAAGCAAAGCTATAAAGAGATAGAATTGATATGCGCTTATGAAAAGTAAACGTATTCATAATGCCCTTACTACGACAGATAGAGTTTCATATGCTTATCAAACTTGGGGGGTAGGATTGACTCATCGCTTCATAGTCCGATCATTGGCTTTTGATTCGTTCCACTTTGATCTTTTTACATAATTCGATCTATGTCACCTATATAAACATCGTCGTTTTCCTTTTTTCTTTTTCTTTACCTTTTCTTCCCCCTTAAAATATCGATAAAATGCTCGCAGCCTCAAGAGCTTCAAGAAGATTCAACAAATTAAAATCATTTACAAGCTTACCTCTCAATAACAACCGAGCTGTCATTTCAGCTTGTGTCCATACCTCTCACAAGTTGAAAGGAGCTGCTGCCTCTCCGTAATTATCATCAAAATTCATATCGTCTTGATATTAATTGAATCATATAGATCCGTTTCAAATACAGATCGATCTGCTGTTGCAACTCCAAAGTCTCCTTCTGCCGTCCATCCATTAAACAGCACTAAAAAGCCTTCAGCGAGCGAAATGGACGATTCATTCGTAGGCATGTCTGGTGGAGAAATCTTTCATGAAATGATGTTAAGACATGGTGTGAAGCATGTCTTTGGTTACCCTGGTGGTGCTATCCTTCCTGTTTTCGACGCTATTTATGAATCTAAATATTTTGATTTTATCCTGCCAAGACATGAACAAGGTGCTGGACATATGGCTGAGGGTTACGCCAGAGCGACGTAAGATTTTATATATACACATATAAACAAAGATCTATAACTTTGCTTAATAGTGGTAAACCTGGCGTTGTCTTGGTTACTTCTGGTCCTGGTGCTACAAATGTGATGACACCTTTGGCTGATGCCCTCGCTGACGGTATTCCTCTCGTTGTCTTTTGTGGACAAGTGCCTACCTCAGCTATTGGTACTGATGCATTCCAAGAAGGTAAAGCTTAAAAAAATAGATTGACGGCAAAATAACCCAGACTTGTCTATATAGCTGATATTGTCGGTATTTCTCGTTCTTGTACAAAATGGAATGTCATGGTAAAAGATATTGCAGAGCTTCCTCGCCGCATCAATGAAGCATTCACCATTGCTACCAGCGGTCGCCCTGGCCCAGTCCTTGTGGATCTTCCTAAAGACGTAACAGCAGCTATCTTGAAGCGACCCATCCCTACCACCGCTCTCATTCCTTCCCGCCCAACGACTATTCCTAACACCGCTATTGGTGCATTCACAGAAGAGGCTCGTAGTCACGCTGTACCCACTTTAAAGCGTGCTATAGACATGATCAATAAGGCCAAACGGCCTGTTATCTATGCTGGTCAAGGTATCACCGGTCATCCTGATGGACCTCAAATGTTGAGAGCATTGGCCAACAACGGTAATATCCCTGTCACAACTACGTTCCAGGGTTTGGGCTCCTTTGATGAACTCGACAAGAAGTCACTCCATATGCTTGGTATGCATGGATCCTGTTATGCTAATTTGGCTATGCAAAATGCAGATCTTATTATTGCTCTTGGTGCCCGTTTTGACGATCGTGTGACAGGTAATGTAAAGGCATTTGCTCCAGAAGCCATAAAGGCCGCCAAGGAAGGTCGTGGTGGTATTCTTCATTTTGAAATCATGCCAAAGAATATCAACAAGGTCGTTGAAGCAACCGAGGCCATTGAAGGCGATGTTACAGAAAACTTGAAGCAAATTCTTCCTCACATTAAAGGTGCCGAACGCAAGGAGTGGTTTGATCAAATTGATGATTGGAAGAACAAATACCCCTTCTATTATGAAAAGACCACAGACGACAGTCAACCACTCAAGCCTCAGCAGCTTATTGAAGAACTTGATCTTCAGACACGTGATAAGAAAGACAAGGTCATCGTCACCACCGGTGTCGGTCAACATCAGATGTGGGCTTGTCAGCTCTACCGTTGGACACATCCTCGTACTTTCATTTCCTCAGGCGGTTTAGGAACCATGGGTTATGGTCTTCCTTCTGCTATCGGTGCCAAGGTTGCAAAGCCCGACCATATCGTCGTAGACATTGATGGTGATGCCTCCTTTTCGATGACTGCCATGGAACTTGCCACCGCTGCTGAATTCAACATTGGTGTCAAGGTCTTGTTACTCAACAATTCCTTCCAAGGCATGGTGAAACAATGGCAAGATCTCTTTTACAAGGAAAGATACTCTGGCACGATCATGAAAAATCCTGATTTTGTCAAATTGGCAGAATCTATGGGCGTCAAGGCTCTTCGTGTGACAAAAGCTTCAGAAGTTCAATCAAAGATGAAGGAATTTTTAGAATACGATGGTCCTATCGTCATGGACGCTGTTGTCTGTAAGAAGGAAGTTTTATGGCCCATGGTCCCTGCAGGAAGAGCCTTGGATGATTTCCTTGTTCATCCTCATATTGCTGAGCGCAACAAATCTAATAAGCAGTAAAAAAGAAAAAAAAGAAGCTTTCATTCCCCCCTTTCATAAATTATAAAAAATATCATAATGATTTCCACACAAAAAAGTAGCATTCTATGACTTAAATACTTTCATGTACGCATTTATATTGCAAAATAAACATTTATTTGTATATTCTATATGTATAATCTATGCACTATTGTTCTTCTTCCATGCTTCTAACCATAACTTGACTCGATCAACATTACTTTCCATATCATCTACCGAATTGCTTGGTAATTCAACAACAATCTCTGGAGCGTATGATTCATGTGCTGTCTCTAACACAACCTGCATAATTTCACACTCCATATTCTCATCAATCTTTCTCTTATTATATCCTCTAGTATACAGATCAGCTGTTTGTTTTTCTCTCTTTCTTTCTTGGCTTACCTTTTCACCATACGATCATACAAATTGGCTGTATCTGTACGAAGGACGAGAACAAGGTCAAACCAGCGCTCAGGGAATATATCACAAGTGTGAAAATCAACTACCTTGCCACCATCCTTGACAATTTCTTCTAAATCATCTAGTAACTTTTTAATAGTGAATTTTATGAGCATTCTTTACATATGTTTCTACTTACTCTATCTTCATCCAAGACGTGTGTATCAAATTCTTCGAGATATCCTTCATGATATTGCTTTGTTTTAACAATATCGCCAACATTAACATGTTCTAATCCTGTTGCTTCGGCAATCATTTCACTTGTTGTTGTCTTGCCTGTACCTGGAGTACCAGTAACTAAGATGTTGGGTAATGATCTTGCCATGTTTTGAGATTTCTTTTTTCAATAAAAAAAAAGAGGCTTGATGACTACTGTCAAAAAGTTTGAGTGCTATGCGAAATTTAAACACCGTCAATTGATTTTTGATCTATTCCTCACTTAAATTTTGAAGGTAGAGAACGGTAAATTTTGTCACTTTGAGAAAATTAAATGTCCATAACCGAAAAAGATATGCGACTTTGCAAAAAATTAATGGCACTAACCCAAAAATGATTGTCCCTTTATGTCTAGAAATTTTGTCCTTTTGAAATAAAAGAAATGTCACAATAAGTTAAATCGAATTGACCTAAAATGGTGTGTATTTTTTGACTTCAAGACGATTAGAATGGAGTGTTATTATAACACTGAATGATTTGTCATTTAGAATGACGGGCAAAGCTGTATAGAATTTCAGTAGTTATGGCATTACATGCCTCAGTCAACAGTTTGTGGTGTTTCAATTTTCCTTTTAAGGTTGCCTAAAACTGTTCAATTGGGTTTAATTCAGGCGAATATGGAGGTAGACATATCAGCTTATAGCCACGACTTTCAATTTTCCTCATCATCGGTTTTGATCTATGTATAGTGCAGTTATCCATCACCAAATAGCTCTCTTTTAGATCTTCATTAAGATCCAAGATACAAAGCAGAATATTCATGAATTTGATAAAGTGTGCAGTTGTTGTACCTTTTGATATCGATTCTGAACTATCTTGCGCATTGCTCTCGTTATTATCATCTACATACTGTTTTGTTGGTTAATACTAAAATGTTTGTCGTTGATTTGTCGGTAAAGTACAAACTTTTTTCCCCAAGAGCATAAATCACTACTAAAGATATTATCTACTCTGTGTTCCTTACAGTATTCACTGAAAACTCATACCTCATCCTTAGGCATGGGACAGATGAACTATACAAAAACTTTGAGGTGCTCACCAACTTTACTTTCAGCACTACATAAATATATGAGAGGAAGTGTGTGTCGTCTCATGAACAGCCCACAAAATACATTTTTATGATTACAATATTTTTGATTAAGGTTCCAGACTATATTATCTAGTGATTTGGTGAAATTACTAGTAAAATTAGGGTTTTGGCTGACAATTTTGCAGCAAAGTTTCTATCTCAAGAAACTATAATTAAAAGAGGAAACACTAGAAAAAAGTTGAAATTTCTATTTACTTGAACCAAACGATACAGTTATTTTTTATTGTTCCGCGAGTGTGATATATTTTTCTTTGTTGTCTTTCAAAGCTATTGTAGGTTTGATAAAATGAGAATATTCATCAAATAAAGTCGGTAACTCTTCTTCTTCTTCACTTGCTAAGCTTTCTTTGATGTGCTCCTAAAAATATACGATACGATTTAAATAAGTGGCTACTAACGTAAATATTTACTATCTTAAAATTATTACTTTGAAAGAGAGAAGAGATTCTAAGAATATTTCCATTTCGGTTGTTGTTGACTCAAAGCTTGGAAGAGATGCTTCGCCGTGTTGAAAATATTTATATGTCCCATCTACTGTGTCTAATCTCAACGAATTGAAAAAAAACGTGTTTACCTAAAACAAAGTGTAATTAAGTGATTAAAAAAAGTTACATGATGTAAACAAAATATATCTTCTACCAGCAACGATTATGCCAAAAGTTGCAAATTCTTTTATTGATCTGGCAACTTTCATTCGCAAATGTAACTGGCGCTTGCAGATCTCAGCAATACTACAGTTGACGAAAGGAGGACAGAGGATGTGGTATAAGCTCTTCGAGCCGCGCTTTTTATTTGAAAATATATAAAATAAACGAAAAAGTGTAGACTCTCTTTTTAGCATTCTATTTTTTTTTTTTTTTTTTTGTATAAAGGGCAGGCAACTTAAAGATACATAAAAAATATTTCATACCATCTGTTTGTAACGACTTTGAAGGACTTGGTAAGTATCGATCTGGAATCGCTTGATGTCAGGTGTAAACTCTTTATTGATTGTCTCATTGATAGTCCAGTCACCTTTTTCGTAGTTGGGAAGATCGCGGATGTATTTTTTGATGTTTGACTGCATCTCCAATTTGGGAGTCTCTTTCAGGTCTGTCTGAATGGCCTCTGGGAGGATAAGTTGATGGTGTTTTCGTTGTTCTTCTTCGATTCGAAATCGAGCGGCAAATTGCTGGTACAGCTTTTCGATTTGCTCAGGGGAGAGATTCTAGTTTTGTTGTACATTGTGTTCACTTTCCATAATACTGTCCACGATGCGCGGCTTGAAAAGGGTTAAAAGAGATAGTCTACACTTTTTCGTTTATTTTATATATTTTCAAATAAAAAGCGCGGCTCGAAGAGCTTATACCACATCCTTTGTCCTCCTTTCGTCAACTGGAATTAGGTTAGGGCCATTAATTTTTTGCAAAGTCGCATATTTTTTTCGGTTATGGACATTTAATTTTCTCAAAGTGACAAAATTTACCGTTCTCACTGTATACGATTAAACAAATATTAAGGAAAAAGAAAAGACCACTATGGGCACGCTAAAACTATAGAATATCTTTTATATCTTATTCTTTTACTTCTTGAGGGCTTCCTTTTATTCTTTATTGTCTGAAATTCCCATTTATCTATCAGCGTAATTTCTGAATACAGTGCAATATGGTTTATTAAATAAATAGATAAAATATACACAAGATATACCATCTAAGCCCACTCTCCAATCAAAGACATCAGTCCAGCACCCACATACATGGATACAAAGCTACAGACCTTACGTGCTGTTGACGCATTATGGAATGCAGTGTTATGACTGATTTCTAAGCTCATGAGGGAGACATAGGCATTATAGAGAAGAATACCAGCCGAGAGTGAATCAAGGATGGCTTGGGACAAGATAGCTGAATACGAGTTAGGATTGTAGGAACTACGAATGCCAATTCCGATAGCGATACCAATGGGTGTCGTGCAGACATAGAGAAGGCCCATGAGCACAGGCTTGTACCAGCGATCGTAGTTTATCTCGTTCAGTCGTGTTCCTAGAGCCATACCTTCAAAGAACTGGTGAAAGACGAGGGCGATGAGTAACGTGTTGAATTCATCATTTTTTGTGACTGCAAGTGTGATGCCGATGATGATGGAGTGCATAACAATACCAAGTTCGAGGATATAGGTACCAATGTGCTTCATGGCTTCATCACCTTCAAGAAACATACCATGAGCGTGGCCATGATCATCACCCATATGGTGCACACTACCGCCGTGAACGGACAGAGCCTCGTCCTGAACCTTTTCGTTGTTTTGATAGGCTTGACCGAGCTCAGCATCTAGTTTGTTTTGTTTATTTCTACGAAGCTTTTTCATATGAGAGACAGAAGCGACTTCAAGTAGTTGAAGTGCAAAGGATGCGATCATACAAAATACACCAGCAAATGCACCGTATGATAACCATCCTTGGGTTAAGCATGGACTTGAAAAATTTTCAAGAGCGTCAGGAAGCATGTGGACAAATGCAGTAGCGAGAATGACTCCAGTACCAACTACAAAATAATGGTTATTCTCCTTGTTTTAGTAACTCTTGGACAAATTTACAGAATTTTCCAATGGTCAGGATCCAGTCCCGAGCATCGCCTTGCTTGTATGGACTAATGCGATGTAGAAGGATAGGAGCATAAGTGCCAATTGTGGTAGTAGCAAGAATGATAAAGATAGAACCAACGCGAAACCCAATATTGTAATTTTCTATAGGTATCGATTGACATGCGTCTTGTTCTTCAGAAGCGTTTGCATCTGTTTTTAAATGTTAGGAATTGTCTGAATAAAGGTATATATTTTACCTTGTGCATAAACCTGATTCAGTAGTAAGAACAATGACAACGTAATGGATATAAGTCGATAGTTCATTATTTAATGTTTTTGGAAACAACCAGTGTTTATATAGATCGTTTTTGATACAAAAACAAAGGCATATTTATATATGGATATCAGGTAACTTTGATGTACAAGTACCTTGTGGGTTACATCGTCCAATAAGAATCAAAAATTTCCGGCTTACAGTCACGGTAGTAACTGCGAAGGTGCACAAACCTGAAATTTAGTGTTATTTTTATTGTATCACATCTATATCCATTTTGATATGTGTTGCAGCAAATCAGTTGATGTTTACTGCTTTCTCGAAACAAGACGCAAGGCAAGTTTCAAAAGTATCATATGATCGAATATAGAAAAAATAGAGATTGATGTGAAAAGATGAGGATTTAGCAATCAACTGTTTGTTAAAACTATATATAAATAAAATCTTGTGGGCAACGTTTCATCATTCTCTTCAAATCTCGGTTCTTAAAGCGTTTATCCGAAGTCTTTCTTTTTTTTTTGTTTATATATGTTCCAAGTTGTGGAAGAGCAGTTATAATCATTGAGATAACAAGTTTGTATCGAAATATGTTTTATAGTGACGAAATAAATATATATATACATGCATGTCCTTTAGAATCCATGCTTTAGCCAGTTGATGGCCTCCTTTTCTGTTATTGCTGCTGGGTAACCAAATGATACTAAAGGTTGTTGTTGTTGTTGTTGTTGCTGCGGTTGTTGTTGCTGTTGTCTTTGTAGTTGCTGCTGAAGTTCTAACTGAAGCTGAAGAACAGTTTGAGGCTGTGGTGCTAAGAAGAGGTGTTATGATTTTGCTTCTTTATTTCTTTTTGTTTTATTTTGTTTTTTGTTTTTTGTTTTTTTACCTTGGTTCATAGCAGATAGTGCAGCTGCTTTTTGAAGCTTTGCTTTTTGTAGTTCTTCTATCAGTATTTTACGTTCTGCTTCTAATCTTGCTTCTTGTTCTCTTTTAACTTTCTCTCTCTCTAATGCCTTTGCTTCTTCTTCTAATTCTCTTTTCATCTATGTTTGGTTGATTAACACAAATGAATCAGACAACGCAAATAATTACAATAAGTTCATTTTTTATTTTGTAATTCTCTAAGCGATCTTTTAGTAATTGTAGTCGATGTAGACGATCGTCTTGGTTTGCTGAATCCATAGTATTCCAAAAAAGAGGGTAAAAATGTGCGATATGCAGCGGGGAATAAACTTTTATACAATAAGAATTCTGTCACTTTTTAAAAAAGGAAAGGTGTCAAGAATACAAACAGTCGATTAAAACCATACAAAGATGAAAAAAGGCAGCCAATGATAAGACAAGGTTCAAACATAGATGGAGGATACCTTATATTGGTACTACTATACATTCATAACATTTGCCAGTGATACAACATTGCTATTTCAATGCAAAAATTACGGAGTTTATCCCGATTTGTTTTCTCTTTTGTCAGGGCAGCGTAATGAGAAGATGCATCATAGTGTTTATTAAGATAATTTAACATAAAAAATGCCTTAACTGAAGCTTCAGATCAAAAAGAGAAGGAGAAATATATCAGCATATAATCATAAAAAATAGAGAGAATCATACAGGATTAATGACAAAGACAAGGAAATAAAAGAGCAAGTTTTGCTCTGATCCTAGAGGAAGGAGGGGAAGGATTGGGAACAGGCTGAGGGCGTGGCCTTGGATTCTGAGGACGCGGCTTCCTCCAGTTATTGAACATATCTATACAATGAAAGAAAAATGCTGTAAGCAAAAGGGAAAATGTTAAATAATACCAACTTGCTATAAAAAAGTCACCAGATAGAAAAATATTGTAATGTTATAGTATAAAGGTTATTGCTATAGAATGCTTGCTTTAAAGAATAAAGTATATCTACAGAAAGAAGAATAAAAAAATAGAAAATCCGTGCTCTATTTATTACGTTAGGAGAAGAAGCTTTGTCATTATTACTGCCACTAAAGAAAGAATGCGTGCATTTGCCGTCAGGCGTACGAAGAACAATAAATTTATTATTATAGTTCCCTTGTTCGTTCTGTCGCATTCCATAAAAGGAGGAAGAAGGAGGGGGGAGAGGCATTCATTATATTGTCGCGTAACTATAATCAATGTTTGTCACTTTAAGTGTTAATGTGTACAATATGTCCATAAATGGTGTAAGACCGACTCTCATTTTCTCTCTACTCCTTTCGAACACTATAACTAACGAGTTTTTTTCTAAAAGGGATGAAGGGGGGTTAACGTGGCTTTCTTTTTCTTTGTAACTTCAAAGTTTAACGTATCTCAATAAACTTTTTATTTAAATAGATTAAGGGTATATCTATACACGTTCACATGTTTATCTTAAAGGGAAACAGTTATGTTGTGGTTCATCATATCCTTCTCTATGACTTCAATCGCATCAGATACTTTTCTAAAGAAATTGTTGGGTCCAACTAGATCATACAATCCTGATAACTTGAATAATCCCAATGGTCTTTCCTTCAGTCTAACAAAGTACACCTTGACGTTTCTACCATGGTAAGCTTCTACTACTTCATACAATATTTGAACAGCACTTTTGACAATCTTAGTAAAGTTTATCAGACAGTATATCACTAGATTTTTTTTACCTGGCATCAATATAAGGCATATTGTTGGCATCAAATATCACATAAGATAACCCACCTAAACGTGGGTCCTCAGATGGATGAATCGACATATCACCAAACTGTTCCAAGCGACGTAACCTATCCTTTAATTGTCCTATCCCAGGTATAAGAATATAGCTTTATATTCTTTGTTTATATAATGTACCTGTGTTGGCAAAGAACAGAGGTTCATCAATTCTTACAATCAAAATATCTTCAAGATGTTCCACCACATCAGGATCATCTTGAATTGGCCTAAACTTGTTGTGTGTTCCCTTGACTCGACCCTAAGAAATTCATGTGAGCCCTCCTATTGCTGGAGTTTAATAAATTATTTACCATGATCGAAATACGGGGATAACTGGTCTCTTTGATGGTTAGGAGAAGTGAAAGAGTTACAGCCAAAAGGGTACCGAACTCTAAAGAAATCATGATGGTAGCGAAAAAGGTAATTGATAGTAATCCAAGATCTCTCCATGCTCCAATCTTGAAAATGAAATGAAGATCTTCAGGCAGCTCACTTAGCAATGAAAGAACGGCCACAAAAATGATACTTGATAAAACACATTTAGGCAAGTAGTAAAAGAATGGCAGCAAGAAAAAGATGGCTATAATGGCCCCTACACCTGCAATAAGACAAGCCATCTGTGTCCTAGCCCCTGCTTTGTCATTAATCTTGCTACGTGCGACCTACATACAGAGGATCAGTCAAGAAAGGGAGGCGCGTCAATAGACACTTACCGATCCGAATGCTGGGATACCTTGAAAAAGTCCACTGACCATGTTAGCAACACCCAAGGCAACAAGCTCTCGGTTAGCACTGACCGAATAGTTGTGCTTGCTTGAGTATGTTTTGGAAATCACGATGCTTTCTACAAATCCAATAATCGCAATCATAGCTGATGTCACTAATAAATCCTTCATGTGTTTATGATCAGGGAAAGCAGGGATAGAAGGGAGTGGGATGCCCTTGAAATCGATATTGCCAAGAATAGCTAACCCTTGATTCTCCCAATCAAGAAGGTAAGTCAATAAAGAAGAAATAATAACAACCAAGAGTACTTCGGGAACAAGTTGGAACCACTTGAAGCGGGAAAGTCCTGTCTTGGCTACACGAGAAAGCACCAAAAAGGACACAGACACGGCCGAGACAGAGGTCGTCAGCGCGTGGGAGTATTGAATATTTTTGATTAAGAATAGTAAGCGAGCTACGGAACTTGAGGCCTCGGTAATACCCTTTTGTTCACTTAGTGTCACCAAGCCAAGCAAGATGATACCTTGTTGAAGTGCGACGACCAGACCAACACCAGAAATAAATCCACGTAAAAGAGCGCGGCTCATTAAACTATCTAAAAAGCCTAAACGGAAGATGCCGAGTAAGAAGGTAAAGATACCAACAAAGATGGTCATTAAACACGCCCATGCCAATGGTTCAACATGAATTGTCTTATCATTGTTGAGTTGTGCAATAGAAGATCCGACCAAAAGGGATAATGTTGCCTCTGGGCCCACCGACATTTGTCTAATGATGCTAATAAGCACAAGGAGCGTTACAAGAACTGAATTATTTTACCTTGACATGCCAAAAATGGCGTATGTAATAGCAGGAAAAGCAATGGCGTAAAGTCCGTGAATAGCCTCTAGCTTACACAAAGCAGTGGCATAAGATAAACCTTGAGGGATAAGCAAACAGGATAGAGTGATACCAGCAATAAGGTCACCCCAAAAAAGAGACAGTCGATAACGAGGCAACCATTCGAGTATGGGAAGATAATATTTTGATCTAACTTTAATTTTACCCCAAGTATCCTTTGGCGAGTTATCGTTGATTCTGGCTGATGGCACTATAGGATAGGGTTAGACATTATCTATCAAATCTGTGTATAAATATATTACAAGGAGATGCAGTCATATATCGAGGAACATGCTGATCAAGACCCAAGAGCGATTGTGCTTCACTTCCTTGAGGAATAGTCAATTCTTCCTCGTCGCTACTGTCCTCGAGATGAATAGTGGAATGAGCACCTATGGTTATGTTAGAAAAACAAGATAAAAAAGTTAAAGTTTAGCACTTTACTATTGGACAGCGTCCTTTCTTTAGGAGAGCTACTCATTTTTTTCTAGTACAACTGCAAAAGAAAAGCAAAACAAAAAGAGGGAGGTGAGTGTCATAAAAAGGGAATGAGTATGATATAAAACTCAGCTCATATGCCAGATCTCTGGTTTGCTTTATTTAGTTTTACCTCTCTTTCTGTACTTTCCCTCCTTTCTATTATTGACATCAAATTAACTCTTCTCTTTGTTAATAAGGAAGCAAATAATAAAAAAAGAAAGGGGTCACTTTCCCCTCTTTAAGAAAGTAGCGGACATGCAGTTAACATGAAACGATATTAAGGATACGCTGAGGATAAATAATCTACGCGGGGTTCCTTTTCATTTTAAAGAAATCAAAGAACAAACAAAGCATCCAAAAGCAAACTTGCATACCCCTTTTCTTTTCTGTCTTATCCCGTGTTAAAAAAACGATTTTTTTTCCCTTTTTTATTGTATAGTCTTCTCTAGGCTTAATGCTTTTTTTGCTTTTCCAAATACCAAATACTAATAAATAAAGTGAGTATATAAGCCTTATATTAATTACTCTTCTATCTACCTGTTTGTAGCAAATGCTGCTGGTGCAATAGGTTCAGACTATATAGATTGAAAGAAAGTTAGTTTTAAGAATATTTATGTCATTTGGCACATTTACAGTTTGTCCTCGAAGTGATCCAGTTAAACGTCTGTCACGCTCCATCATTTGTTTTTCCCAAAGATCGAGACCATATCTTGTAGGCTATTATTACTTTACTTTAGTTTCATTAAAGAAATTTCATTTAATCTATGCCTTTGTTTCTACCTTTCTATCATTAGAGAAATATCTTGTAACATGCAATCCTACAGCGGTGACACCAAAGAAGCCTGTAATGATGCCTAAGGGAAGAAGTGCTTCGAAAGGAACAGGCTATATTCAAATAAAGTATTGTTTTCCTTTAGTGATGATGTTTTGAGAAGATGCTGTAATTCGTGTACCATAATGTAAGTATATTCAGTAAGACTAAAGAATACCAACGACTTGCAAAAAAAAAAAACAAAACAACAAGGCATCAGCTAGATTCAATCTCAGAAAGATGACGTATTTTCTTTTTTTTCAGTGCGGGTGCTGTCCTGAAGCAATGATGAGAATGATCTTTTCTTCTTTTTTCTTCTTGAGGAGCTCTCAACAGAGATACATGTGCTAACATGAATAGAGGAATGGTTATTTTATTATGTCAAATGGTCAATTATGAACGTATTCGTATGATGTCCCAGAAGCTTTGACCTGAGAAAAAGATTACAATGCTTACACTGATCACACCCTATATCTTCAAACTTCGCGTAGGTCTACAGGTTTAATGACTGATACGCTCAAAGTTTTGCATTGCTTAGATAGCACTTTACGAATTGACTTTATTCTTACTTGATCAAATATCTTGTTTTAATAATGTCAAGAAAAACTTTAAACGTGTATTCAAACAAGAATAACAGGAAAACACGATTAAGTTATTTAATGATGGTGCTTTTAATCCTAGAATACGCGTGAATACCAACTCTGCTGGCTTTATTGATCGGTTCACAAATATTAGACAGCATTTCCCTGTGCCATCTACTATTGTTTATACATGATTTAACAATGACTAGACTAAAAGAGGCCTGCTACATTTTCCTTACTGTAGTTATTACTCTTTTGACAGCGAATGCTCGATGTTTTATTCCAATTGTAACATTAAATTAATTTTAAGGACACTCTGGGGCCACACATGAAAGGATATCCTTTCACCAAAATAACTACTTTTACGCACAAGGCAGCTTTGTTCAATATGGTTTTTTTTCTTTTGCTAAATATTAATAATTGGTGCTCTGTATTCTAGCTGCATTGAGTTTTGCATCAATACTACTCTTGGTCATAGTGCGGAGAATGCAAGGTATATTTTGACGACATAAAGTAACCAAAAATCTAAGCTAATATACTCAAAAGGTCACTATGAGGCAATTCTAATGAAAAAAAAAAGAGGAGAAAGAGATTTGAGTACCACGAAGTTCTTTTGTTACAGATGGAGGCCTTTTAAGTTTATTGCTGATACATTTACTAGGGAGGTTGTACACATGGAGAAAAGAAAAAGTTGTTTATGTTGTTTCCTTTTTAGTCAAAGCGCAGCAAAGCCCCCAGGTATAATATTAAATATACGTCACAATTACAAAAATGAGCTTCTTCTTTTCTTCTAGCGATAAAAAATGCCTTTAGACTTGCCTGCCTTAAAATCATTAAACGCCAAGTCAGTTGTGCTAGCATCTGCTTCACCTAGAAGAAAGGAGATTCTAAGTGATATGGTACGCCCACATATAAGACTATCTTTGCATAATGTCTATTTTAATAATAATGCTTAAAATAAAAAGGGAATAAAATTTAAGGTTGTAACAACTTTAAAGCCAGATGAAAATAATCCTGCACTCTACAAAACTGAAGCAGACTATGTGGCTGATACGGCTTATATGAAAGCAAAGGAGGTGTTTGATAGATGTGAGGCAAGTGCGCATATCATTGCTGTATTTAGAGTTAATGAGCTTTCTTTTTCTAGGCTAATCCAGACTTGCCCAAGGCTGATATAGTCATTGGAGTAGATACAGTAGTGGTCAAGAACGGTAAGGTGTTTGAAAAACCACCAAATGCAGATAAAGCCAAGGAGATGCTTCAAGAGTTTAGTGGATCAACGCATTCGGTTTTGTCAGGCGTTCAAATTATTTACAAACTCAAGGACGGAAAAGTAGAAAAGCTTGGATTTGTTGAAAAGACGGATGTTACATTTTCAAGCTTGAATGATGAAACGATAAATATTTGTAAGTTGAAAATATAATGCATATAATAATTAAATTCATGTTAATTGTGATACATTTAGATGTTAATTCAGGAGAACCTTTTGATAAAGCAGGCGGCTATGGTATTCAAGGTGAGGCCTCTATTTTTGTCAAATCGATTCAAGGGGACTATTGGAACGTGGTAAGTATAATACACAAAAAAGGGTTCATCATGTTTATTTCTTGTACAAATTTAATAGGTTGGACTACCTAAAAATCACTTGTTTGAAGAATTAGTAAAAATTGCTGATATCTGTGTTTGAATGGATCTATTTACATAAAAAATGGGCTTGATTTGAGTGTTGTGTACCTTAAGCCTTTTCTTTTCTCTTTTTTTTGAATTTCATTGTTACTATTATCCATTTATTATTTTATTTCTTGGCAAATTATTTTCCCTTTTCCCTTTTTATATTACTATGGAAACCAACTTTATATTTAGTAATCATCATAGTGCTTCATTAGAAATGCCTCTCGTGGCACAATTACAATCAGAAGTGCCATTTGTAAGTCGCTTATTTATACGAATAGTTTTTCATAGCTTATCCTTTTTTCTTACTTTTATCTCTTTCTCTCTTCTTTTTGCAGGAAATGGCACCGACCTATAACAATAATAATAGCGTTCCCCCAATAGAGACTGTAGCTTATGGGCAACCCTATGTACCTCATATTACAACTACGCCAGTTGTAAAAAGTCATAATATTATGTATCAACAACAGCATCAACAGCACGATCAAAATTTAACTTTTATAGACAACAATATGACCACATCTACGACAATGGATATTGATTATTTTGACCATGTAACTGCGGCGACAAGTAACCATGGTAATATGGTTGCTATAGATCCAACATTTAACAATATGCAGTCGATTTATTCTCCTTCAATGAACTCAGTGACAACTAACTCATCTGTTATGATGATGGATACACTATCGCCTATTTCACCTATAAACATGATGAGTCCTACCACTCATCTCATGAGTCACGGGAATAATCCAATGGTAATTTTTTTTGTCTTGTCTTTTTGCTTTAAAATAATGATTGATAATTAGGATACATTTGTTGCGCCTGTGAATGTATCCTATATGATGACAGGAGACAACATGAGTAATAATAATGGATATTTCCACCATGTAATAGCTCAACCAGCTACAGTCGAGTCACAAAACTACTTGGATAGAAAAGCAAAACGATCTTTACCGAGAAGACATACGGTATCGACACCTTACGACACAAACACAAGCACGATTGAGAAGTCGAATGAAGCCAAGACAACAGTAACGGCAGCATCAAAAAAATCGTCTCTAAAGGCAAAGAGACACAGATCCATGGGAAAATTAGATATTTATGCTCAACAACAAGATAATATACCACCTGTTCCTAATATCAAAGAGCTCTCAAACAAATTAGAACACTGGACACACCAAGAACTGTTACAACGAGTGATTGAATTAGAAAAAGAGAAGAAAGTTGCAGCATCAGTTGCACAAATCGCTAACGGTAAAGTACTGAAGAGGCTTTGAAAAACTGATTTTAACCGTTTGTTACAGAAGGCGGAGTGATGATGAACAGTAACACATATGTGTCTCAAAAGGGGCTGGATAAAGTTAGATCAAATTCACAGACAGATAACGAAGAAGAAGATGATGAAGAAGACATAGAGGAAGAAGAAGAAGGAGGCTCTACAGAGGAAGAACAAGAGGAGCAATCACAAAAGTGTCAATGGGAGGACTGTGATGAAGAATTCAATAAATTAGAAGAATTAACAAACCATGTAAAAGCAGATCATATTGGAAGTGGAAAAGTAAGTTACTATGGAAACACAAGAGAATGTTATCTAATTCCATATAGACACAATACTATTGTCTTTGGAAAGACTGCCCTCGTCAACAAAAGCCATTTACGAAAAGACACAAGATGCATAACCATTTACGTACACATACAGGAGAAAGACCGTTTATATGCACACATCCTGGTAAAAAGCAAAGCAAAAGATTGTATTTATTTAGTTCTAAAATGATACATTAGATTGTGGGAAAAAGTTCTCAAGACCTGACTCTTTAACGACACATGTAAAGATACATTCAAATATTCGACCTTATCTCTGTAAACAGCCCAATTGTGACAAAGCATATTATCATCTAAGATCATTACGCAAGCATGAAAAAACTCACATGAATAACAATGATAATAACAATGACAGTAATAATAATAATAATAAACATCAAGTAACACAATCAGCAACTTCACAGCTCGATAATATGTCTACTGCCATGGTAGAACAAGATATATATTCCGATTGGGCATTGTCAACACAGGCTGCCGTATTTGATGTCATGGAAACATATCATGTATAAAAATAGTTTATAATAAATATATATGCATATTTTAAATATAGTTTTACAGTCCTTCCTTCTAGACTTTCTCGCTCTAAATTTAGAAAAAATATAATCTTTACTGTGCTTGCACAGTCATATAGCTGTACTTACGCGCCTTTCCCTCTTCTTTATCAAGTGATATAAACTGGATAAGCTTTACTTAATTGCTAAGAATGCTTTATTATGATATGAGTGAGATTAACCTAGTTCATATTTTAGTTTAATATGTAACTTTATCCTTAATAAAACATGAGTCTATGAGTTGCATCGTTGTCTAAAAGATATTTATTACATACGTCACTTTCAAATATTGTCTTCCTATAAAGTGATCCGAAGAAATCTGTGCGTAATAAATTATTGCCGAGGGGGAGCGTTGTACAGTTATGTACACAAGGACATAATCTTCCCCAAAAGCAGGCGAAGACGGCATTTTCATAAAAATGTAGATATTTTTTTTTTGCCGCTCAAAATCCAGCAGATGAATATATTAAAAAACGCATTTGGTATAAAAAATATCACATTATTTGTATTTGCTCTTTTAAAAATCATGGTTTATGAAGCCAAGAGAAGGTGTCTTTATCAAGTTATTGAATTGGTACAAGTCAAATTGGACTATTGATCGTCTGTCTCTTGCGGTATTTTTAGCTTAATCTTGATCAATTTTCATCACCAGCAGGATGATTGATATATATTGATCGCTATTTGGTACAAGTATCCTAATTCTTTCCAAATTCCTTTTTAGGAAGCGAGCTACTCTCACTCAAAAATAGACATGGAAAAAGAAAACAAAAAATATACATATAGAGAGAGAGGAGCTTGTAAAACTTTCTTTTTTTAACTTTGAGTCACCCTATCATATACACTGTGGGCGCTGTACATGCGCGCAATTAAATGTTTTGACATTATTTTTTCTTTTCTTTTTTTCGGAGCCGAGCCGACAGATGCATTACTCAAAAATAAGGTTTATCAAACATAAAACACCTGAGCATTCGAGCAACGTTTGTCCATCTTTAAACTTTATTAATATCTGTACGCCCAATACGAGGCTGCTGAAATGGCTGTTTGCTGGTCTTCTCTGCCAAGCTAAAAATATAAAGTGAATATATATGAATAATAACCGTTTTACTTTACCTCTAATTTTATTTGTCTGTGTAGCTCACACAAATAGTCTGGGTAACTCATTTGTGAATAAACTTCATCTTCAACCAACACCTTTGCTAATTCAATTTCTAAATCCAGTCCTTGGCGAATTATCTGAAACTTGGGTAAATAAGCACAATGTGAGCCCATCTTACGGTTGTACAAGTTCCACAGAGGATGATTATTATCTTGTAAAACATCAATAGGATTAACCATGGTAGAATCAGAAACTCCAGCAAGATTTATAAGTTCTGAAGGTGTTTCCTTTCCCAACCATAAGAAGATAGAATCATATGTCTCTGAATGGAAATTAATAAGATTGCCTGATTTTGTTTACTTTATTTTTACCTATCCAGTAAATGCCCTTGGGGTCCATTTTCTCATAAGACAGCCTCTCGAGAGGATATCTAGTCTTGTCACTCTGCATAAGCCATTCATGAACCTTGATCATTGGTGGATAGAACCATCTAATTGTTTCTTTGATACCAGCAGACTTTATTCTTCGCATAGTATAGACTCTGACATCAGCATTTACAGAGGAATCTATAGTCACACTGTTGGTTCAAAAGTATATATTTGACTCTTTTTTTTCGTACCTTTTCTTAGTAAGATGGACTTTTTGAACGAAGAAATTAAAAGTGGTAGTGTTTTGACAGTTTCTGGCAAGACAAGCTGAGCTGGTGAAGCTTGAGGTGTCACATATTTGCGATAGTTTAACAACACCTTGACACATAGTTGATCCAACTCGTTCGAGAGATCGCTCAATGACTTTTTGATGGATAAGGTGATAAATTTCTTGGTTAAAAGATTCAGACAAGTATCCGCGTCTGCTCCTTTGAATACAGAAGCAACTGTTGTTCCCACAGCAAGCTTCAAGTTATGCACTCGAAGTCGTCGTTCACCATTCGACGTGGTATAGAGCATAGCACTTTGAATATACACATCCTTGGTTAATTTACTTCCATCATGCGTAAGTTCAACACCAATCGCGGTATCTGCATGAATACCAGCCAAGTCAATGTCAGTGGCCGTATCCATGGAGAAATTACCATAGTGATCTGCAGTAGTGACGCCTTATTTTTTAAGAGTAATGAGTATAATCTAGATGAAGTTTCACACACAATTTACCATTAGAACATCTAACACGCAATTTAGCTCGATAGCCATGCTCGGCTTGCACAGTGTGTCTTAGGTTGTGGTACATTTGTTTGGAAGATATGTCAAAATTGGGCAAGTAGTGTATCTCTCCTGCTGTAAGGGCAGACAAGACACCTACTGTCGCGACATCAATGTAATAGTTGGCTGGTGGAGCTAACCAGATGTCTACAGAAACGCCTGCTTCCACAAGCTCATTACCCAGCTTCGTATAGAAGTTGCCCTGAGGAGTAAACAGGCTCTTTTCGATTTCACGTCCATAGAGGCTTGTGTCATTACGGTCTTTTAGGGTGCCTTGTCCAATGGTGGGGAGTGTTGCCAGAGTTGAGATCACTTTGCCTCCTTGATTTTTCTACAAGATTCATCAGTAAACTTTGGCTACGAGCTTATGCCCTTTACCAATGCCAATAGTGCAGCTCTCGCAGCAGATCCAAATGCTGCAGTAGACACGGGATTGGACTGAAACACGTTGGGTATTTGATCCAATAATTTGTTGATGACGTTCCTAGCTTAATTTAACAACAGTAAGAAAAGAACAAGATGTGTTTCTAACCTTGACTCATAAGGGTCAACAAAGAGACCCTCTAAAAGGGGAATAAATACATCTTCCAGATCTGGCACGACCATCATGTTTGCCGTGTCTGATGTCGACTAAAAGAAGGTCAGCAAGATATAATAAAAAGCTGGTACTATTGTTATTTATCACCTGCAAGTTGTAAAAGTGTAGGCTATTATCAAAGGTCATAATACCAAGCTTGGTACCAGGCTGAAAGCAATTGGAGCTTATCATATCCTTTATAACACCGCAAAATTGATGAAGCATGCCTGTTGCATTTCTGGAAACATCTATAGCAAACAGATAATGCAAAGGACAAGGCTGAACGCCCAACCAATACTCCTCAGGTACTTGAAATTCCACAGATCCATGCATCAGTTCAGGATGTTTATCTGTATCCATTCTTCTGCCAGATACAATATCCACTGGACAGAACTGGTGTTCAGGTACAATATTGGTAAACTCACACAAGTTGCAAATAAATTTTCTTCCTGCATCAATGTACTGACACCAAGGATTGATATATCCTTTACAACGACTACAGCGTACTGGGCCATCTGTAGAGAGCGGTATTAATGGAACATTTTCATCTTCAGGGTGAAGTTGAGCGAGGGGTTGGATGATGATGCCAAATGGAAGTCCCGTATCTTGTACAAGGTTGCTGTCACTGGGTATATCCCTCAATGTGGGTCGCATAAACCGAGGATTACAATTGCCCTGATCGATACATTTGAAGTTGGTGCTGGCAAGAGGCGGTACTTCCTCTGTGCAAGTACCATAGTAGTAGTCAGGCCGTTCGCAACGATCAGCATCGCGGACTTGAAGTTCCACAGGTGATGGTAGTAGGTTTGGATCAATACGTGGCTTTTTTGTCTGAGGCGGGAGACCAAGAGGTGTCTGTTGATTAACTTGGGTGGTTGGCAGATTGTTGTAGTTGTTGGGTGGTTGAGGTGGAGCTTGTGGAATTGGTGGTATTGGTGTATATGCTCGACGTGAACGACCAGCTCTCTTTATAAAAAAAAATGGTTATTTCTCTGAAAGTCATTCTGAGTAAAGAGGAGTTACCTGGGAATCAGAATGAATATTCATATTGCTCATACTATTTACTAGTTGATCAGCATTGTATTGAGGTGCGTTAGAATGAGTCAATGGTTGAGCTAACATTTAGGTAAGTTCTCTTTTGCAATAAGAATACTCATCAAAGTGCATAGATCTATAATTACCCTGTTGAGATCTTGCAGTTGGCTGACCTTGCTGCATGAACTGAGGTGAAACATTATGTGCCCCATAGGGATGCTGATGACTACCTGGTGGAGGCTGTGTCATTGCTGGCGCGCGAAGCTGGGAATTGTCAATAGAGGTCTTTATGAGAAAAGTTTAATATTTTGATATCTCAATTGTCCATTTTTGGTATAAGCGGAGATGGACTCTTGGTACATTCTATATGACCCTATAACAAAGCATGAGAATGGATAAATAGAGTAAAAAAGGGAAGTATGTATTGATATTGAATTGTTTATATTGAAATACAGTTCAAACAGATAAATCGCTTTATTATTTCCGTTTCTATTCGTTAACACAAGGTTGTACAAGTTGGTGCATAAACCATTTCTTACTGTTAGTTTCATCAGTCAAATCAGCCTTGTTTGCTTTACACCTAAGACAATGTCTTTTATTGCGGACATTTAAATTAATGATTACCATTGGTTAAATGAACTCATATAGACACAAGCCAGAAAAGATTTTTTATTTATTTCTTTCACCATGCCAGCCTCAGACAAGAAGCAGACAAAGAAACAAGTAGAGCAAGAAGAATCTGACTCTGAAGAGCTTTGCTTTATTTGTACTGAACCAGTAATCACCTACGCAGTGGGTGAATGTGACCATAGAACTTGTCATCGTTGCGCTCTTCGTTTAAGAGCTTTGTATGAGACCAAAAACTGCACTTATTGTAAAGTAAGTTGGGGAAAGCATAAAAGAGATAGATAAATAACTTGTTTAGCTCCTAGGCTGAACAAACGGTCGTCATTTTCACAAAAGAAGCCGAGAAACCGTTTGGTGACTATGTAGAAAGCGATACACCTTTTGTAGATAAGAAGCTAAACATCAAGTTTGAAACACAAGATATGTACAGGGATTCGATTAATATGCTAAAACATAATTGCCCTGAGAAAGATTGTGCCGAGTGCTCCAATAATTGGCCAGAATTAAAGCTTCATGTTAGAAAGGAACATAACCTCAACTTTTGGTAAAGATCATGATTTCTCTTTATTTGATTGTCACTAACAATGAAATCAGTGATCTTTGCATAGATCATAAAAAAGTATTTCCCTTTGAACACACCTTGTATACCTCTGAGCAGCTGATACAGCATTACAAAGAAGGAGATAAGAAGTTTATCAAGAACGATGAAAGTGGATTCTCTGGTCACCCTGAATGTCAATTTTGTAAAAAGTACTTTTTCGGAAGCGATGAATTGTATGTACATTGTCGAGATAACCATGAACAATGCTTTCTTTGTGTAAGAAATGGAGTACGTCATCAGTATTATGTCAATTACGCCAGTCTCGAGCAGCATTTCAAGAAGGATCATTACATGTGCCTGTACCCTCAGTGTCTCGAAAAGAAGTTTATAGTGTTTGATTCATCAATAGATCTGATAGGACATGAAGTAGAGGTTCATGGAGAAAGCACATCTGGATTACAGAGAAGTATGCAAATGGGTGCACGTCGAATCGATTTAAACTTTCAGTATGACCAACCAAGGCCATCTCGTGCCAATGGAAATAGGAGCGAAAACACCAGGAGCAATAGTACAGGCACCAGTAGCAGTGCATCATTATCCACGAACGATTTCCCCAGTATACAGAGTACCGCACGCTCTTCAAATGCTACAGTCGCAACTCAATCTCGGGCTGTTCCTGGAGCGTCCATTCGAAAAAAGAATAAGCAAAAGGCAGTGCAGAAACCTACTGGATTTGGAGCCCTTTCTCCTGCTGAAACTGGATCACCTTCGACCTCAGGCACGGTTACACCTGATGCCACAGGCTCATCAACTGCGGAGACATCTGTAGTAGCATCACATGCAGCATTTTTAGCAAAGCTTGAGGATATATTACAAAGCAAGCAGAAAGTAACCGAATTTAGAAAATTAACAGGTGCCTTTAGAAAAGGCACGATTGATGCAGATGCTTATGTAAATCAAGTTGTCTTATTGACAAATAGCCATGTTGAAAAATCAAACAAGATATTCAAGGGCGTAGAGAATTTGTTAGATATTGAAGAAAAGAAATGGGAAATGATCCGTGCCTGGAGAAATAAGCATACGGCGGTAAGAAATAACCCCATCTTTTTAGAATGGTAATTAATCATATCACAGATGACCCAATTTCCTGCACTAGAATCAAGCGGACGACCAGCTTCAAGCACAATTAAAAAATCTAGAGTGTTGGTGATAAAGGAAACCAAGACCAACAAACCAAACAAGTCAGTACAAAAGACTGCCTGGAGTAGTAGTAATGGTAGTAGCAGTGGTAGCAGTAGTACTACTACTAACAGTAAATCGACAAAAAAGTCAACAAGTAATAATAATAATAACAATAATGGATCCAGTACAAGCCGGCATGGTTCGCCTACGTCAACACCTAGTTCTAGTACACCTACTCTTTTAGAGAATCAAGCATTCCCATCTCTACCTACCGCAGCACCTAAACATCGAGAAGTATTAAATATAAGACGTAATACACAGAGAACACGAAATGCTTGGGATGGAAATACCAGCCAGATAGAAGAAGATGATCAAGTGAGTGATTCATCCATAGACAAGAAGAAGAAGGGTAGAAAAAATAAAGTGTTGCTGAGAGTTGGCCTATAATTGAATAAACTGAGTTTCTTTTTATTGTTTATTTGTATTTTTTCTCTTTGTAAATTTTTTCTTGTGTTAAAATGAAGTTGTATGACATGTTTAGTCAAAAGCAAATCACCCCACCACCTAACCTACCTTTAGCCTCCAACTCAAGTAATTCATAATATATATATATATATATATATATATGCTCTATATATGCTTATTAGCTTATATTACCATAGGCTTGTTCAACATATCAACCAACTTTCAACAGGACGTCTTTACTACCAAAATTGAGGTATAGCATATATACATTACTCTTTTTCTTATTTCTCATTGTTTTAAAAAAACAGCAAATGTTGATTGAACTAAATCGACTTGTTAATCAAGCAGGCGATATTCCATTTTCCTTATTGCCACCACATCACGATGTCATCTTGGTCATGCGTCAGATCCCTCTCTTGATCAACCAAAGTTCTACACCTTTACTACTTTATTCAGTTGTCGAAAGAATCATGTGTCAGTTATATCAATCAACAACGCCTTTAGCTATTGAAGTCTATTGTCGATTCCTTCAAATATTGATGGACCTTTCAGCCACTGTCTCAAAAGACATCCTTTCTTGGATACTTTATTCAGATGATCCAGTAAGAGGACACGATGGCACCAATCAGAGATGGACATCTAACATTCGTTATAGAGAAAGTATAATGCGAGAGTGATGAGTGCCCTGATAAAATCAGGACTGGTACGCATAGAAGAGTTTGATACTCAGTTGTCAAAACAGTTGGATCAGTCACAAGACCCTCAGCTCATTGAGTTTGCTGTCACATTATTAAGACTTTGTATGCTTATGCTTCACCCCATTAGTTCAATAGATGACCATTTATTGACAATTAGAGCACTCATGCGACTGGACCATGCCTTGTAAGTTAAAATTATTCTCATTTGTGGATTGCTGATAGTCTTTTTTTTGAAGGGCAAAGGAGTTGATTCAGGAATTGGAAGATCAATGGATGGCGAAATATAGGAACCCAAAAAATGATACATTCACTCTCAGACTCTTGTTTGCCGAATGGATTCGATTATACAAGCATGCACTTACAGCAAGCAGCACATATCACCAATTTGCGAAAAAAGTATTTATTAAACAAGTATTGACTGTATGCTTATTGCTATTATTGCTATAATCATTAGATCATGAAGACCGTAACAAATAATCCAGATAGAATGTGCTTCTTTTTTAGACTTTGCACAGAAGTTTGTGTAGAATTATATCAGTCAACCAAGTCTCATTGCATTGACGCCTATAGCAAACTTGTTAGTAACATCATTCGAATTAATCAAGACTCGATCAAGATATCCTGTCAAGTACTATCTATCACTGTTCTCGTGATTGCCGAACACCATGAGAAATTAAGCACTCAATTCAATCAAAAGCCATTCTTAAAGCTGTTGGGATCGCTGTTTATTGAGCTGAACAATGTGAATGATAGAGAAAGCTTTATTGGAATTTACGGGTAGATTGATCCATGTAGTAAAATGTAGATCCAACCTAATTCTTTTTCTTTTTATAGAGATGTGCTCTATACACTTCGACCATTAAAGTTCCCTGGATTTGCTTATTCTTGGCTACAACTATTCTCTCATCGACTCTTTTTACCTTTACTGCTCAAAGAAGAAAATGAAGGCTGGACGATTTGTTACAAGCTCATGTCGGCGCTGCTTTCTTTTATAACCGTGCTACTCACACCGACAGAAGAGCCCGCGAGATTATCAAGATCAGCCAAGGCATTTTATCAAGGTTCACTTAGATTTTTAGTGGTCATGCTACATGATTACCCTGAATTTCTCTGTGAGCACTACTTTTCGTTTATCCAGTTACTGCCATTAAGTTGCGTACAGCTTAGGAACGTCATTTTAAGTGCATTCCCTCGCACTATGATATTGCCGGATCCGTTTACGATCTCACTGGGTTACGTTGCTAACAATACAACCAAACCAAAGCTGCTACAGATAAAAGAAGAGGATGCGTTGATTGAGATTGGCGCTTACCTGACAACAAAACAGAGTAAGATGTCGATTGGCAGTAGTCTGGTCAGCTATATCTCTTCACGAGATGAGAAGCAGCCATGTGATGTTGAAAGGATACAAAGGCTTGTGTTCTATGTGGGCAGCCATACAACAGTGGATACAAAGAAACCATTGTCTGAAAACCCAGCCATGCAGATCTACAAGTATCTACTGGCATATTTTTCATCCACTAGTAATAGTTTTGGACAGTATGCGCTGTTGAACTGCATTGCCGATCATTTACGGTATCCCAACAGTCATACTTATTTCTTCAGCATGGCCATCCTTCATCTATTTAATTCACAATCACAACAAATTAAAGAACAGATAACAAGGCAAGTATTATATATAAAAAATGGATAAATAAGTTGATTAACATCATATATTCTGTATAGAATATTACTAGAAAGGCTGATAGTGAATCGACCTCACCCATGGGGCCTGTTAACAACATTTGTTCAGCTCATCAAAGAGTCTCATTTTAAGGAAAATGATTTTATCAGATGTTCACCGGATATTAGTCGTCTATTTGATAATGTATCCAAGTAAATATAAACGCTTACATTCGAATATGTCACTAATCTATGAAATACACGTAGATCAATCCAACGCATGTCATAAAATGAACAAAAAGAATCCTTATTTATTGTATTTCTGTATCTTCCTTTTTGATTTTTGTGTATCTTTTATTAGAATAAACCTTCTTTAGCTTTCTTATTCGCCAAACAGTCTTCTGACGCGCTTAAGTACGCTATCTTTCTCAGGGTCTACAAGAAAAAAAAAAATGACGTTAGATAACTCAAGATAGACTATAGAAATGATAATACCATAAGGATGATCTTTGGAGGGTATCTCGAGTACAGCAGGGAATGCTTGGTTGTGTCCGTCAACTAGTTCTCGAATATCTTCTGCAATCTATATTATATTTTAAGTAAAACGGATACAAGTAACTGCTATTTGCTTACATGTTGATTAATCAGAATGATGGCAATATCTTTACGCTTTGTATATTCAATAAACGTTTCTTCAATAGTGCTCAAAGGGGTTTCTATTAAAGGTAAATATAAAGTAAAAGTGTATAATATTATATATTTACTAGCGTCTACTACCAAGAAGTTTCTCTTTTGTTGTTGATTTACATTACCAATGCCGGCGAGTAAGAGACCGGTGACAGAATCCTATACAGTATATGAATTCGTTTACCTTTTTCTCTGTAATATTTTGTATATACAATACCTCGTCACCAATAACTGCAATAAAGTTACGGTCTTTCTGAAGTGCTGCTCCTCCTCCAGACATTATGAATAGCTATAAAAGGGGAAACCGTTTCATAACAAGAACACTGCAGTAAAAAGCCAGTCGCGCTAATTGAAATATTTATCCAATAGAATACTCTGGTATCTCTTAAGTTTTTTCTTTTCTTAACTATGGATAACCAAGAGATGGATCGATCGAATGAACAAGAATTTTATGACAATGTTTATTTTGACACGGACGAAGAAGACGAAGATGAATCTATGGGTTTAGGCCTTCCCAACCAAAAAAAGAAAGAGTCAAGTAAGAAAAGAAAGAGAAATATTTGTGTTTGCTGATGCTGATTCTTTATGGTCAGAAAGTAGGAAAATACTGAGTAATGACGAGTTACTTTATGATCCAGAACTTGACGATAAAGATGAAGAATGGGTGAATGAACAGATTGTTGGTTTGTATATATTTATAATACTCCCGTAATCTAAAATAACCCAAAGCGATCTAATCTGTTAAAAAGCTGATTCTATGGATTCTATGAAAGGACAAGGAAAAACAGACGCCATACTCACTTGTCCTATGTGTTTTATAACATTATGCTATAGCTGTCAGAGGTAAAGCATAGAAAAAAAAGAGTTCAATAGCATATTCTAATGTCACTATAGACATGAAAAGTACGCGGATCAATACAGAGCCATGTTTGTGCATAACTGTCACGTGATAAAAAATGAACGATTTAAACCAAAGGATGCTATGGAAGAAGAATATTACCACAAGGTTGTCTGTGATCAATGCGGTATTCATGTTGCCATGATGGATCAAGATGAAGTCTACCACTTTTTTAATGTGATTCCAACCACTTGAACTATTCGGAAATCGAATATTGTCTCCCTCTTTAGAGTCCCTTTTCTTTTTTCTCTCCCCCTCTCTCTTTTATTTTTATATAATTAGAAATGAGTTGGAAGGTGTATATATAGGCATTTTAAATATTGCACAATTTTGTATAAACTATGCTTAACTTATCATAATAAAGGGTTTTCAAAAAGCAATGAGTCGTTTGCCTCATCAGATTATGGCAAAGAAACAAGATGGTAAAAAGAAGATATACTTGGTCATTCTGAAAAAAGAGATAACATACTTTATAGCAACAAGAGATGTTGAGTTTATACAACATGAAAATCACTTTAATGAAACAATGAAATTGGTTGATACGCTAAGAGCTGAAGCACAAGCATTTCGTGACCAAGTTGCTGGTAAAAAAAATAGTTGCATAATCAAGACTCATAACAAAGCGGCGCGTCAATAGTACTGCTATCCAACCAATATGATATAGCCTCTCTTGTCTCAAGCATCTATGGCCTAAACTTGGAAACTTCAGAACCTGTTCAGGGCTCTGCTTTACAAGCTGCGAATGATGCAGAGGCTGCCATGGCCTACTGTCAAGACGAAATACTACCTCAGCTTGTAATGTATAAACCTATGACTTACTTCAGTCAACTGACGTTTAGAATAGGATACCATTGATCAACTTGTTGTTCGTCCTGCATTAGAGCTTCATGAGATATCCAAGACGATACAAAAGACGATCGTGAAGCGTAACCACAAGATGGTTGATTACGATCGACATAGGGCCAGTCTAAACAAGCTCACAAGCAAGGCTGAACGTAGTATGAATGATGAAAAGGCAATCTTCAAGATACAGAGTCAACTAGAGACAGCAACCCAAGATTACGAATACCTCAACAACACTCTAAAGCACGAACTTCCGATATTCTTTCAATTATTATCACATTTAGTTCAACCCATCCTTGAGAACTTGTATCATCTGCAGACCAAGATTTATGGCATGATTTATGCAAGATGCTATGAATTGGTGACGGCAAACCAACATCATTTTGTCACTCAGGGAATGGATATCCAAGGGGGATACCAGTGGAGATTAAACCATTACAACGGACAAGCAGAGATGGAGAATCTTGACTTGCTTCATGCTAAAGGGAAAGCGTGGTTAAGTGGTAATAGAGAGACTGTGTGTGTATGGCGCTAGATATTCACATGTTCATTTCTTAGCCTCCGGTAGCACGGATAATTCCAAGTTTTCGCTTCAAGAAAGGGCCGCCTTAAAAAACACTAATCACACTACTGCATCACATGCAGCCAATGACGAAACAATAAAGAAATATGTGGTAGCACTCTATGATTATGATGCACTTGCTCAAGGTGACTTGAGCTTTAGAAAGGATGACAAGATCGAATTAGTAAACAGAACTCAAGATGCCAACGACTGGTGGACAGGCAAGCTGAGAGGACAGACAGGTGTATTTCCTGGTAAGTAACAAACAAACAAAAAAAAAAAAAAAAAAGACTCATATGTAAAATATAGGCAACTATGTTCAAGAGATATAATAATCATATATATTTATTGTTGTTACTATGAAGATGCTGAAGATAAAACATGATTTACAAACCGAGCTAATTCTTGTGAAGTTGAGCATTGTAGTAATTTACTTTGGACATGGGCTTCGATTTCCTAAAATAAACATATTAGTTTAAAAGCATAAATGTATAAAAATAATATAAACATACCTGTAGTACATCCACAGCATGTGGTCTCGTCGAAGGCTGCTCATCTAATAACCAAGCAACTAAGCCCCTCATGTACATGGTAGGTAAACTATAGGTGAAAGTAGGACTTGGTTCACTCAGGATTGCCTTGAACAGTTCAGTTTCATCTCTTATTAAATAATGAGGAGGCACTCTGTCCATCATTTCAATGATTGTAATGCCCAATGACCACATATCGATCTTTTCATCATAGTATTGTTCTCGGATGACTTCAGGCGCCATCCATTTACTTGTACCTAATCGTTCTCTATTACGTCTTGTTGTCTTGGTAGCAAGACCAAAGTCAGCTAATTAAATAAGGATAAGTGTCATTAAAATAGTGCTGCAGATGTCTCGCTTACCTAATTTGACTTCCCCATTCCATCCTATCAAAAGATTCTCACATTTGATGTCACGATGAATGAATTGCTTGGAATGTAAGTAGCATAGACCCTTAAGTGTCTCGCAAGTGATATGAACAGCATACTGTTCAGGAATACCGCGCTGACATAAGATGGCAAAGACGGAGCATCTCTGTAGATCCATGGCCATCCAGACTTCTTGTTTCCACAAGGAAACTTGTCTTAATCGAATAAGGTTTGCGTGACCAGTTGACATGATAAAAAGTTCTCGAATTATGGAAGCTTTATACTCTTTATCAGGATCAAGTCGGCATCGTTTAATGGCTAAATACGTATTTTTTTTGTATTTATGACGTGCTCGAACGACAGAGCCATTTACACTAAAAAAGGAAATAGGGGTAAGTTACAGATGTGATAAATAGCGATGATGGGCTTACCCTGTGCCAATCTCTTGAAACCCGTCATATTTGTTACGTGGGTCAAGTGAAGAAACTTGTACGGAAGAAGGTAAAGCTTTTCTGATTTTTTTCTCGAATTCATTCCCAGTTTTAATTAAAGGAGGTAACTGAGGTATTTCTGTGCAGAGACCAGCTGGACGCCAAGGATGCTTAGATATGTGCTTTTCGACATTTATCGTTCGCAAGAAGTTGTTTTGAGGGAATAAATTAGGTTCGGGTTTAAGGAAACAATCACTACCAAATACATTTGGTATTTCGTAATGACCAGGAGACCTCCAGACTTTGTTGTTATTATTTTTTGTGGATGATGGTGCTGACACAACAGAGGACCTTCGTAAGCATCCTGTCGATCTTCTCTTCATATTTAAGGAACTTAAAATGTCCACTTGTCTAGTAGATGATTCTCTTTGATCCGCTGTGGTTGAAGATTTAGATTGCCTCAGGTTGCCTAGGGATGCTCTTTTATTCCCTAGCAATCCTCCTAAAGCATTCTACAAAAAAAGGGGGGATCTGTTAGTAATCGAAAGGGATAAAGGGGGTGAGTCTTTATTTTACTTTTCTAGTCTCTTTTAATGCATCAATCACTGCTCTTCCATTGAGTGGAGACGCGATGGATCGTTGGGTATTTGATGATGCATTGTTGCTTTTATAAGAATGAAAGGATGATTTATGTTTGAGCATTTCTCTTGTTTTGTTAAAGGAAAGAAAAAAGGACAAGAGAAAAGAAAGAGAGAAAGAAAGAAAGAAAGGGATTTATTTACTTCATCTTTAAAAAGTGGCGGGTTACGGTGTCCACGTGTGTAGAGAGAAGAACGAATAAAAAGAAGAAAAACAAAAAAGGAGGAAAGAGAAGATGTAAAGTCTTGTGCATAATTGTTTTGGCAATTTCACTGTATTTTATTTATTTCACTCTTTCTCTTTCTCTTTCTCTTTTTCTTTTCTCTCCAGCGTTCACTCACGTGTGGATAGTGTATAGTTTCAAATATTCTTAATATAGGAATTATGAAAAAAAATTATAAAGAGTAACATGACAACCTATTATAAAGAATATGACCCAAAGAGTGCTACATGTCATATCAACAATGAAATAAAAACTGAAAGTAGCACAATAACACAAAGAATATAACAAGCCTAAGTGAAAAAAGGGGAGTCAACAGGAGTCAACAGTCCCCTAATTCTCATTTGGGTTATAAGCTATGCATTATTTGTTATTTGACACTTGGGTTTGTTATTTTGCTTTTTTTTTATTTTTTATTACGGAATAACACACGGAAGTGGCATTTATATAGTTTAGATTCCGACTTCATTTTAGTGTAACAAAACACGGTAAGTGATCCGATATCACCGCCGTCCCCCTTATTTTCTCTATATCCTTTTCTAGAATCAAAAAACTACACTAGAGAGAGAGACTTACTTCATCTATTTGACTCCGATCTCACTTCAGATGTGGTACCCTTCTTTATAAGATCATCGGATATGAATTTGAAAACAACACCTGTAATCCAGCACCCGTTCTCATATTTCGGAAACCTCGATCATGTTTCAAACGTATCAGCCTTTACATACTGTTTCAGCTTTGTGATATTCCCCTCCTTTGAGGAATGCTCTTGTACTAGCTGCCGATCTTGTTGAGCGTGCCTTGAACTTTGTAGTATCCGTGTCGACCTACTCTAAAATTCCCCTTTGACCCAGTTGATGATTGTGTTGGTCTTGATTTCATAAGATCACTTCCAATATGTTTGAGCTAAACAGAGCAGTGTGATTCTCTACATTTAAAAATGTATTTTTGGGAACTTGGATCCTGATATTCTTTGTTGATTTCGAAAAATCTTGCGCCAGCATATCATCTTTCTCTAGATGTACCAATTAAATACCGAAGCTAGCCCCTAGCGTATCCCGTTTTAATGTTTGATGTCAAGAGTCGATCTCTTCTGAATGTCACCATTTGATCCAATTCTTTCAATACTCGTTGTAAGCTCTATTGAAAGTGCAACAAATCTTAATTCTCATCAGCTCCATTCACTTCTTACGATAGCTCTTATTCTTCCCATAGCCGTCAATAGTCCACATGCTATCAAAGATATTGAATTCACCTTCACTTTGAAAGGATCATAATGGCTAAATTGAATAACAGGGCGAGTATAAATGAAGCTGTCTATAATAAAATGATGTTAGTTGTAAAGCCATTTATAAAAATATACATGCTGTATCAATATACAATTTAGACTTTCTGTGAATAAGAGACAAAGTTTAGTACTAAAAATGAGAACCTTTTTAAGCTTAAGATATCTTTGATGCATGATGCATTTATGTAAAATGGATTGCATTTCTAATATAGTATTTATCCTTTTTTCATCTTTTCCCTCAGACTTGTATGCTCGTGTTTATAAGATTCTGAACTCGTGTTTTTAGGTACAACTTTAACTGAATCAGTCAGAGAATTCTTTTAAATAGAGTGTCACTTAATTACTTTTTGGTATAATGTCAAAAGTGAAGTGCTGTTAGTCTCGTCAAGTTTGCAATCAGAACAGCACTGGTTGAAATATATCATTATAGTTATTTTTGTTTCTTTACTTGTAATGAAGTTGCTGGCTTTTGTTGTTTTAGCTCATTTATTAGAGATGCCTATTGTAATTGGCTATTTGATCAAGTCTTGTTGTCATAATTGTAAAAATTAAGTAGATTCTTTTTGAAAAAAAAACTGAATGCTACTAAAATGAGCTTTACTATTAGAGAATTTATGACTGCTATTTAAAATTTAGATTGTAAAATAATGGGCAGATAAAACAATCAGATCGTAAAACACCACTCTACTTCTATATTGGAGTTGCCATGGATACAGGTATATATCATCTGTATCATTTTTCAAATTATATGAACGTTTATGCAGAATGTAGCTCAGATTAACATTACTATTATACTGAAAAACTTAATTTCAAGAAATAGGGCAATCAACTCTAGAGCATGCTTTTGAGAAAATTAGAATGAGAAGAACATATGCATTCCCTGACAATTAAATACCAAGTCTAAGAGATGATCACTCCTTTTTGTTCACTGTGCCGGCTTTTTATGCATATGAATCGCTCTTTTTTCTATATTTGATCTAGACTATTCGTCATTCAAAAAGAGGAAGATTCATGCATTAGTGCAGATAAAGCTAGTAGACCAGTGATTTATTTGTTTACAATTTGAGTATTGGGTTACTTTGTACTATAGGAGTTAGTACTTTACTTACATGACATGTATTGTATATGAAGCATGTACATGTAGTAAAAGGACCCTCCACCTTGAATGTTGCTATTGTGCAACCCGAACAGAAGAAGTGTATCAACATTGATACGATACTTCGAGAGAACATACTTGGGCCGAAGTCAAAACTTTCTTAAAAAAAAAAAAAAAAAAGAAGTATAAGAGGAAGGTATATACTTGGCCGTATACGTCTATGACAGACAAGCTAATTACTATCACAAGGCAAAGCCATATCTGCAATAGGGTCTTTAGTAAATTCAGGGCACAAATCTATAAAAAAAAAAGGAGGCAGCAAGCTTCAAATAGGCTTGGCGGATAATGATTTTAATGCCTCATCATATAGTTCAATATCCTTTGGACTCTTTTTCAACATCAAAAAGCTAAAGCATTGTAACAAACCATGAAGAGAACAGTCTGTAGACTTTTGAGCCTAGAACGGCGTATTATGCAAATGTACCTCTTGCATAATTCCCAACATGAAAACTAAAACTGTTTTAGATTTCCTATTGAGTAAATAAAGGGAGATTATGCATAAAACATATCCCTAAAAGAGGTTGTTTTTTTATAGATGGTATGGACAATGATATGTCTAGTGTGCATATGGGCAAAATCTGATCTTGGCATCAGAGGCTTTCCCATTTTGTGTAAAGACAGTTACAACTCCACTTAGAGTGACACCAAGATAATTTGCTCAACAAGAAGTACAGTACTCTCATCAAAAAGCGGGGTTAAGCGATTAATTAAATACGGGTGAATTCCGTGATCGGAAAATGTAAGAATATAACATACAGCTTTTTAAAAGCTGCATCACCACCAATCCTGAAGGCGTGGGTTATTAAAAAAAAAAAAAAAAAATGAATAGTGGTGTTTTCTGAATTGTGTCGCCGGTGAGGGAAATGCGCGCTCCCTCGACGGTTAATTCTCACAGTAGACCATTTCGCACACTGGGACAAGGGAGTGTAACTGTGATTTAGGTACTACATTCGTTGAGCAAACCAACACTGGCAACTGCTTGACAGGAAATACAATTTCCGTCAAGTATTTCATACCTGCCCTACTTTTCTTGACTGTAATCACCAAGTTGCTCGTATTACGACAAAACATTATAGTGAAAAGTGACGTCTTTGCACACCTTTGCAATAGCCATAGATTGCTTATTAGTATGTATAGAAAACGTAATTTCGTGTAGCTATGCCAACTATCACAAGTAAATAACTGTTAAAATTCTCCCTAGGTTCAGTCTTATCCATCATCGCACAACTACAGATGGGTCTTGAAAGATGACCTACACACTACATACACACTGGGAAATACACCAAAACTGTAACTGACAATATTTTAAATGATGCTTAAGGATGTAATGCATATATGCCTTTTTTTCTTTCTTTCTTTATCAAGATGCTGCCAACGTGTGAATAGGCTTTACTTGATTCATACATTCTTTTGTTTCGTTTTCCACAGCTTCTAAAAGATTGTACTGTATTACTATAGTGAAAAACTCTATTGCCTTTTTAAGGTTTTGTAAAATATAAAGAATACCAAACTTGTGCCAAGTTCTTACTAGAGCACTTACATGAAGAAAGTAGAGTTAGGTATGTCGATTGTGGACATCATACACTCAAACTATAGCCCGAAAATGAAACAGTTTTACTTCAAAATGACTCCTCACTGCCATTTAATGCAACCCACGTGTCAAATACTGATGATCGGCAGTAAGCTACCAATGATCAGCAATAACAAAGCACACACATACACACCCCTATATTCAACAATGATAATGAGCTTGCTTATGGCTCACAGTCAAGCAGGCCCTCTCGCTGTAGAGTCTTTTCTAGTCATCAGCAGTCAACAAGAATATCAGCAACAGTACATTGCCTGTAAGTCTGACTCGAAGTGCTTCTTCTGCGAGACCTTGATCGAGATGAGATACAATACTTTTACAGATAATTGAATAGCGCCTCATGAACCATTGATTCTTGATATCCTCTCGATCCATCATATGATCACATGCATTCATAGATAATATTTGGACAAAATTTACAAGGCTTCTAGAATAGCAGCATGCTAACCTATACTGCTTGTTTATGCCTTACTGTACTAATACAAAAGTGCAAAATAGCTGTACCTGATCACGCAAAAGTAGATTTATATAACCATTATTGAATGAAGCAACACGTGTTGTCTACCAGACGAAAGAAAGAAAAAAATAGAGATAGAGAGAGTTGCATATTTACAATTAAGATAAAAGAGGAGAAGAAGCAAAATAAGATGACCGTTTAAAATTTGGATTGGAAACCATACGCATGCATACACTAAAAAGACAATAAATAGTAAATCCCCTAATGCAAGGTCCAGTGCTTATCAGTGCATTCTATTTTATATACCATTTCTTTTTCTCTTCAAGTTAATGACTCCAGGAAGTGTATGTATAGTAATAAAATTCTTTATCAATAAATATCATAGTTATATTATGCTATATACACTGATGCTATCACTTACCTTTGTTAACTATTTATGCTATTTAAGGAGCACTTTTAGAATATACACGATCCCTTATCCCGTCTCCTTTTTGCTAATCTTGAGAAAAAAATGAATATATCGTTTTACCTTTCTCTCTCTCTCTCTTTTTTTTCTTTCCTTTTCGTATATCAAGAATCCCCTTGACGCTTTAACTTATTGTGGTTAGTATTTACAACTGTTTTTTTTTTTTTTTGCACTCATAAGAATGGCTTTCCTTTTCTTTTTTTTTTTTTTTTATTATGCAGCATTTTAATCAATTGAAACTTGAATAGGACCTTAATTAAATAACTATTACTACTACTATTACTATAACTATAATAATTACAATAATCACTATAAACATTACAACACTCTAGTCTTTCTGTTTCTCAACAACATGGACTTTACGTTTAAAGATATATCCATATCCACTAATTTTGACATCCAGACATACACAAGCAATGGTGCAACCAAAAAGCGCACTTCATCAATGATACGACCTGAGCGCAGTCGCTTTAATCAGCATCATCCACAATATCACACAAAGCGACACATTGAGGCAAAAAACGAGGCTTATTATGACCCATTGAACGATATACATGACTCCCATCAGCGATCGGCCATTCGCAGAAGCATCTTGGCACACGATTATGACGAAAAAAGGACAACAGAAGACACTTCTAGTTCAGTCGACGAACTACACAAAAGACTAAGCATCTGGCAAATTTACTGTTACTTGATCACCTGCTGTTGCTCACCAACAATCTTAAAAGTGATTGGCAAAAAGGATAAGAATGCTCAAATGGCATTTCGAGAAAAAATAGGCCTTGTTGTCATCATTTTGATGATTATGGCCTTTGTCGGTTTCTTAACCTTTGGATTCACACAGGTTGTATGCCCGAGACCACCTCTCAGCTTTAGACTGGATTCGATAAATAACGGATACGTGATCATTCATGGGTGGGCCTACATGCTGGCATCCTGGAATAACCATCCGCCCATCCCAGGGATTTCAAAAGTGCCTACAAACGTTATATATGAGCCAATCAATGCAGGTGGTAAGGATGCATCATTTCTGTTCCAAAGCATAAACGGACACTGCGCTTCCGTAATCACACCAAAATCAAAAGGCTCTGTTGCTGGAGAAGGTTCGTTACCTTCTTATTTTCCTTGTCAGTTGATCGATAAAAGCTATACACCTCCCGATCCTTCACTTTACGTAAACCATACAGCTTGTCATATATCTTCCTCAGCAATGACTACCTTCAAGGAACTTAGGACAACAGGAATAATAAACTCAGAGGGAAACTATGATAAGGCTGGAAGAATTTATTATGATTGGAACGACATCAATAGTACATCGCATCTAGCTGTATACAACGGGTAAAGCACATACAAAAGCCAAAATTATTGATATAGTTAGTAATACCTTATTTTAACCCTTAGTCATGTTTTAAATCTAAATCTGTTGCGATCATTACCTCTTTCTTTGTTTGATGTTCCCAAAGATGGTCTCATACAAACGATGATTCAAGACATAGCCTCCTTTGGCGGACAAGATATCACCCATAAAGTTATCGCCCACAAGTCTGAGAGTATACCCTGGAGGACTGAAGCGAGATGTTTAAAAAGCCTGATCAAGATTGGCGAAATAGATACAAAGAGCGTAGGTTGCATGGCCTCTGATGTCGTCCTGTACACGTCTCTGATCGTCATCCTCGGCGTTATTCTCATCAAGTTCTTTCTTGCTGTTGTCTTTGGCTGGTTTCTTTCATGGAAACTTGGAAATTTCAAGGAGGGCAAGTCATACAAAGATAGGATGCGTCGTGATAGGGAAATTGAGAATTGGACAGCTGGCATAAACGTATCTGCTCGATCACCTTATCAGAACGGTTCAGGCGAATCGAAATCTAATCTTCATAAGCCAGCCTCTGCCTATGCAGCCAAAAAGGCTTCCATCATACCTAAGAAGTCTCGATTTACACAACCAGATGCTGGGTCAATGCATTTCAACCCAAATGATAGATCAGCCAGTATGGTATGGACACAGTCTTTAGGGTAAAATGTGTGGCAATAGTATGATAATGGACTTAATTTTTTGACATTGGCTTTTACTTATTTAGATCCAGAGTGTTCCGTTCAAGTGCTTATGAGCAGTCCTACGCCAGATTGAATGGCTCTATATCAGAAAGAAGTCGAAGTTACACAGGTTCTCCTTTGTCTCATCGATCATCTATTACATCCACTTCATCCAAGACACAGATAACATCCCAGTTACTCAAAGAGTGCTCTCAAAAGCTTTCTCCCTATACTGTACCTCAGCCCCGCCCGGATTACATGCCCTTTGGATTCCCTTTGGCTCATACCATTTGTTTGGTCACTTGTTACTCTGAAGGCGAGGATGGACTACGTACAACATTAGATTCAATTGCGACCACGGACTATCCAAACTCTCACAAGCTCATACTTGTCATAGCGGATGGCATGATTACCGGACACGGTAACTCAATGTCTACTCCAGATATATGTCTATCCATGATGGAAGGCTTCTTGATTGAACCAGATGAAGTAGAGGCCAGCTCATATATTGCTATTGCAGATGGTACTAAGCGGCACAATATGGCGAAAGTCTACGCAGGCTATTATCGATACGACAATAACACGGTTGATACGGTTGCTCAGCAGCGAGTTCCAATGATCACGATCGTCAAATGCGGTACACCAGAAGAACAGAACAGAGAGGCCAAGCCTGGTAATCGTGGTAAAAGAGATTCTCAGGTCATCTTGATGTCCTTTTTACAAAAAGTCATGTTTAATGAAAGAATGACAGAGCTCGAATATGAATTCTTTTCAAACATCTGGCGCATCACAGGCGTAAGTCCTGATGAATACGAAATTGTTCTTATGGTAGATGCAGACACAAAGGTGTACCCAGATGCTCTCTCTCGACTTGTAAGCTGCATGGTCAATGATCCTGAAGTGATGGGTCTCTGCGGTGAGACAAAGATAGGAAACAAGACAGACAGTTGGGTTTCTATGATTCAAGGTAAAGCAAGAAGACATGTTTACATATGAAGTGATATTTCTAACATCTCAGCTAGTCTTTGAGTATTATATTTCTCATCACCAAAGTAAAGCTTTTGAATCTATATTCGGAAACGTCACTTGTCTGCCTGGCTGCTTTTGTATGTATCGAATCAAGGCTCCCAAAGGAAATAACGGACACTGGGTTCCTATTTTGGCTAATCCTGATATCATTGAACATTACTCTGAAAACGTAGTCGACACACTTCACAAAAAGAATCTGCTGTTACTGGGTGAAGACAGATATTTGTCCACTCTAATGCTCAAGACATTTCCCCGTCGAAAGATGCTGTTTGTGCCTCAAGCAGTGTGCAAGACTGTTGTACCTGACTCATTTATGGTTCTCTTGTCTCAACGAAGACGTTGGATTAACTCGACAATTCATAACCTGATGGAACTTGTCTTCGTTAGGGACCTTTGTGGCACGTTTTGTTTCTCAATGCAGTTTGTAGTGTTTATGGAACTGGTCGGTACATTAGCTTTACCTGCGGCCATCTCATTTACACTGTACCTTATTGTGATGGCTATACTAGGACAACCAGCAGTTCTTTCCTTAATTCTGCTAGCACTTATCCTCGGCCTTCCTGCAGTCTTGATTGTCATGACCAGTAGAAAGCTCGTATATGTGGGCTGGATGGTCATCTACCTATTCAGCTTACCCATCTGGAACTTTGTTCTTCCTTCCTATGCATATTGGCACTTTGATGACTTTACCTGGGGTGAAACACGAAAGGTACAAGGCGAAGGCAAAGACAATCATGGAGATAAGGAAGGAGAATTTGATTCTTCGCAGATAACAATGAAGAAATGGACTGAATTTGAAAGAGATAGAAGGATGAGAGAAGCACAAGCGCGTTCAGAGGCACTCTTACAGCAACATCTAGCCAAACGTTGGTCTCCAGCTGATCTATCTATCGACATTGATAGATCTACCCTGTCTAATTTGATTGATTCAACCCTGAGCGCTTCGGCTAGATCGCTTTCACCATCTTGCCCAGCATCACCTCGTTCATCCATGCCTAAACAAAAGGATGACAGTCAAGAAGAAGAGGAGGAGGAAGAAGAAGAGAAGTTTGAAAAAAGTAATGATAAAAATATGTCTGTAGTCTCTCTTGATTTAAGTAATCATGATGAAGTTACCTTGACCATAAATATACCAACCGAAACTATTGAGATAGAAGAGTTGTAATAATAATAGTAGTAATAATCTAAATAAAATTGTTTTTTCCTTTTTATTTCTATATTGAATGATGCAACCAATTAAGAATTCTACAGATTATTTGCGAGACTCACTCACTAATCTATTACATCGTTGGGAGAAAACATACATGGTTGGTTGATTGTAGAGTGACTGAGTAGATCATGAACTCACGTTCCAAGTATGGGTAGAAAAAGCGTAATGACAATGAACAAGTGATGACACACTTCATTCAACTGGTGAACAACATTTATGAGCAAATACAAACAGGGCTCTCGATAGATCTATCAGTGTTTGTACACTTTTTAATCTGATCGTGGACATTCACTCATATATATATATATATATCCTAGTGCTTCTAATGATTTGAAACAGTTTGTAAAAGAGACAACTACAGATATCATCAACAAGTCAGCATCCTTTCATTTTTATGACGCGCAAAAGTTATGTTATCAAACATTATTGCAAGATATAGACATGATGTTTACCTTGAAACTGTCGACTGTTGTATCATTTGCTCATCTATTTGCACCTAATTTTAAGTATCAGGGCAAGGATTTAGAAAGGCGATGTCGTCTGATACTAGACACGGATTTGCCTAAAATAACAGATATTTTTAATCTTGGAAATGAATTTCTTGATAATGCTACTAGAAAAACAATGTTAGATGACGAGCAATTCGATTTAACTCTAAAAGATGTAGAATTATGGACAATTAGGCAGGAAAATAATAAACACGTTGATATCGAACATCTTCAATCAAATATTGAAAGGATTCAGGGGTTATGTAAAAAACTAAACGCGCTATCACTTGCACCAAACTGGATAAGTATTCTAAAGGATATAATGGATGAAAGGCTAAGGGCAAAGGAATGGGAAGAGGAATACAGTCTATCATTGGTCAAAGTTCAGTTGAAATGGTTACATGCAATAGTATTGCCATGGATCTCACACATTATGTCAAGATCGAATAATGAAGGTAACACAGTATATAATTCTCTCCAAGACTATTATTAACGATGTTTGATTTGATATAAGATGTCGACTGGTATGATTTCTTGAGGTTAAAACTAAGAGCAGAGCATGTGTTATATGAGTCAATATATCAATATAGGTATGCTCTCTTTACGTATAATTCTGGCTTAAATACCTACTATTCTCTAGAATTAGAAATATACTTGATACTATTTTGGATATTCCTGAAACAAACGATGCCATCTTGGATTTAAAGGTAGATATTAACATAATCAAACTCTTTCTGTTCTGACAATCCTGTATTAGATCACTGTAGACAAACGAGGTTACTTGGATGACCTGGAAAAGAAACTGCTACAAGAGTGTGCTTGCCCATAATACTATTTGAATTTTACTAATGGCCATCATAGGATAAAAAATCGACTTCTTCAGCTAAGCGTTTCTACTACAAGTATCTTGGAATACTATGCAGCATGTGTACAATGTTTAAGACAGATTGATCCCTCGTGTAAGATATTATTGACAGTAACTGACACAATAAAAAAATACATAAGGCAAGTTTCAGGATAAGCATCTTTTACTAATAACTAAAAACATTATTTTAGGGAATATCGTAAGGACGTGGCACAAGGAGTTGTTACTATCATTAGAAATCCTGAAAATTATGATATTCAGCTACGAGGGAATGATGATGAACCCTACGTGTTTGCAATTGATGAATTAAGTAATGAAAAGGCACAGAAAGAAAAGATACCAGATAGAGAACACATGTTAGGTAAGTTGTCATTCTGTCTTTTTTAGCCTGCAATTAAAACATGGAGAAATAGAAAAATTGGAAAAGTTAAAAGCAAAATCATCGGATATGACAGCACTGTTGATCAGTATGTGCAGATCAGCGAAGGACTTTGTGACAGCATATGGGGATAGATTGGGAGAAATACTGTTGAAGACAAAAGACTATGATACTGAAGAGGAAATACTTCGTTTGGAAATAATAAAGATGAACTTTCCTCCAGATATGTTCATTCGTTGTGATATCATGCTTAAAGATGTGGCAGAAAGTAAGCGAATCGACAAGATGATCCATGAAAACGAAGCCATAGACAGCTCCTTCCGTTCTCTAATTGTATCACGAAAGTACTGGCCAGGTAATAATGATAGTGGCGATAGTGATGAATCTGAAGATAATGATGATATTCACAACATAATGGAATATTGGCCCCATCAAAAAAGGTTCGCTCACCTGTGATTATTCAATATGTATATATTCATATTCATGCAAATCTAGGCTTATGAAGGATTACATGGCAGAATACGGGAGAAAGAAGGCTTCGAGAAGGTTAAAGTTTTTACCTTCATTGGGCACTGTTTCAATAGAGTTAGAGTTTCAATCTGGCAGACAAGAACTTGAGGTTCAACCAGAAGCTGCGGTCATCATTTCACTTTACGAACAAGAAGGTAAATATCACACTTGCTACCATTTCAAATCATCTCATTCTATTTGCTAGGCATAGCATTAACAAAGGATGACATAGCAACTAGATTAGGAATTAAGAAGAAAGTGGTGGTAGAATGTATGAATTTTTGGACGCAAAAGGGTATCTTGGAACTCATGGCGGATGGACGATATCAACTATTGTCAAACTTAAAATGACAGCCAAGTTGATTATAAAAAAAATACCTCCAAAAACATTATTCGTCATATACCACAAATAAACATGCTATTCAACCCAAAGCTTCCTATTTATTTATACGCATAAGCTTGGTGTATGACATCTGATCAAAGATACAGAGCGGGTATCTCTTAATTCACTATTTAATAGTAATTGTTGTCTATTGACCCTTCATAGTTATTCACTTACCAGTACATAAATATCATAGCTTTGACTACAAATAAGGCATTTAGGCGCGCCTCCTTCTGACAAAAACAGAAGAAGACGAACAAAGACAAAAGAAGAAGAGACCTATGCTACAAATGTACATTGGTGTATTGACAACAAAGAAAATTTGATCTTTGCTTTGTTTGCTGGCCATTTTGGTCTTCCGGATATGCGATTTGCTCCATAATTGCTATACGCGAAACTTGGCAGAGTGCTTGAAGGAGACAGCCCTTGAAGAAAACTTTGCCAGGATCCTTTATATGTTTACAGAATCTTTTCGAAGGTGGCTAGGATATTTATGAAGTACGACGTAGTATCTTATATTGCAATAAAGCAAATGTCTCTACGGAAAACTCAAGAGATGGGCAAGTAGAGCCAAAAAAGAAGAAAATTTATACTATAAGTCTATTAAAATATACACTCCCCTTTTTGGCTACATATGGTTACAATTGCCTGTAAGACTGTGACAACAGTCATGCACATCCGATCATCGCTACTCAGGTGTAACGCGGAATGACTTGACCACTTGAGCTCTTGGCTTGTCTTTTCTAGAGTTACATAGAAAGTGAAAAAGGATTTTTTTATTGGAGTAATGATTATGATTCAATAAACTGAACAGCAATGGAAAGTGTCACTAATTTGTATACGCGCGTACGCAGATCATTATTCAAGGTCATGATAACAAAGCTAGCCTGAAAAAAAGATTATAAAGATTTATTGCATTTTTTGGCCCCTTGGGAAAATAAAGAATAACTCTTATCCTTTACATTTAATAATAGAATTGACATGAACTTACAATCTTGCTCCAACGTCAATTAATTATCAATGAAACCTCGATATGCTTTAATTTCATCTACAATACAGAGCAATGCAGAAACACACCTACAATTAGGCACACACACGAAAGAAAGGATAAAAGTAGCTTAAAAAGACAAGAGGTCACATTGATGCGAGAATATCAGGTGCATGAAGAGGAAGAAGCTGTCAATGGGTAAAATACACGACAATAGCACAAAAAGGTAATGGCAATCTTTTCCTTTGAGAAATACACGAGTAACATTAAGCAAGGAAGTCTCTCTGTACAATCTGTATTACTCGGCTTCTAGTATAAATATATAAAAGGTAAAGCAGATCTTATGAAAAACTTATCTCGTTGTAAGAAACCAACAACACAATGGTCTTATTCAAGCTCATATCCTTGATCTCAATTGCTGCTCTAAGCGTGAATGCTATCGATGTCGCGTCTATTTCTGAATGCCCAAAGCTGGCTCCTAGGAATGGCACAGCAAAGGACATTACTGATCTTCGTGTTGATGATATCCAAATCGTTGCCGCATTAGGCGATAGGTACAGTAAAAAGAGTATTGAAATGGAATATTGACCTTTTTGTACTTATAGTATCATGGCTGGATTTGGCATGATGGGTATCAACAATGGTGATGGAGGTACTGGAATCTTAAACTTTAGTTCAGTGATGGAGTTCCGTGGCAACAGCTATGGTATTGGTGGTGATAGTGGGGCCATCACTTTGGCAAACTTTATAAAGAACTACAATCCAAAAGTACAAGGCGCATCTACCTTGAGTCACCTTGCCTCGTTGTGCTATGGAGCCTTGTGCTCCCCACCGTTATCTATGTGTAAGTTCTTTCTTTTTTCACAGAATTTACTACATTTCTAATACTTTTGTTAGATCGACCACTAAGAGATAATTTAAATGCTGCTCAAAGTGGCGCAATGGCAGTAAACCTTGATTATGAACTTGATTATCTTATCCCTCGTAAGTTAAAGCTAGCATTTCATGTAGGCTATTGTAATAAACTATGGTCAATTAGGTATCAAGTCTCAATTTCTCTTATCTGATGGATATAACACTGCATGGAAGATGATTACGATTCAAATAGGCAGTAAGCTAGTCTCATATATAAATGAACATTTTTACTGACTGCTGTGAAAGGTAATGATCAATGTGCTTCCTGCAACAGCTCAATGGCACAATACGTCACTCCAGAAGCCTACGGCAAATATGTGGACGCTGCCATTCAAAGAATTCAAAAGGAGGTTCCTAGAACCGTAGTGAATTTGCGTAAGATACTACATTTTTATCCAGAGCCTTAAGCTCTGACCTATGTCTTTCTAGTTGGAACGTTTAAGGTTTCAGGTGTCTTTCCTCTAACTGCTGGCCAGACTCAGTATTGTAAACCCAATGGCATATTAGAAAATAAACTTGAATGTGGTTGCTCCAGTTCTGCTGATAACTTGGCAAGTATGGATGCTGTCTCTGATGGTAAGGATAACAATCAAAAAGTGATTAGCTCCTGACTGCTGTGAATAGGATACAATCAGCAATTACAGGCAATCGCTGCAAAATACCCAGGAAAACCTGGAGGAACATTTGCGGTTATGTACACTCCTGCTCCAATTGATCTATCTTCTTTCCCAGTTGATGCTCTTAGGTAATAACAAGTGTCATTCTTTGTATATTTTATCTAATATATTCTTTATAGCAACCTCGATTGTTTCCATCCTAGTTTGAAAGGCCATCAATGGATAGCCAAGGTAAAATTGGTTTACTTACTATATAAATATCTCAATTTACACTTTTTCATAGACTTTTTGGAATCAACTATTCCTCAAGAATTCTCAGAAGCCTTCCATCATCAAATTTGAAGAAGGTCTGAAGGTAAGAAAAGGATCTTTTTTTAATAAACGTGCCATTCTAATATGACTTTTCTAGATTCATTGTCCTGCTGATGGTGATAGGCTGCCAACTGTCTCTTCCTAGCTGATTATAATAAATATACTCATAAAGAGCTGCATAACAACGAAAAGACATTGTGTCTTGTGTGACAATAAGAGAAAGGGAACTAAAACTTTTTTTTTATTTAATGAAAACTTTTTGTTTTTATATTCTTGATGAACTCTTTCAGCTCCTTTCTCAACTTTAAACGATCTCCAACTGAAAGAGACCATCATAAATCAGACAGCTATACCAACCAAGCTGATAATGCCATTACCATTTCATTTGAAGACACTTACTATGATGTTGACTTTGGTCAGCTGTCCATGAATCAACTTACAGTAGCTGATTTAAAAGAAAGATGTAAAAGAATTACGGGAGTACCTTTAGCAACCATGAATCTCAAGGTTTCAGGAGGTAGGTTCTACAATATCTTTTCTCCTCCCTTTTCAAGTAACCAATTAGGATAAGCAAATATAAAGGATGATACAGCCACTTTACCATCTGTTGGTATCTATAGAGGTTCTGTTGTCTATGTTTTTGGAGAAAAGACAAATGTAAGCAGTGATTGAAGGGGATGACTTATAAGCTGACTTTGATTATAGATGGAACAAACAAAACTGACAGTGTCTGGAAATCCTGAAGAAGTTGGATATATGACAAGAGTATCAAAGATTATGGAAAAAGTGAATAGTTCTAAAAACAAGATTGAAGAGTTTGATATGATGGTTATCTGTATCCTACAAAATGTTGATAGTGGAGAACAAAAAAGAAAAGAAGCAGAGACATTGGGCATTTATCTATACGAGATATTAATGCAGGCATTAATTGCACTCGATGGTGTGAATTGCCCTTTTGAATTTCAGACAGCAAGAGCAAATAGGAAGAAGGGAGTAAAAGAGTGTCAAGAGTTGATGGATAGAATAGAGAAATCAAGAGAAGCCTTGAAAGCATACTATAACTAGAATAAATCCATCCCCTTTTGTTGTCAAAGACGCGTTTAAAGCCAGAGTCGGATTTATAGAATTCACACTTTATTTTCCACCGACACAAATGACAACACCTATAATGACTAAACCCATGCCTAGCCATGCATCTATGAATGAAGGATTGAGTAAATGAGTTTAAATAAAGACAAGCTTTACCTCTTCCACCAATAGACTCACCCAAGAGTAAGCCCGTCATTAGAGAAAATATGAATGTAAGCGAATTGGTAATGGGAACAGCCAGCGACATGTCTATTTTTGTTTAAATCAGTTCTTTTATTATTATTACTATCATCATATTTACCTGATTTTCCAAGGGTATAATAATAGACTATGGACCCACTCAAGTTGATTACTAATGGAACTAGATACTATTCATAGATGAGCATTTATGATGAATGATATTTCTATGTTACTCTTTACCTGCCATTTTGTCAATAGATATTTTATTTCAGCAAACCACTTTTGTAATCCACCTAGAGGGTATCGCTCAGAAACCTTTTCAAGCCCTGCACTTCCCTTTTTAATCAAAGGATTTGTTGATCCCCAACAAATAGCTACGAGGATGAACCCAAAGAGTTGGCCTTGTCATATAATTATTATTATGATTATTATCACTACTGGGTCGCACTTACGAATAGAATCGGACATCATCAGAAAAAAAAAGAGAGAGAGAGAAAATAAATACAAATTATTTCTTCCGCTTCAACCATGAATGAGGATACAGCTTTATTACGAGAAAGCACCAAAAGCGACTGTAAAACAATGCTCAAGAAAGCGTTTATTTGGTTTTGGAGAATTTGTATATTTGCTATAACAGGTTCTTCAAGTGTTCATGTCACTTCTGCACTTTTACATTGGCTTCATTTCCCAAGTAAGTGTACGCATAAATGAATAGAATAGACGGAGTTTACAAAGAGAAATGTAGAAAACACATGGTATTACTATGTGGTATTTATCTTGGTAGAGACCGTAGTCTACACCATCATGCTCGTCTCTATTGGCACTATTCTCTTTCAATGGCGATACTTTTGTACAATAGCCTTTAGATTGTGGGCATGGCTAATGCCTAAACGATGGAAAACTTGGTGTGCAAGACGCCTTGATAACTCACCAGCAACACTTTTGTAATTATTACTTTTTATTATAAAAAACAGGGAGGGATATTTTACCTATAAGGTAAATAAGCAAGTTGAAGACAGGCTACTTGGCTGACAGTATAATCCAAGGCATAATAACATAACTTTTGAAAGGGTAAAACAAGAACAGGCAATTGACCTCGACAGAGATGAGAATCGAATATGTATAGAGCATCCATATTCTTTGAATGGAAGTGGCGTGTAATCTTTTGTTGATTTTTGGGATCAAATCGGATCCAGTATACTACACCTCCTGCACTGGGTGCACGAAATACCCAGACACCTCCTCTATGAACTGAGAATGGTGATGATGACGGTGACGATGATAATAAGGGTGACATTGATGTAAGAGGGGATAGCGTGGGTGTTGGTATATTGCTACTACTATTACTACTACTTGCACTGCTATTGATACTGTTACCATCGTTGCTTTTATTATTACTATCAGGAATTATGTGTGTACTACGATTGGTTTCATAATTATGAATTATATCTTGTTTTGCCTTTTTAAACAAGAGGGAGAAAGGCCACCGTTTCTTTTTTTCTTTATCTGTGACAAGCGTGACAGGACTTTCATTACTATTATTATTCGTTGGATTCAAAAATTCTTGTTCTATTGATGTCAGCTCTTCGTCCTGTTCATTATCTGTCGGCGTATAAACAATTTTAGTAATTTTACTATTGATGATCGCATTTTTTGCTGCAAGTAACTCGAGTTCATTCATGGGTTCACCATCCAGATGCTCATTGCATGATGGGTCAATTTCTTGCATTTCATCCATCAAATCTTTTGATACTATGTCATAACCCTTTATAATAGATTAGAATAGATCAACATGACATATCTTACTTACATAGCCTGTCCCTGTTGATAATGACTTTTTAAGTGGTGGTCTTGATTCATTCTTGTCTTGATAATAATCATAATGATAAGGATAATAATAATAATTTGAATATGAGGATGCCATCTTTAATAAAGAGAGAAAAAGAAAAAAAGAGAAAAAAGGAACCCAAATTGACAACAAAATTTATTGTGATTTTTATTTTATTTGGTTATGCAGCATAGATCCCTTTTTTTTTGATAAAGTTTAATCTATTTGAAACACAGAATCGAACTGTATCTTTGTCTTATTGGCACAAGCACCACAAAGAAAATATCCAAATTAGAGAATGACAAAGTATCCAAGACTCATTGTTGAGACAGTCAATGAAGCTGTATGTCCTTCATTTGAGATAATCACCGTAACATTAAGTTAGAACGAGGCAGGTTAGTTATTTATTATATAGATAGCTACCTCAATGTTAATTCTAAATATATACAGTGTTTTGCGTTTGAAAATAAAAAGCTAGTCATGTCATTTGGATTTTATCATAAACTACAAGAAGAGCAAACTCCTACAAGCACATTGCCAAGATTTCCTCGGCTTCTTATTCCATACGCAGACGAAGATCGCTGCACCAAAGAAGAAACTGCACACACAATGGGAAATTTTGGAGGAGTTTGGACTAATTTTTAAATAGGCCTTATATCAAGTCCTTTTCTTAGGCCTATATATTTTAATGGGTTGCTGCTATTGGTTAAAAATTTATTTGCAGTTAACATATGATTTGCCAGTTTTAGTAACGGTACTCTCGTTTTATTGGATAATATTCGTCCTCACTCTCGTTTACCACTTGCATGTAAAAACGAAAATACTTTAATGTTATTGGCTTATATTCATACGAGATATACTTCTTTACGGTGGTTTATCCATACCAGATATACTTCTTTACAGTAGCGTATTACAAGCGACTGCATACTTTTGATTCAAATAGGGTTTTATTTTATATTATAAATATTAGGGAGCAATGAAAAGCAAAGGCATGCAAAAGAAAGGACAATAAAAATAAGAAGGGAGCAAAAGGGCAGTGTTTGCAACTACTCACTTTGTTATTCATCATGTTCTTCTTCGGACTCTTTCATCCTTTTACGCTTCTATACACTGTTGGGAATTACTACAAACAAGTTAAATGCCAATTACTGTATTATACGTTATGGTTTTTTATGTGTACCTTTATTACCAAGCACGTGGGTTGGTCTACCACTTGCTGTATATAAACGGCTTGCATCAAAGTCAAGCCCACCTTCTTCTTCGTTGTCAGCCGAACTAGGTACTTACGCTATCGGATCAAAAACTAAAAAACTAGATCCATTAACTTGCCTTGAAACATCTGTAACAACAGTGTTTTCTGTAGACAAAAATAAATAAATTCAAATGAAAGCGTTATTAACAATACCTTGACTAAATGACTTAGCTTTCTTTTTTTCTGACCTTGCCTTGGTTGTCCAATAATACTACTGCTTTGTGATGAGTTGAAGAAAAAGAGCAAAAGAGTAACTCAAGCTAGTCTTTTTAATATCGCTGCTAATATCCTGTTTACCTTTACTTGTTTTTAGAAAGTAGACCTTGTAAACAGCACTACTTACATACCTTCTTAAAAGTTGCCTTCTATGCTCATAGAAACATACTTCCTCTTTTCGAGTTGGTCATGTTGCAACTATGCATTGACTTTCATTCACTACCATTGTTTCTTTATAAAGATAAAGTTGTCACTTTATTCAAGATGGCTATTAACAACTATTTTAAAGTAGATATTAAGTGATTCGAAGGATAAAGGCAAGTAGAAAAAAGACAAAATATTGTCCTTATTGCTTATTTGGAGGCGAATAAGTGTTCTTTTTGCGGGTATCTTATTCTCAATAAAATTGAGCGAGAGTGTACTACAATGAGCAGTGCCTTGGTTGTTTTGAGATTTGATACAATTGTCTTTATAACTTCTCTGAAGGTTATGCAACACTTGAACTTGACTTAAATAATGTAACAGCTACTCTTTTTCTGCAGAGGCCGTCAGTGTACAACTTTGGGAAAAGATTTGACATTAGATAAAAGGCAATATTGCGATCTAAATTCCTATCAACTGTTCTTTGGGGATACTTAGACGGAATACTTTACCTATGGCTTGGAAACCAAGCATCCCCTTTAATCCTTTGTTACATAGCTCGTCTTTTGTAAAGACTGCTATTCTATACAAGTCTTTCTTTAAAGCGTGCTTGACAGCTTTATCTTGCTTAACCTTCCCAATCACGCTTTTATATTGCTCTCCGTCAGCATTATAAATACCAACTGCGTAGCCGGGTTGACGGCTTGTTGCTGGTCCACTGCTATAAGCTTTATCCAATCTACTTCAGTGTATATGGACATATCAGTGGCATGTACACTTTTGATTATTTTACTTACGAATGAGGTACTGCCATTGGATCATCAGAAGAGAAGAGTGCTTTACACAGCATATCTACACAATACATTTGCATAATATGTAATATAAGCAATTCAATTTGCACAGCAAACAGCAAATCTATCATATTTACCTTATAAACAGTCCATCTTGTAAAAAATTACTTGAAGAAAGAAAAGAATAAAAAACTGACCACAAAATGCGTTATTCTTATAGATGCGCCATGCCCAATCCTCGTTGGCCGTAATAAGCTCATGTAATAACTTTGTCTTCTTATAAAATGAATAACGAATCCTCTCTCAACATAATAAAGAAACTATTACAGACCCATCTACACATGCTTTTCTTATACTTCAGTGTTGTACATAATGTTGTGTGGGCGTGGTTTGCCTAGTGCAAATTGAATTGCTTACGCCACTAATTGTGAAAATGCTGTGCAGATGTGCTGTGCAAATATCAAAACCCAAAATTTCCCGTAGTGCTGGAAACTATATATTTGTGTATTAAGCCCAAAAAACGAACAAGAAGCTCAGTAGCATAAACTAATCACCCGCAGTAATAATTACAAACGTATATAAAGAGTGTAACTATCATTTTTAATGCTCTCATTCTTCCAAAAAGAAACATAGAGTCCCATTGTACTTTATGCCCATTACAACTACAACTACAACAAATGACACACAATCCGTAGAAATACCAGTAACAGTGGACAGGGAAAAACTAGCGGTATAGTCAAGATACACAGATTTTGAAACAAGAACAAAAAAGCCTGTCAATAAATCACATCTTCTATCGTCTCCTCGGAGACATAGCTATTTTTGCAGCAACCTTTTTGAAATATTTGCCAGTGATACAATTTCTAGAGTATACACATCTCGCAAAATAAGCTCCATAGAGTAATAAAAGATAGATGCTTTTAATTACTAAGCTTGATATCATAGTATCCAAGCTTGCCGAGCAAAACCCTTGTTCTTGACAGCATAACAACGACGAGCTCACAGTGGGTTAGACAAGGCTACTCATGACTTTTAAAGATCAATGTGAATTAGCATAAAATTGACCCACAACACAAACAATGTATCTTGCTGCTTTCTTAACTCGTCTTTTATGCATTTTTACGATTCCTGTTGCTAAGAGAAAGCTGTGTTATGAATGGGTTTGACAAGAGTTGCAGTAAAGGTAATATTCTACTCCGCTCAAAGCAAATACAATCTATAGAATCAGAATGAAAGTGACTTTCTGTTCTTTTTCTCTTGTTTTTCTTCTTACATTATAGAGATGCAGCCTGTTACCTCTCGCCCAGCCTCGGAACACAATGTAGACTCTCGTGATAAAAAGCGTCAAAAGAGAAATAGAGCCTGTAAGTAAGAAAGAAAACGTTGACATGGCAAAAGTAGCTTATTCCATTTTTTTAGGTGATTTATGTAGACGAAAAAAGACGAGGTATTATTAGTAAGAAGGATAACTTCGGAATTTATGTGTATAAAAGAGTTAATTGCAAAACAAAAGGTGTGATCATGATCCAGCATATCCAAATATCGCATGCAGTTCATGTAGAAACTATGAAAAGGAATGCACATTTTCAGAAGTAATATCAAACTATAATGATATATAGTAGCAATAACCTTTCAACATATATACATTAGCCAACGAAAAAAAGAGGACCATCTAAAGGTTATGTGGAAGGATTAGAGGGTCGATTGAAGCGAGTAGAGGAGTTGCTGGTCAATATGTTGCAGGATATGCCTCCTAATGAAATTGCTGATGTTACTGCAGAACTTGAGAAAGACTCGGATGCGTATAAGAAATCATCAGAAGAGAATAAAGATGCCTATTTTTTTGCAGGCAGCTCATCTGGCTATTATTTATTGAGCAGATTGTTTCCCCAAGATCAATCCCATCCATTGAACCAGATGTTTCCCAAACCTATCAATAATAATGACGATTTGATCATCAAACGACCATCGGAGCTAAGGCCATCGTCATCAGGAAATAACCAGGACTGGAAACTGCCGCCAAAGGGTCTCATGGATTATTTGCTAAATGTGTAAATCAAAAACACAAAATATGAACTCTTGACTCTAACCATCTATTTAAAGTTATTTTGAAAGAGTGAACAAATTCCTGCCTATTCTTGACAAGGATGAATTCTACAAACTCTACGAGAGAGAAGGATCACAGTCATCTCAAGTCATACCAATCGCCTTGACCACCTGTTGTAAAGTTATAAAGATGCTGGATAAAAACCATCCTATTTTTGCAGAGTATGGTGTAGAAAAGGAAGCGTTAAAAAAAGATCTCACTTTTCAACTGCATTTGCACCATCTGCCCGACTTTTTAGAACCAAAATTACAATCAATTCAGCTATTACTGCTGAATGCAGCACATAGCGAATCATGGTTGACACAGGGCGAGGCTTGGCTATCGGTAAGTATAGCTATTAAAATGGCCCAAGACTTGGGGTTACATCGAGCCAGTTTCCAACCTCAGGGACTGTCCAAAACCGAACTGGAAGCGCGGAAAAGACTTTGGTGGTCTGCATACATCCTTGATCGATATGTGTGTGCTGCTGTTGCTAGGTAACCTTGTTTTATCATTACTTTTCAAGTTTACTCATAAACAAACAAGACCCTTGACAATATCAGATGCAGACTGTGACATTGATTATCCTGAAAGCCCAGATCATTTTCATTATTTCGCCAAGTTATCAAGCATTCATGGAGAGTCTATTAGGACACTTCGTTCACCAAAAATACAAGTTTTACCAGATAAAAGTCAAAGAATCGAGAATATTTGTAAATTCATACAGCAAAAGTTGGTCGAATGGGAAAACAATTTACCATCTCATTTGCAAATTTCGGATAAAGAATTTGACCAGATTTCCCAGCCAGATAGTATTAATCCAGCACTGAAGGAAAAGCTGGAGAATGGAGGTAAATACAGGAAGAAAGAAAGAGAGAGGAAAGATCCATTGACGGGATTTCATTAGCGGGACAGCTTTATTTTGCTTACACTGCCGTTCACTTATCGGTCAATAAGTATTTATTTTCCACAAACATTGATCAATCAAATGTTGCCTCTGTGTGTCAGGAACTTATTAGAAAGGCATTTTATACCTTGTCTTACATCAATGTTGAACTTTTGCTATCCTTTTGGTGTTTCTCAAGTAAACAAAATAAAAACAAAAATTAGGAATATGAACTAACAAATAATATAGGTTATTTTCTAACAGAGATGCTTACAATTATATTCATCAATTGCAAAAACCCTGACCCAGCGATTGCGTCAGAGGCTAAATACTATAATGAGAAATTGAAAAGCTTTTATCGACACCTTGAAGAGACACTTGAGCAAGTAAGTCAATATAAAAACAGCGCCATGTTATCAATTCTAAACGTAATCCAGCCCTCTTTAGTGCCATATATTGACTTAATATTCAAACTCGGCAGCGGGAGTTTAGAAGATAAAGAGAAAGATAATAATAGCCAGGGCACTCTAGGCGATGAATTCCTACATCAGACTTCCTTAATAAATAATATTAACGGATTAGAATGGAGTGGTAATATAGTCTTGATAGATAATCATTCCTTACTGATACTTGTATCATAGAAATAGCAAAACTATTGTTTGAAATCGACCAAGGCTCAGATGGGACAAAGTTTATGTAAGCAATCAGGAAAACATTGAATCCCCGTTTATTACATAATCAACATTACTTTCCATAAATGAATTTGTAACACAATTATTTTTCATCATATAAAAAAGAACTGTAACTAGCAGATTTTTATTTTTCATTCGTTTATTTTACCATGTTTGATTTCAGCAACAATTCTCACCGTCGTTACAACCCTTTAACCAAGTCATGGGTTCTATGTTCTCCTCATCGTACACAGAGGCCTTGGCAAGGTCAACAAGAAGGTGATCAGTCTGAGCAGAGACCTCAATATGATCCTCAGTGTTATCTCTGTCCTGGTAACCAACGTGCTAATGGTGAAAGCAATCCCAAGTATGACGCTACTTTCCGTTTTCCAAATGATTTTGCCGCTGTAAAGACAGATCAGCCTGCTCTTGAAGCCACAGATGATGATTTGATTCGAGTGGAAGGTGTCCGTGGTGAATGTCATGTCATTTGCTTTTCGCCTCGTCATGATCTCACCTTGGCAGAAATGTCTGTAGAAGAGATAGAAAAGGTTGTTGACATTTGGACTTCAAGTTACTTGGACATGCAACAGAACCCAGTTATTAAACACGTGCAAATCTTTGAAAACAAGGGCGCTGCCATGGGTTGCTCTAACCCTCATCCTCATGGTCAAATGTGGTGCACTGAAAGTATTCCAGAAGAGCCTCAAAAGGAGTTGATAGCTTTACAGGAATACAACCAAAAGTACGGGGATAAAAAGTGTTTGCTTTGTGATTATGCTCAACGTGAAATGAACGATCCTGAGCGTAAGCGTACAGTATTTGAAAATGACACCTTCTTAGTTGTGGTTCCCTTCTGGGCCGTTTGGCCATTTGAAGTCATGGTTTTACCCAAGATACATATCGCTTCACTACCAGAGATGGATGATAAGCAAAAGCATGATCTGGCTGACGCTGTTCGTCGCATCACCTGTCGTTATGATAACCTGTTCAAAACTAGCTTCCCTTATTCTATGGGTATCCATCAAAAGCCTCTTCAGGGTGAATATGATTATGCACACCTTCATCTTCACTACTATCCACCTTTGTTAAGAAGTGCTACTGTTAGAAAATTCCTTGTCGGGTACGTTTTGCTTTCACCAATATGTTAATCGTCTAATATTTATATTTTATAGATTTGAAATGCTTGGTGAGCCTCAACGTGACCTAACCCCAGAACAAGCAGCAGCCCGTCTTAGAGAGCTTCCCGAAGTACACTATAAGGAAATAGCTAATTAAGAAAAAAAGCATGGCTATCCCTCTCCTCAATGATCTATTGTACATATTCCTACATACATATACATATAAACCAGGTAGCTATTTGCTACAAGTAGATTGATAATACTAATAAAGACAAAAAAAAAATATCCATTACGGCCAAGTTATGTAATACTATAATTCTCCGTGCCTCTTTTTATTATTTTTCTCTCTTTTTTATTGTTACATTCTTTTGCATAAAACAGTGACAATGAAAAACTCCCAGGAACATGCGCTCAAAAGACCTGTTAGTATGCCGAGCAGTAGAAAAAGTATGGATCTCATCGAGGATACATCAAAGCATTTTGGACCTAATAAGTTGACCATTGACGCACACGCGCAAAGGCAGCGCTGGGATGCATTTTTTGAACCACATTATACATTTATGGCCTTCATTCACGAGTTGAGTCTAAAAGACGATGATGATCTCATACGAGGACACCAAAAGAACGTCGATCGGCTTGTGGACACGGATAGCTTTGGCCAAACTTCTCCGCAGGGGCAAAGCTGTGACTTTGCTTTGTCAAATCCAAATTCCTTGATGGCATCACCCAAGATAGAGAAACAAGGTATCTCGTGGACCAAGCAGGACCAGAATGTGTTGATCCAGCGTTTAGAAATCCTCAAACGGATTCGTGCAGCAAAGACTACAGAGAAGCAAGACGGTCAAAGTAACCTTGTAGGTCGCTGGAGACAGCAACTGACACGAAAGGCGTACAAGCTACGTCAGGAAGTTCAAGCGATCACTGAAGACAGCGAGTCAAAGGCGTCTACGCCCACAGTCGAGGAAGATACACATGACGGTGAGGTAGAGAAGTCAGAGATAAAAGAAGAAGAACCGAAAAAGAAAATTATAAACTGTCGAAGGTCCTTTCTTTTCTTTCTCTTGGGATTTCTATTTCCTCCGCTATGGTTAATAGGAAGTATCTACATTGCATCCTATGATAAAAAGCAGACATCCGCGAATAGACGCATTGATAAAAAATGGAGACATAGATCAAGAGTCATCCTAGGTGCTTTCCTTATCCTTCTCTTGGTCGCATCGGTTACTGTTTTTGTTATAAATCCTGCTTCGGTTGGATGGAGACATGGATGATTTAGAATGCTTGTATAATTGCTTTATTGTTAAATGAAAAAGAAAATGCGATAAAAATAATATAGACCGATAAAGATATTATGCCTCTTTTTCTTGTCTTAATTTCATGATAAATAATTTGTAGTAGGACTAGGACTGATACTCATAGCCATCATGCCAGACGTCACACTATCATCGTCATCATCTTCGTCTTCGCTATCCTCGTCGCTGTCATCGTCACTTTCATCTTCGTCGTCTGCGACCCATTCATAATATATATTATCCACAAAAACTTTACTACCATCAAGCTTGTAAGGATCAAATGGGAAGAATGTTTGTACTGTCTGCAACAAATTTGAACTTCCTAAGCCAGGGACAAAGATCTCTCGATTCTTTTCTATAACAGGGTATACGTACATAAAGTGTGTGCTTCGAGCCAGCTTTGCAAATTGACGAACAACAGCTTGAGAGCAAATCTTCAGAGGGTTGAACTTGCTCATCACCAATCGAGGCAAGTTGCGCAAACCAAGACACCATGTACGGGATGCACCACTGCCAAATCCATGCTCAGGACGTGTCAGATGTCGATGTTCTTCAGAGTACATGTCATCCTCAATATCATCTTCAATTTCCAATTCATTATCGATCACCAAATCTCTCCATCTAAAGCAAAATATGTACATCGTTGCCTGTACGACCGCATAAAACACGTCGTGCTTTGTACAATCCAAGTTGCGCACACTTGATTCATGCATGTCCATGTAGCCGTCACACCAAGTGGACAAGGCCAAAACAACTCTCTGGATCGTACTTGAATCCAAAAACTTGGCTCGTGCTACATACGAAGAGATATACGCAGCCGCAGCAACACGGGTCACATTGGGCTTCAAAGGGTCAGTGATGTGTTGAAGGAGATGGTCCAAGAAGTAATCACTATACTCGTGTACGTTGAGCGAGCAAAAGTAAAATAACAGGAATTGAGTGTATCGTGATTTGAGTGTCTTGAGAACAGCGCGGTCAAAGATGTCGACTAGAGCATAGAATATCTCGTGAAGCACTTCAGATGGCGCAGTTTGGGCACACTTTTGAAAGTATTGGAATGAGAGTTGCATCATTGCGTCTAATTTACGAATCATGTATTTAATTTCTTCAATTGAATCTTTCTTGTCTGGATCCATTTGAGAACTTTGAGAGTCGACACTTTCAACATCGGAAATATCATCTTCGTCTTCTGTTTCGCTTGCTTCAGATTCATAATCTTCATCAAAGTTCATATTGTATACTTCGAATTCAACATCTTCATCTATTTCGTCAAGTTCAATTTGGATTTGTGCGTCGATTTGTACCATTTGATCAATAATAAGGCCTAGTATCTGCTTCCTTAAGACTGGTACATATTCGGATACAAGCAGAATGTTTTTAACGTATGCAGCTTGTTCTGCTGAATTGAATCGTTTATGTGGCATATGACGAACGAGACTCACAAAAAGTGAGTTGGCACCGGTTGGGATAAGCTGAAGTATGCATTGGAGTGCTTCATGATATCTATCATAGGCTTGTGTTCTAGTGATCTTTGTGTTCTGAGGAAGATGGTTTCCTAGAAAAGATGTTAATCATGGATCATCTATAACACCAAACAGCAACTTACGGAATCTAAAGCCCTGTACCAACGAGTTGATAATAGGAGCGACGTAGATAGCGTGTGCAGATACCAGGTTTTCCAAAAAGTCAATGTAGGCATTCACAAATCCTCTATTTCTAAAACTCCAATCCACCTGTAAGACAGCCTCAACCAGATTAGAACATGATTTATCAAGGAGTGACACAGACTGCGACAGGACAACGATCCATGTATAGAGTTTTAAAGTAGAAGGAGCGTCTGGACTTGATGGATCTTTGTACAAGAGCTCTACCAGTTCATTATATCTAGATGTATTACCCTACAAAGACAATAAAGAGTGGTAAGTCAATTGTCAAGATGATAAAAAGAAAAAAGAGAATTGTATGCAAAAAGGGAATAACAAAGTAATGTTTTATATCGTGGTTTGAGTAGGGATAGAGAAACTACACAAAGAATACTTCTTTATGGCTTCCCTACCATAATGCCAACTACGTTCTTTTTAAGAAAAAAGAATATTGCCCTACATACACGATCTCTTTTTTTTTATTCAATAAAAGAGTATATAAATCTCTTTCATTACAAACATAATCCCCCTTTTCCTAACCAGAGTCCCCTTTTTTCTTTTGTGTATGTATCAATTGGTAACAATATAGTCGTTTTTACTTTTTGGACCCATCAAAAGCAAAAGCCAGCAATTACCCGATCGTATACAGGGACATATACGGGGACATGCCGCAGTAGTTGGACAGGTTTCTTTTTTTTTTTAAAAAAAAAAAAAACCGCTTCTGGCAAAACCACAAATAATTTTACTTGATAAAAGCCCCCTCACAACGAGTGCGTTTTAACATGTAAAATTATAAATAGTTTACCTGTTCCTTTTCTCGCAGTGCACCCAAAATAAACGTTTTCATCATCAACTTCAAGTTGTTCAACTTTTCCTTGCTGACGTTTTCGTTTGTCTCTTCAGCGGGTATCATACTGGCTTTTGTCAGTTCTTGTGGTAGAGAATCTTGAGGTAAAGCAATGTTCATTGTGGGTGATCTCGCCGGCATCGATTGGGTTGATTGGTGTTTAAGAGGAAACAAAGAAAAGTTGGACATTTAGAAAATTTTTAGATAAAATAAAAAGCAATTTAAAACTCCTAAAATGAGACGGATTTCATTGGCTGATTGAAAAGATAAAATGGAGAGGTTTCCATAGCAACAGAACACAAGTGGACACAGTTAAAGCTATTGGGTGTTTACGACAAGGAACTGAACCACTCGAATGTTTTGAAAAGTATTCATTGATCTATATCTACATAGCATCCCCCATGTTCTCCTTACAGTATTATATTCATTGTACGTTGTGCGATTGTTAGAGTCCTATTTAGGGCAACTGCTTATGCACAATCAAAAAAGTTTAAGCCCTTTGATTTGGTCTGAGCGGGAAATACTTTCTTTTTTGTCAGCCACACTCTATTTGGACTGCTTTTCTTTCTGAGCAGCGTGATAGGACGTCTCACGATTATGCAAACTCTCTAACAAGTCACAAAGTGCAGATCTGACTCTTAACAAGGGTTCCGCATCTCAGCAAGAGATCCCGAAGATCACCAAATAAAGCAAGCCATTCTTTATCATTTTTCCTCTTCTTTTTTTTTTTCTTACATCTTCTCTATACTACAGCAATTCAATGGCCCTTTTAAATAGGTAAAGCATCCATCAGCTGTACGTATGGCTGACAACATCCTCACACTATATTTAGCAACTGCCCCGATCTTAAACTTATTGCCCGCGGCAAAGTACGTGACCTTTATGAAGTAGACGAAAAGTCCCTCTTATTTGTAGCCACTGATCGTATCAGTGCCTTTGATGTTATCATGAACAATGTAAGTTTGAACTTTATTCACTTCAATCGTGCTTACGTATTATTTACTAGGCTATTCCTGGAAAAGGCAAAATCCTTACTCAAATCTCTCTCTTTTGGTTCGATCTCTTGAAGGACGTTTTACCCAACCATTTAATTACTGCCAATTTTGATGAAATGCCTGCCAAAGTCCAAAAGTATCGCGATCAGCTTGAAGGTCGATCCATTTTAGTCAAGAAGATGAAAGTGTTGCCTATTGAAGCTATCGTCCGTGGATATATCACTGGATCTGGATTGACTGAATACAAAAAGAAGGGAACTATTTGCGATATTCCTCTTCCAGAAGGTTTGGTTGATAGCCAAAAGCTCCCAGAAGTCCTTTTTACACCTAGTACCAAGGCTGAAATAGGTGATCATGGTAAGATAAAAAAAAAAAAGCCTACAAGAAAAAGATTGGGTCTTGACAGAATATATATCTAGATGAAAACATTCATCCTTCAAAAATGGCAGAGATTTTGGGTGATAAGGAACTTGCTGATAAAGTAACCAGATCAGCTATTGAGCTCTACACAAAGGCAAGCGAATATGCAGCAAAGAAAGGCATCATTATTGCAGATACCAAATTCGAGTTTGGATTAGATGAAAACAACCAATTGAATGTAGTTGATGAAGTCTTGACGCCAGGTAAAGGATTGAACGAAAGACTGTAAATACATCACATTCATGCCATTTGTAGATTCATCTCGTTTCTGGCCAGCTGATAAGTATGAAGCAGGACGTACACAAGACAGCTTTGACAAGCAGTTCTTGCGTAATTACCTTGAGTCTATCAAGTTTGATAAAAAGACAAGTATTGAACTTCCTCAAGATGTTATTGATAATACCCTGGCCAAGTATAAGGAAGCCTTCTTCTTATTGACTGGAAAACAAATCTCTTTGTAAAATATATTTATACTGTAGTTCAACTAATAAACATTGTACTTTTAATAAACTAAAAGAGAAAGGCATAGCTACAGAGCTTGGTATGATTTATCCTGGAAATACCAATAAGAAAGTATATTCATCACTGTTAGTTAAATTATGACCCTTCTCAAATGATCTCTTGGAAAAGCTTGTAACTTTAGAAGAACAGGCACAAGTTAAAATGATTCTTATTTAGGCAATTGAATATCCTTATATGGTACTAAATTAAAGTGTGTCTGTAAAGTTTAGACTGGAGAAAAAACGAGCTATTATTATTAATGAGAGTAAAGCTTATTGCTCACAAATAGTGATTGATTTAATAGAGAGCATCTTTTGAAAAGATGATCAATATAATACTTAAGGAATGACTTGATACATCACATTGCTTTGCTGTCTTCTGATTAAACCTTACAAATCTGCTAGAGTTTTGGACAAGAACGAAGTAGTATAAGAAAAAAACTCGTGGTTAAGCTTATCAAGAATTATGATATTAATAGTGAGAATATCAAATTTTCTTTGATTTTAATCCTTGGTGAGCATTGTCCTAAATAGCTTTATAAAGTAATATGCCTTGACAACAGATCTACTATTTACAAAATTAAAAGAGGTGCGTAGTCATTCCCTTTCATTTATTGAGAAAGATCAGTTTTGACCCTTAATTGGCAGCGACAATAACAGGTCGTTGTAGCACTATCGAAAATCTTGGCATTCTAGTAATTAGACTGGAAAGAGAGAGACTGGGATATCATATTAACGTATACTCACGGTCATTGGCCATGATTCAGAACACTTGGTGTTTTTTTCCGTGGATTCAAGTCTGACGAAGTATGTCTCCACCTTTATTTCTTTTCATTCCATAGCAGTACATAAACAAGGTTAGACCATTTAAATAATACTTCCCCAAAAAAGGTTGATCACCATGATTATGAAAATACAACTAAAAATGAGCATGTTAACAATTCCCTCCAGGATAGCCTGCTCATTTCTTTCTCATGTATAGTTAAATAGACATGCTTCATCATGCTGTAGCTTTATGATCCCCAAAGGTCGTTGCCTATTGTAAGAGTAGTATTCTAACAGAAATAGGCATTCATTTACGGGATTGAAGTAGAAAATTAAAATATACGTGAGAAGGAGACTCTATTGTCATCAATCGTAAATTGACATCATCACGTGTAAAGAGACAGTTTGTTTTATTTGATGCTATTCATATAAAAATAGACATTTTAAAGAAAAAGAAACAGATATAGACAAAATAGTGTCAAGAACTGCAGGAGATTGTAGTCTTTTTTTGGAAGAAATCAAGGAGCTGTAACTAAAAATAACGGCTGTGGTTACATTTTAGGATTTCTATGATATCTGAATTGGGCAACAATAGGCACAATACTTTCAATTGTTCCAACTGTCGCCATGATACGGTTAATATGAAACAATGATGATTTTTGCAAGTTCGTTATGCCTAGATACATTTACTCGTGCTTTGCATTGTATTTTAAAAGAGGTCACCATCGCCAAACAGTGGCAAATTGAAAAAGATCAAATGTATCACCAAACTATCTTGTGTGAGACAACGATATACAAGCGTAACACCTAAAATTCCCGAATAGGGTTTAGTTTACTGAATCAAGTAAGTGGTCTTTTCAACTTTCTGCCTTTCTTTAATTAAGGTCCCTTTTACTTAAAACCCCATTTTTTTCTTTCACGATTTCTCTCTCTCTCTCTCTTTTTTTCTATCGTATTTACAAATATATTCACCCCTAACCGTTCCTTTATAATATCAATTAACTAATGGTCGCTGCTCTAAAGTTTATCGCATCCGCTACACTTCTTGCTTCCTTTGTGAGTGCTTACGGTCAGATCGCCCAAGTTGTCGATGCCAACAACTTTTGTGTCTTCTTACCACCTGAAGACTCTGCCAATAGAAACATTGCTGATACTGAATGGGAAGGCCAAGCGTTCTGTCTTGGTAATGCACCCAAGGCCACCAATGCTGGCAAATTGAAAGATGGATTCATTCTGTCCGCGCATTATGTTGCCACCGATAAGTATGTCCAAGTGACAGGCCAAATGGATCCCTCAAAGGCTAGACTGAATACATCAGATGAAGGTGGTCAGTTTGACATCAAGGCACCCAAAGGCTCATCCTGTGCCGGTTGGAAGTACTATGTCAACTTGATCGAACCCGTAACCAACACTTACTGTATGCGATGCTGTGTAAGTTGAATTACATGTTTATGTATATAAAAGCAAGAAACTAATTAATTTCTATAGAATGATGACAGAACCTGTAACCGAGGTATCTCTGAAAAAGGATGTGCTCATATCATTCCTGGTGACTACAGTGGACCTAAGGGTGGCTCCAAGGGTGGCTCCAAGGGTGGTTCCGGCAGTGGTTCCTCTGGCTCAAAATCTTCTAGCAAGTCCACTACTAAAGCAGCTACTACTACTACTACCACTACTACCACTGCTACTGCCACTGCTACTACTACTACCACTACCATTGCCATTGTCACTCCTTCACCGTCTTCTATTACCACTACTACTGCTACTACAACAACAACCGCTGCCGTTGTCACTCCCGCTTCTGTCGCTCCTGCTGGTTCTTCCTCATCTGCCTCTGCTGATAGCAACTCTGCAAGCAGGAACATTGGCAATGGTAACACATCTTCTTTAGAAAATGACAAGGCAACAGCACAATCTGTTAGCGGAGTCGAAGCCTTCCAACCCGCTAGTTTAATCACTTTATCTGCCACTCTTGTTACCTTGGTTTTAATGTTTGCTCAGTAGCTTATTAAAATACATTATTTTTTGTAATATCCTATTTTTTTAATTTATTCAAATCTATATCCTTTGCGTAATTCTTTCTAATACCACACACATTCTTAATAAAGCTTATATCCCCTCCTCTATAAGATTGTCAATAACATTTCTCTGCTTTGATCTGTGTATAGCACGTTTTTAATGAGGGGTAACGCGTCAGTATAATTTTTCGTATTAGCAGACAATAACAAAACATTTAAGAATTGAAAAACTTATCGTTAAAAAAGATCTATTTATTCTATAGGAAAAAAGTAAAAAAAAAAACAGTGAATCAAAGTGTTGTAAGAAAGGGAAAAAAAAGTCTATAGTAAAAGTAAAGAGAAACCTAAATAGTGTAGTTTATCCAGACAGCCATGGCAGCTAATAATGTAGAGATGTATCCAACACTAGCCACGATTGAACCGCTGCTTTCTTGCTTGTTTGCCTTGTTAACGTTCCTGTCCACATTTTGCTTGTCGAATAAAGCCTTATTATTGGGATGACCGGAGAGATTGGAACCACCAAGATTTGTGGGAAGAGATTTACCAGAAAGAGAAGAATTAGAAGCAGAAGCAGCAGGGCGAGGAGCAGCCATACGAATATGAGGTTCGTCATCACCAATACATTCAGCAGCAGTGGTAAGACTATAATCATGTTTGCGAAGGGCGCGGTAAATCTGAGGAACTTGGCGGATGGAGACACGATAAAGATCTGCAGGCATAATAATAGTTAGTTCCATTTATTAATATTTCCTTATCATGGTTACCGTGCTGCAAACTGATGAAGCCATCGTCAGAATGAACATTAAGAGAACTACTGTTGTCTTTAAGAACCTTTTCAAACGTATCCTGGATTCGCTTGGCACCATCCTTGAGATTATATACATCATAGTCGGTAGGATCAACATTCCACATGAGTACCTTGTAACCCATCTGCTTCAAAAGACCCTTGACACGTTTATCAGCTTCACCATAGGGAGGACGGATATATTTTGGCTTGACACCAATGACGTCTTCGATAGCTTCTTCAGTAGCACGGACTTCATAGACAATATCTTCATTTGATAGAGACATAAGATGAGGATGAGAGTAGGTATGGGAAGCAATTTGATGACCAGATTCATAAGCACGCTTGATGATTTCCGGAAACTTTTTAACATGAGAGCCCATAACACAAAAGGTAGCCTTGACGTCCAGCTTGTCCAAAATATCGAGCAGTTCCTGAGTAAATTCGCTAGGACCATCGTCAAAAGTGAGAGCCCATGTCTTGTCGTATTTGCAGCCATAAATATCTTCATGAGTGGCAAGATTACCACAGGTTTCAAAGCATTGATCATTATCGGTACCATCACATTTAGCATCCTTACAGGTACCAGAACCAACAGGACGAACTTCACCTTCAATAGCATCAAAGTCAATATCTTCAAGCCATGATTTCTTCTTGGGAGTAGTTGTTTCAGAGTCGGGATTTTTTTTAGAGTCATTATCGCTATCATCATCGTTCTTCGGTTTTTTATGATGATCATCGTCGTCATCATCATCATCATCGAAATGCCTGTGTTTGCTCGGTGGAGTGGCAGCATTGACAATGATCGCCATCATCAGGAACGAGACGAAAAAGAATAGAAGTCGTTTGCGAGAAAGCAACATGAGAGAGAGTCTTGATAGAAGGCTTGAGTAGATAGAGTAAGTAACAATAGGAGGATTTTTTTAAAGAAACGCTTGAAGTGCAAACGGAGATTAATAAAAGAGTGTTTGTGTGAAGGAAGAAGAAGGAAAAGAATGATTGAGATTGACACTGCTCTTTTATACTTAATATCCGACCTGTTGACAAAAGGACTATGATAAATCTTAATGACTTAATGGTTTACATTGTGACAAAAAAAGTGTGCATAACTTTGGGCAGTAAAAACAAAAACTTCCGAACAAAGGGTTCCAAATCAGAAATTGCCCCTTTATCAGTATTCAACAATGTATAATAGATAGTCCTACTGCAGTTGATAGACGACTTACGATCACCGTTATTCACTCTTCATTATGGTTTAATAGTAGAAAGAACGATAAAGAATGACATGCTATAATTACCGAGAAATGTCTGGTTTATTTATTATTTTGACCATTAGTTTTTGTTAATACATGATAGGAAAATTAAATGGGGAATACATTAGCTATTATGGTAAGATTTGTGTATTTTTTTTTATTGCAGCTTTTTGTGTTCTAGCACAGGTGTAGAGTGGTCACTATAGAAAAAGAGATGAGTAAGATAACAGTAAAGATATCATCTCTTTACCCTTCAATCTGTTCGATCAATTTGTTTTCTGTCTCCTCTTCGTCATCAGAACGAACATCCTTTGCCTCAGGCTCCGTCACCATTTTATACAATACTTTGAAAATCATGGCCGTCCAGAACAGAATGAGAAAGTACAATCCAATCATTAATCCAGCAATAATATATTTTACAAAGTGTGGGAACCAATTTCCAGAAAGAGGATCTAGTTTGAACTGAGGCACATAGAGCTCTGGTTCTGTCATTGTTGACCAAATGATGCGTCCATACAAGTATACACGCGTATACATCCATGAAAAGAACATAAATACAAAGGCTGTATTACATACCATGCCTGGTTTAGCGTAATTTAAAGTTTTGGCGAGCTGTCAAATCATAGATCAGTATAATGTAATATTTCCCTTTTTTGCCACACTTACTGCTAAGAACGTATCGGGTAGATCCATACAGACAAAGACAGCATTTCCAACCCTGGTGAAATTACAGCCGTAGCTCAGACTGATAAGTAATAAAGTGTTGATATGATGCATGACAAGTTCCCTATAGTCTTTACGAGGTGCTTCAATCTGTAATACAAAGATTTGTTGTAACCAGAATGCGAACTGTAGGAGATAATAGTACTTGAATGATGCGGTGTAATCAGTCACTGGATAATCGCGCCAAAAGTAAGTTGTATCAAACCACCAAGGCTGATCGTACATGACATACTACTTTACAAGTTAGGTTTGATTATGAATAAGGATCAAGCACTTACGATGCCATAGGAAAAGGCTGTTGCATAGTAAAGAAAAGACCAAGATTGTTCAGCAAATCGTTGATACTTCTTTGCAGACACTCTCGACCGTTTAGCAAGTGGGATCAAGACATAATCCATTAAAGTGGCACGAAGAGCAGTAAAGACGCAGATGTAAAAAAAGAGAAACGTTAAATCCCATAAGCTTTTCTCATAGCGACCATCCTTTCTCTGGTTACTGATCAATACAAAGTGCTGGAAACCAGGTAAACCAAGAATGTAGCCTCCAAGGATCACTGCAATGACTTTTAATGGAATCTCTACACGGATGCAATGTTAAACTTTTGACTTGTTCAAACACATCCGCTTTACCTATTTGATGTCGTGCCAGATAATGAGTGTATTGCTTTAATAAAGAAGCCTTGTTGTGTTTCATCTTGATCGAGTCTCTAGGAATGGGTCTTTTCAACAACTTTTTATTCATCTTTGCAAAAAAAAAAAAAAAAAAGCGGAGTGGATCACCGATATAAAGATAGTTCAAAACCAGACTAAGAGGGTGTCTCTGGTCTTGTTCATAGGCGTGGAAAGAAACCTGTTTATTCTTTCTAAATACAGGATTATTACTATTCACTGATCAATCAGTTTCAGTTATTTTACATATTAGGCTGATATTCATAGCTGTACATTTGAATGTGTACAATATTTTCCTTCTAGGAAAAACATTATAAGCTGAGTAGATTCATTAACAGTTGGACATGTATTGCCAACATGTTCTCGTCCACTGTTTTTCATCAAACAGAACACCCTCTGACATGATATTTATTTGACATGGGTGAGCCATTTAGAGTCTAAACAATGACTCTTTTCTTTTATTCTCATCTTAGTAATCAATACCAAAGAGAGGAAATACCTTCTTTGCACTTCAAATTCAGACAATGTTAGTTTTTTTTTTTTCGGACGAATAAAAGTTAATTTTCAGATATTCAGCTTGCCTTTTTTGGACATAATAAAAAAGGAAATTCAGACACAAAAGGAAGTTAGCTTCAGACATATTATACTGAAATAGAAATATTTAAACTGAAGCTCATAAAAGACAACCCTAACACCATTCGCAATCTGATGGGTTGAATACAAGTATATTTGTGAGTAAAGCCTAAAGAAGAGACAACACACATCCTTCAAGCTATATTTATGATAGAGATCATCTTCTGTCATTGTATTCACTGAGTTATTTGATTCCACGCTAAAGCCGATACCAAATGTTGCGACAGCATAAGTTTATTAAAAAAGACGTGATTTTATTGATTAAATGAACTTTGCTAAATGAGCAAAAATAGTCTCTTTCGCTTTTTGCTCTTCTTTTTGCTTCAAATGAAAAGACATTCTACATCATCCAGCTCAGAAAGACCTTCAAAAGGCGCAAAGCTAAATGAATGTAAAGCATTCAATCTTGTTCATTATCAGTCAATATTTAACATTATTCTAGTATAGGTACAGTAGCATCAACTCAAGAAGTGGATTATTCCAGCACAGTAAATCAAGAAGGTACCTCTTCTTCCTCAAGTAAACCAGGGCCTTCGAAAAAAGAACAACAAAAGATTGATAAGCAAAATGCACTTTTAAAGTTCAAAACAGAGCAAAAGACCCTAGGAGAAGTCAAGTTCCCCTCTTGTGGGTTAACGACACACGCACTATCAACGAGCAACCTGTGTCCAGACAAGAAAGCAAAAATCCCTGTATGCAACTCTGATGAAAGAGTTGAAAACTTTGTAATCGAGACTTTCTTACCTAGAAATGTGGACAATGTTGTAACTGAGAAGTCAAAACGAAGAGTACATACGATATTGAAGTGTAAACAAAACACTTGCAACATCGTATGGAATCGTGATATCATGACTGCACACAATATCTTGGACATATTTCTATTCGCTGCAAGAAACAACAATCAGCGTCTTGACGTTTTCATGCGTCAGGTACATCTGACCAACCTTCCGTATGACTGATATGACTCTCTCATACGTCCTTACAGTGTAAGTTGTATCAGTTTTTAAGTTTACGAATAAGATGTATTAACTGTGTATTTCTTAATTCTTCACTAAAAAAAACCATCACGACCTACCTCCAATCTACCAAAATACAAATAGTTTCCAAGGTAAAAACATTTCATGTTTGAATTTCCATTTTGTTTCGTCCAAAGAAGGTAAGCTAAATATTTGACCATCTTTTTGTATGTCTGAATTTAAAGTGCGAATACTGTAGTAATGATAAAGAGCAGTGTTTGACAAATCACGAACACCAAAATTCGCATCGGAGATCGAAGTGGAAACAACCGTTGTTGGAATAGACATGGTAGTGAAGAGATGTGTTTGAGAACCTTTGTCTTTTTTTGCTGTTGTTGTCAGTATATAGTACAATCATTGGATTACGTAACTGTACTTTTGAGAATAAAGTGAACGACTAGGGCTAGTTTGTTAAATTCCTTTCTTTGTTCTTCGTTTGAGTAACATAATTATGTCCCAGAGCCAATATGTCATTTTAAAGCTTAAAGACGTTCAATTTGAAATTTCAGTAGTCTAATTCTTCAAGAGATTGAAAAATCGGGGATAGTTAATAGAAGTAATGTCGTGATTTAGATGAGATCTGCTCTCTGTTTTTTTTGTGTTCCCGTTTTTCCAAAAGAACAAAAAGAGAACCCTTTGATAATGATTGGCTCTTTTCCTTCCCTTGTCAATGCATTTGTCAGCAAATAAAAAAGCCACCTTTTTATTGTTAGTAATCAAGCATATTTCTTTCTTTTTTTCCTTTTCTTTCTAAAATCAAATGGGTCTCTTATCGCTTGGAACGCCGCTCGTTTGGAACGAAGCTAAACAATATGCAGAACATGTACGAACGCATGGTATTGAACAATTTTTGAATATCTATCGCAGTCAAAAGGATAGACAGAACGCAAGCTTACTTTGGGGTGATGAGGTAAGTATTTCATAGGTAAAAGAACGATGGTCTGATCCCCAACTACAAGATTGAATACTTGGTGGTTAAAATTGATGAGAAAGAAAAGAAAACGAAATTATCACTTCGAGCATTTGATATCCTTGATAAGCTAGAAATACCAGAGCGTGATTATCAATCGAAAAAGACAGAGTAAGTCTCATCATTCATAGAGTTCGTCATTCTGATCTTGAAGCAGTAAGGAGCCCGATGCTTTGTGGAGACCTGAATATGGTCGATACATGATCGAAGGTACACCCGGTAAACCTTATGGAGCTACCTTTCGTGATCTATTGTTAGTCGAACCAAATATGAAGTTGAGAAGAAAATTAGCACATGAGGCCATGCATGAAGATGAAATGCCTGTTACATTGGTTAATTATCCACGACTGGGTTGTCCTCATGAACTAGAGCCCGATTATGAACCTAACGGTAAAGCTTGCCAGAGTTTATTTGTACCTGATGAAGTTATCAATCCACACGTACGTTTCCCGTAAGTTCAAAAGAGATATATTATGATTCAGCATGTGTTGATTTTTTTTCTTTTTTTTTTTTGGGGAGATAGTACGCTGACAGCCAACATTCGTCGTCGAAGAGGGTCCAAAGTAAAGATCAATATGCCAATCTTTCATGACAAAAATACACCCAGGCCTTTTATTGACCCTACCATTCCATGGGACCGTGACTTGTTCGATCATGATAAGGAAGCAAAGGAAGGTGCGGCATTACCAGACCATATTTATATGGATGCAATGGCATTCGGCATGGGCTGCTGCTGCTTACAAATCACATTCCAGGCATGTAACATTGATGAAGGTAGAAGGCTGTATGATCGACTAGCACCCGTGGCACCCATTATGGTAAAAGCAGTTTATTCATCAACACATTAAAACTTACTCTAACATGTCTTGACAGATGGCATTATCAGCCAATTCGCCTATTTTTAGAGGTTATCTTGCTGACGTCGATGCACGTTGGAACGTCATATCAGCCAGTGTGGACGATAGAACACCTGAGGAAAGAGGCGAAAAGGTGAGTGATTATATGAGGTGATGAAATCTGAGAATAACACAGAGTTATATTTTTAGCCGCTTGAACATGATCGATTTGTTATCAACAAGTCCAGATATGATTCGATTGATTCTTACTTATCCAATGATGAAGAATACAAACCCAAATATGATGATATCGATCTAGTATATGATAGAAACATATATGACAAACTTGTTCAAAATAATGTAGACGATAAGCTGGCCAGACACATTGCTCATCTCTTTATTCGTGATCCACTGGTTATTTTCAAAGAGTTACTAAACGTAGACGATCAAATTTCCTCTGATCATTTTGAGGTAAGTAAGGGGAGGGAAAATAAAAGTATATGTATCTAATATATATTAGAATCTTCAATCCACAAATTGGCAAACCATGCGATTCAAGCCACCACCACCCAACTCAACCATCGGATGGAGAGTAGAGTTTAGAAGTATGGAAGTTCAACTATCCGACTTTGAGAATGCTGCCTACTCTGTATTTGTTGTGTTACTGACAAGAGTCATCCTCAGCTTTGGGCTCAACTTTTACATGCCTATATCAAAAGTAGATACCAACATGCAAACAGCACATAAACGAGATGCAGTATTGAAAGAAAAGTTTTATTTCCGTAAAAACGTCTTCTCAAACAAGGGAGGTGACGAGTATGAATTGATGACAGTGAATGAAATCATGAACGGGCAAGATGACGATAATGGATTTCCTGGCCTTATACCACTTATTCACAGCTATCTAAACAGTACAAATATCGATATAGAAACAAGATGTAAATTAAATAACTATTTGAACCTCATCAGCAAAAGAGCAAGTGGAGAGTTGATGACAGGTGCAGCTTATATTAGACAGTTCGTTATGAACCATCCTGCTTATAGACATGATTCTGTTGTCTCACCCGAAATTACTTTTGATCTTGTCAAGCGTGCAGTCCAAATTGGCACTGGTGAATACAAGGCACCTGAATTGCTAGGTGACCTTTGTGATGATTGAAAAAGAATAAAATTTATTTTATAAAACTGAATTCCAGATCCAATTTTTTCCTTGCTCTCCTTCTTCTTCCTCCTCCTTTCCTTGAGTTGTTTCTTTATCTGTTTGTGAGCTGTTTGGTTCTAATTTGGGTGTTGAAGGTGTACTGTTGTCACTGTCACTTCCTGCTTCTTCTTCCTCTTCTTCTTCGTCTATTATTACTGTTTTAGATTAAAATTACTTTAAATGACTTATATTACCGCATTCTATATCCTTTTCTTCTTTCTCTGGTAATTGAATAGACCAGTCATCCTCTTGTTCATTTAATACAAGATATTGGTACTCTTGATCTGCATATTCATACCATGATCTGTATTGTGTTAATTACTTTTTCATATCCAATGTTCAACCTTACCCAAGTGTGAATGGTTCTACAACGACACTCTCTGACAGTGCCTGCATGACACTCTTTCTGCCAGTCAAATGAGGATTGGCGCGATACAGCGTCTGGTAAGCATCATGAATTTGAAATTTATCAAAATTTATAAACGTATCGAAAAACTTTTCTGCAATCAATCCATTCTTTTTCAAGTCTAACAGACGAAACTGACCTGGCACTTTGGGCTGAACGAGATCATTTCTATAAGTCATGGGTTAGTTGTGATATTGAACAAGTATCTATAGAATACATTTGACGCATAATGTCTTCAAATTTAATAAATTCTTCAAAATGATAACGATATATCTCAACCATGTGTCTAAGTCTAGGGCCTATATAAGTAAAAAAAAAAGCAAAGAAAATCACAAGTACCTTTTCTCTTGATCTTTCCAATGTTGTTCCAAGTCATAGCATGTAATAATGCCATCACCATCCTCATCCAAGCAACGAAACCTAACTTTTGGTTATTTAAAATTATTCAACCGTCATTTAGGTACCTACCAATATTCAATGGCTACAGGCGTACTTTTATCAACTTCAGAAATGAGGAACCCTAATATGCACGTTAGACTATAACTTTTTTTTTCTATTATTTACATATATAATCTAAATAAGTCAAGGTGTTTGGTTTAGATTGACGCCTAGAGAATGCGGGTATTCGGCCTCGTTGTATAATTTGATGTATCAATTTCTCGGATAAGATACCGCCATTATAATTAAGCAAATCATTCTCATATATCAACAAGTCATGATCCTGGTCAAGTGTCCAAAACTTGCAATACAGCACATAGAAATCCTTGTATGAAAAACAATTATGCACCTAAAGAAAGAATGAGACAAATATAAAACATCCTTCTTAGCTTACATGGTTCAAATCGGTCTCTGCGTTCAAGGATTGAATTGTTTCTGTAAACTGAGATTGACGGAATTGAGCAAGGTTCATTCGACCCGTATAGCATTTGGCATCATAGAATATTTTACAGATAACGGTTTCAACTGAATAAAATAATAATAAAAAAAAGGGTAAACCAATCTATAGATGTGTATGTTTATGCATCATTACTATATCTTTCTTGAAACATTGTATTATCCACCAAAAAACTGAGTCCTTGATGATTCATGACGATGTCTAGTAAAAAGTGTGATTAAGGGTTCTACTTTATCGTATTCTTACCTTCTAGGATAGGTAAAAAGTCTTCGGGACATATCCATAAACAAGACTTCTTCTTGATAATATTAAAGAATAAACGAGTAGTATCCATATCGTATAATGGTCTCCATTCACTATAAGATTTACTTTAACCCTTGTTCGTATATATATGTATATTATATGCTACGTTGTAAAATCAGATAAAGTAAGATGATCTTTATGATTCGCTAATTTACGAAATAAGGTCATATTCATGTATTCAGGTAGCTGACAGCTTTGAGTTACTGGTAGAAACTCTTGTTCTGTTAGATACTCTTGATTTTTAAAGAGTTGCTCAACTCTAGCCTATTTTATAGAAAATGGTTCGTTTTCATGTTTTAAATAAAAAAAAGGGTGGTAACTTGCATGGATAACTTTTAGCCTTCTTTTATTATTCTCACTCATATTTCAGCAATAAATATAAAAAAGAAAAAGAAATGGTGAATACACATTCTCTATAGATTATTTTATTATGAAGGCAGAATTTTAACATTGCCCCCTTATTCATGCACTTTCTATTTGTATTACTTCAATTGAAACCAGGGATGGGCTAATACTTGATGAACAGTAAGTCTCTTTTCCACATCCCTTTCTAGCATTTTCTTTATGAGATCTAATGATTCTAGAAAAGTATAAGTCATCACCCTCGCTCTCCCCAAATTCCAACTGCAGTTTACCTTGTGATAGGATAAAAGGTATTCTCAACTCTCGTTCCATGATTTCTTCAATGTTATAAAATGGATTCTCTCTATAGATCAAAGTGTATAGCAAGGTACCACAGGCCCATATATCTTGAGGTGGGCCTGTATAGGTTTGTCCTTTGAGCACTTCGGGAGCTGCATAATCTAACGTGCCAACAAATGTATCATACCGCTTGCCTTCTTTCATATAAGTCGCACTCCCAAAATCAATCAATCGAACTCCTCCTTTGAGGTCAAGAATAACATTCTCATCCTTAATATCTCGATGAATGATGTGATTATCGTGCAAATGACTCACGGCCTCTATGATCTGTCTAAAGATCGCCCGTATCTCTGATTCTGATATACCATCTTTTCGAAGCTCAATATAGTCAAATAAATCCATGCCTGCACCAAATAGGTCCATTACAACATAATAGTGATCATCATCCTCAAAATAATCCACTATAATCATCATCAGTCCCAAGTCTTTTTCCAAAAGCTATTTCAACTTACGCATATCACTGCAGTTCGCATGTGGAATCTTTCTCAATGTATGAAGCACATGAATTTCGGCAGGAACAAGCCCTAATTTCTTATCTCTGGTCCAACAGTCCACCAATACACGAGACTTGTAGACGTACTTGATAACCACTTTTTTCTGCATATACATGCTTGACTATTAGACAAGAAGAGCGTATATAATAATTTATAGGCATTTACCTTTTCTGGATCGTTTTTCAAATAAGCCAGCTTTACGATGCCATAGGTTCCTTGTCCTAACTCGCCCATAATTTCATAATCATGTATATTTGTCTTTAGTGTCTGTGCAGAATATTCGCCCACTGGCTTTGTCCATGGATGATTAATTGTAGATGTATGTAATTGATGTGTATTTTCTTTTTTGATGCTAGTCATGGGTATATTAACAGATTTGGATCTGTTGTTGCCTTGTGTGACTGAGGGTGCAGCGGTAGTGTTGGTATATTGAAACGTATGGCCATAACGAGATAAGGTGGCTTGTCGGTCAAAAGTGATCCACAAGGAATACATGTTGTGTGTCAATTGCAATTGCAAGTCGATTTCTAAATAAGTTCCATCTCTATGAATAGCAACCAAGATGGGTAAGGGTCTTCCTGCTGGCGTTGTGCTCGGTTTTCGATTGACAGCGACATGAATTGACTCTTTTCTGGTACTAAGTACGTCGCGGCAAATGGTGCTGTTGAGTATACAGCCGTGTTGTAGCAGTTCATCTTTCTCCAAGCATGAAATCAGTGTTGAAAATTGTGGTATTAAAGTTGATATATGCATGCCTTTGATGTTGGGATAGCCAAAGAGGTATTTCGTAAACATGCTATCCTCACATTCATTCACGTAACCATCTTGTCCAACGGTGATGAGTCCAGCCAGAGTGGGTAAAGATGTGATTCGTAGCAGCAGATAATCATTCTTGTCTTCGTTGTACACAATCACTGGGAATCGTGCACCTGATTGAGAATAGCCAGTGAATAATGTATGTAATGGATCAAATTGAGGTAAGATGGTATAAATTGACTGGTTCATAAGCTGAGATGCTGGGTGATCAAATAAATTCACAATACCTACTTCCACATAGTGAATGGTATTCTATAACAAGCGTCAACACTCAGTGACAGACACTCCTATATCTATGCCTTACATGCCGCTTGTGAATCATCATCTTGACTGTACTTTGAGATACTTCTTCAAATATCCAAATGAACGTACTGCTTCCGCCCTTCTTTCTTTCTTTTAGCCAGAGTATGGCAGATGATTTACGTTGATTTGCCTTGATAATCGGCACAGGATCTCCGCAAACCAAGATATTATTATCCTCTTCTCTCGCCTTGACAATTTTGTCTAGCAGCAGCGATCGATGACCAGGATCAATGACGTCAAGAACATGATGTTGTGTTAGTTGTCGTTGAAATAGACGACTGGCTGCAGGATTAGCAAGCGATATCATCCAGTTATCCTCAGTGGCGATTATGGCTTGTGTCTGTGGTAAGTGCCGTGAGTGCTGTAGGTCGAGTGAGGACAAGTGCTGATTGAGATGGTCAATGTCATCTTTTATGTCGGATAGAGAAGACGACAATGAAGAGCATGATGAGAATGATTCAGGAGTTTGTATTCTAGAATATGTTAAGATCTATTTGTCACTTCTTCATCCCTTACCGAGCATTGACTGTGAAATGTTTTTCTAATCAACAGTCAGCATTATTGACCCTTGGCTTGCCAAGTTATCTTACCTTTTTCAAACAAATCCATTGCCCAAAAGGAAAGAAAAAGGAGATATTTTGATGTGTGTGGTAAGTAATATTTAAAAGATTTTGATTGGATAACAGTTATTTTAGAGGCAGTAACAGTATTTGATTTGACAGGTCTATGATCTTGATGATATCAACTGAGGGTAGATCAAACATTTTATAATAGACGAACAAATGATATTGTTCATGTGTCATGTTTAAATAGAATATTAAAGAGCATGACTTCATATGTATTTATTGCATTATAATAAGCGTTTCTATTGGATGCTGCTGTTATCATGACTATGGTGACTATGGCTACTATACTGTTATTCTATTGTATCCATACATTGATACACTCTTTCCCAAAATAAAAGTCGTATCCTGCCGAAAATGAAGCTACTGGTTGACAAAAATAAAAGTCGTAATTGCCCAGAAATCAATTCGCACGATGACAAATCGAAAGTCGTGTTAAGGGGAAAGTTGTCGTACAATAAGTTTGGTAAATTCATGCTTGTTTTCTTTTTCTTTTTCTTTTTTTTTCAATTAAAACATGAACAGTCAATCTTTTTATGAAGACGGACAGGGTCATATTGTTGACGAGCATGGTTGCCCTGGACTCATGTATTATGTCGTTAATGAGGAACTATATGCTCTTCAAGCAATTAGTTCTCACACTTTATATAGGTACATAACCATCATGAGTCTGTTGTTACGCATGTGGAAGGATCACGAAATAAAGATGTTTACATAAGAGAACCAAATACTAAACGAGATTACACAGTTTATACGAATCAAGGTAAAGTTAGATTCTTCAAACTGATGCTTGAGAAAGCTTTGAGTGCTTTAGCTGCTGCAAAGCAATTTGGCATTCGTGTATGCTCATCGCAAAGATGGGCGTTGTAATATGAAAAAGATCATGATAGCATATTTAAAAAGCGTAAAAGCTCTGGTCGTCCTCGCGTCCTCTGCGGTGAACATAAGAGAGTTATTTTAGAATGGATTGACGAGAATCCGTCAATTGTCCTAGAGCAATTGATAGAAGAATTGCGTCAAAGGTTTGAAGGAATTCGAGTATACAAGACAGTACTTCATCGATTTGTGAAGAATGAATATAAATTAACTTTGAAAAAAAGCCAAAATCCATCCCGTTGACAGGAATAGTGAAGCCAAGCTCCAAGAACGGTTTGGGTGCGCAAGTGGGATAAGACTGACATGGACTATAGAAAAAACTGTGTGTTTCTCGATGAGTCTGCCTTCCATATTAATATGAAGCGTAGTATGGCCTGGTCAAAAAAAGGTTCTCTTGCAGCAGTAACTGTTCCAAAAACAAGAGCAAAAACGACTACTATTCTAGGTGCAATCTCTGCATCTGGTCTGATTCAATACAATTTGAGACTTCCACAAGTACCGACTAGAAAAAGAAAGCGAACAAATGCTTCTGAAGTTATTTATAGAGGAACTGTCACTGGTCATTACCTTTGCTTCCTTAAGGCTACAGTAGATGAAATGAATAAGTTTGACGATATGAAAGGACATTATTTAGTTATGGATAGTGTTCCTATTCATAAGGCTGAGACTATTTCTAGGTACATTGAATCTTGAAGATACCGATGTGCTTATCTTCCCTCATACTCACCTGAACTCAATCCTATTGAACAACTTTGGCCTGTTGTCAAAAGTAAAATAAAACGCAGCAGATTCCTGGATAGAAAAGTCTGGTTAAAGGGACAAAAAAATATTGACATTGACAAAGTGATACAAGGGTATTTATATGCTGGTGATTCTCTTTTTTTTTTTCGTTGCAAGAAAACAAAAAAATTGATACCGACAAAATAACAGATGTAAGGATATTCTGCATACAAAGGACTAATTATATTTAATTTTTTGGTTTTTTAGATGATGATGCTAGTGAGGATGGTAAAAAGCAAGACGGCAAGACAGGGCGGGCAGAAGGATAGTTTGAAACAGTAAGGGATCGAGGAGTATGATGGATGATGTGGAGCGTGTCTTCCATGATGACTTTTCCCAATGCAGCCAGCTGCAATAAAGGAATCATGCATGTAATATAATCGTCACTGCTGGATGGGTATGGTATTTCATTTAGGCGTCGAATTCTTGTAACATATCCCATTGGGGAATCCATGTCCATGAGTCTGATTTCTTCATCTTCAAGTTGAATGAACGCAGTGAGCATTGATTTATCGAATTTGAATGGCCATTTTTTTTTATGAAAGTACTTACTATTGATGTTATAGCCTACAATGTGGATATCATCAAGCTTGACTGTCGTCTTTTTCACAATGTTCATCAACAAAGGTTACGAGTTAGCAATAACAATAAAACCCTCTTCACCGCAAAACATTACGAGATTGACACTTACGCGGACGGAACCGGCAAAGTCATCAAGTAATGACAATAAAAAAACCCTCT